CGTTCTGAGGGGAAGGGGGAGGGAAAGTGGGTAGCTGTGGGGCGGGGGGCTCGGGCCGTGGGGCGCGTTCTGAGGGGAAGGGGGAGGGAAAGTGGGTAGCTGTGGGCCGTGGGGCGCGGCTGTGGGGTGCGTTCTGAGGCGAAGGGGGAGGGAAAGTGGGTAGCTCTGGGGCGGGGGGCTCGGGCCGTGGGGCGCGTTCTGAGGGGAAGGGGGAGGGAAAGTGGGTGGCTGTGGGGCGGGGGGGCTCGGCGAAGGGCTCGGGCCGTGGGGCGCGTTCTGAGGGGGAAGGGGGAGGGAAAGTGGGTGGCTGTGGGGCGGGGGGCTCGGCGGGGGGCGCGGCCGTGGGGTGCGTTCTGAGGGGAAGGGGGAGGGAAAGTGGGTAGCTGTGGGGCGGGGGGCTCGGGCCGTGGGGCGCATTCTGAGGGGAAGGGGGAGGGAAAGTGGGTGGCAGTGGGGCGGGGGGCTCGGGCCGTGGGGCACGTTCTGAGGGGAAGGGGGAGGGAAAGTGGGTGGCTGTGGGGCGGGGGGGGGGGGGGGGGGGGGGGGCGGGGCTCGGGGGGGGGGCCGGGCCGTGGGGCGCGTTCTGAGGGGGAAGGAGGAGGGAAAGTGGGTGGCTGTGGGGCGGGGGGCTCGGGCGAGGGGGGCCGTGGGGCATGTTCTGAGGGGAAGGACGAGGGAAAGTGGGTAGCTGTGGGGCGGGGGGTCGGCGAGGGCTCGGGCCGTGGGGCGTGGCCGTGGGGTGCGTTCTGAGGCAAGGGGGAGGGAAAGTGGGTAGCTGTGGGGCTGGGGCTCGGTGAGGGCTCGGGCCGTGGGGCCTGGTAGGGGTGGGTTCTGAGGCAAAGGGGGGAGGGAAAGTGGGTAGCTGTGGGGCGGGGGGGGCTCAGGCCGTGGGGCGCGTTCTGAGGGGAAGGAGGAGGGAAAGTGGGTGGCTGTGGGGCGGGGGGCTCGGCGAGGGGCTCGGCCGTGGGGCATGTTCTGAGGGGAAGGAGGAGGGAAAGTGGGTAGCTGTGGGGCGGGGGGTGGGGGGGGGGGGGGGGTGAGGGGAAGGGGAGGAAAGTGGGTGGCTGGGGGCGGGGGTGGGGGCGGCGTGGGGAGGAGGGGGGGGGGGGGGGGCGGGGGGCTGGCGGGGGCTGGGGGGGGGGGGGGAAGGGTGGCGGGGGGGGCTGGCCGTGGGTTTGAGGAAGGGGAGGGAAAGTGGGTGCTGTGGGGGGGGGCTGGGTGGTTCTGAGGGGAGGGGGGGAAAGGGGGGGGGGGGGGGGCTCGGCGGGGGCTCGGGCCGTGGGGCCTTCTGAGGGGAAGGGGAGGGAAAGTGGGTGGCTGTGGGGCGGGGGCTTGGCGGGGGCTCGGGCCGTGGGGTGCTTCTGAGGCGAAGGGGGAGGGAAAGTGGGTAGCTCTGGGGCGGGGGCTCGGGCCGTGGGGCCTCTGAGGGGAAGGGGGAGGGAAAGTGGGTGGCTGGGGGCGGGGGCTCGGCGAGGGCTCGGGCCGTGGGGCTTCTGAGGAAGGGGAGGGAAGGGGTGGCTGTGGGGCGGGGGGTGGCGGGGGCGGGCCCTGGGCGTTCTGAGGGAAGGGGGAGGGAGTGGGTGGCTGTGGGGCGGGGGCTCGGCGGGGGCCGGCCGCGGGGCCGTTCTGAGGGAAGGGGAGGGAAGTGGGTGGTGTGGGGCGGCCGGGGGGCTCGGGCCGTGGGGCCGTTCTGAGGGGAAGGGGGAGGGAAAGTGGGTGGCTGTGGGGCGGGGGCTCGGCGGGGGCGCGGCCGTGGGGTGCGTTCTGAGGGGAAGGGGGAGGGAAAGTGGGTGGCTGTGGGGCGGGGGTGCGGGGGCTCGGGCCGTGGGGCGCGTTCTGAGGGGAAGGGGGAGGGAAAGTGGGTGGCTGTGGGGCAGGGGCTCGGGCCGTGGGGTGCATTCTGAGGGGAAGGGGGAGGGAAAGTGGGTGGCTGTGGGGCGGGGGGCTCGGGCCGTGGGGCGCGTTCTGAGGGGAAGGGGGAGGGAAAGTGGGTGGCTGTGGGCCGTGGGGCGCGGCTGTGGGGTCCGTTCTGAGGGGAAGGGGGAGGGAAAGTGGGTAGCTGTGGGGCGGGGGGCTCGGGCCGTGGGGGCCGTTCTGAGGGGAAGGGGGAGGGAAAGTGGGTAGCTGTGGGGCGGGGGCTCGTGGCGTGGGGCGCGGCTGTGGGGCGCGTTCTGAGGTGAAGGGGGAGGGAAAGTGGGTAGCTGTGGGGCGGGGGCTCGGGCCGTGGGCCCGTGGGGTCGTTCTGAGGCGAAGGGGAGGGAAAGTGGGTAGCTGTGGGGCGGGGGGCTCGGCCGTGGGGTGCGTTCTGAGGGGAAGGGGGAGGGAAAGTGGGTGGCTGTGGGGCGGGGCTCGGCGGGGGCTCGGGCCGTGGGGCGCGTTCTGAGGGGAAGGGGGAGGAAAGTGGGTGGCTGTGGGGGGCGGGGGCTCGGGCCGTGGGGCGCGTTCTGAGGGGAAGGGGGAGGGAAAGTGGGTGGCTGTGGGCCGTGGGGCGCGGCTGTGGGGTCCGTTCTGAGGGGAAGGGGAGGGAAAGTGGGTAGCTGTGGGGCGGGGGCTCGGGCCGTGGGGCGCGTTCTGAGGGGAAGGGGGAGGGAAAGTGGGTGGCTGTGGGGCGGGGGGCTCGGGCCGTGGGGCACGTTCTGAGGGGAAGGGGGAGGGAAAGTGGGTGGCTGTGGGGCGGGGGGCTCGGGCGGGGGCTCGGGCCGTGGGGCGCGTTCTGAGGGGAAGGGGGAGGGAAAGTGGGTGGCTGTGGGGCGGGGGGCTCGGCGGGGGCTCGGGCCGTGGGGCGCGTTCTGAGGGGGAAGGGGGAGGGAAAGTGGGTGGCTGTGGGGCGGGGGGCTCGGGCCGTGGGGCGCGGCCGTGGGGTGCGTTCTGAGGCGAAGGGGAGGGAAAGTGGGTAGCTGTGGGGGGGGGGCTCGGGCCGTGGGGTGCGTTCTGAGGGGAAGGGGAGGGAAAGTGGGTGGCTGTGGGGCGGGGGGCTCGGCGGGGGCTCGGGCCGTGGGGCGCGTTCTGAGGGGAAGGGGAGGGAAAGTGGGTGGCTATGGGGCAGGGGCTCGGGCCGTGGGGGCATTCTGAGGGGAAGGGGGAGGGAAAGTGGGTGGCTGTGGGCCGTGGGGCGCGGCTGTGGGGTCCGTTCTGAGGGGAAGGGGGAGGGAAAGTGGGTAGCTGTGGGGCGGGGGGCTCGGGCCGTGGGGCGCGTTCTGAGGGGAAGGGGGAGGGAAAGTGGGTGGCTGTGGGGCGGGGGGCTCGGCGGGGGCTCGGGCCGTGGGGCGCGTTCTGAGGGGAAGGGGGAGGGAAAGTGGGTGGCTGTGGGGCAGGGGGCTCGGGCCGTGGGGTGCATTCTGAGGGGAAGGGGGAGGGAAAGTGGGTGGCTGTGGGGCGGGGGCTCGGGACGGGGGCGCGGCTGTGGGGTCCGTTATGAGGCAAAGGGGGAGGGAAAGTGGGTAGCTGTGGGGCTGGGGGCTCGGTGAGGGGCTCGGGCCGTGGGGCGTGGCCTGGGGTGCTTCTGAGGGGAAGGGGGAGGGAAAGTGGGTGGCTGTGGGGCGGGGCTGGCCGGGCTTCTGAGGGGAAGGGGAGGGAAGTGGGTGGCTGTGGGGCGGGGGCTCGGCGGGGGCTCGGGCCGTGGGGCGCGTTCTGAGGGGAAGGGGGAGGGAAAGTGGGTGGTGTGGGGCGGGGGGCTCGGCGGGGGGCTCGGGCCGTGGGGCGCGTTCTGAGGGGAAGGGGGAGGGAAAGTGGGTGGCTGTGGGGCGGGGGGCTCGGGCCGTGGGGCGCGTTCTGAGGGGAAGGGGGAGGGAAAGTGGGTGGCTGTGGGCCGTGGGGCGCGGCTGTGGGGTCCGTTCTGAGGGGAAGGGGGAGGGAAAGTGGGTAGCTGTGGGGCGGGGGGCTCGGGCCGTGGGGCGCGTTCTGAGGGGAAGGGGGAGGGAAAGTGGGTGGCTGTGGGGCGGGGGGCTCGGCGAGGGGCTCGGGCCGTGGGGCGCGTTCTGAGGGGAAGTGGGTGTCGTGTCGTGTCGTGTCGTGTCGGGGTGCCCGATGAGGGCGGGGGAGGGCAAAGGTCTGCCAACATCCGGGTACTGAAACAACCGTTCGTGCGGGAGGCAGTGGACGAAAAAAGCCTGAGGAAAAGGGTACGCATGCGCAGAGGAAAAGCAAGGCTTGTGTTGCGCACGCGCCAGGATACGCCTGAGCAATGGGAATGCTGGGCGGAATGAACACTAAGCGCATGTGTCTTTGAGCGTTGGGCGAAAGGGAGAGCATTCTGCGCACGCGTAAAAGACATCACATCCGGGTCGTACAGACGCCGCCATCTTTCGTCTGGTGTGAAGGAGAAGGGTCCAAAATGGCGGCTCCCAGGGGGCTGGCATCCGCCGCCTCCCCGCGCCGCAGGTAGACCTCCCGCCCCGCCCGCGGCGACTGGAGTCCGCGCACTGCTGCGCACAGGTATTAGTGTAAGCCCTTTAAGCGTTCGGTGGCGTAGCAACGGCAGGTGGGCCCTTCGGCCGCCATCTTGAGCAGCCACCTCCGGGTAGGAGGTGGTCGCCATCTTCAAAAACGGCCACATCCACGCACTTAGGCCGCCATCTTGAAAAGCAACTAACATCCGGGTAAGTAACAGCTCGCCATCATGTTCTGGCCTTCGCGGCGGGGGTGCATCCGGGTACCTGAGGGGTGGGGGCGGCTGCAGCCATCTTGTTTCCCTCCCGCTGAGGGAGCGACATCCTGGCATTTAATGAGGGCGACATCTTGGGTCCTTTCGACGACGGTCGCCATCCTGGTGATATGTTGTCATACTGCTCAGCAAGCCGCCATCTTGTATGCCACAAAGTGGGATGGCTTACATCCGGGCATCCATGGCTCCGCCATCTTGGAGAATGCTTACCACATCCGGGCATCGAGCGGGGCGCCCGATTGGATCTATTGTACAAATAAGACAGGTACATCCGGGCATTTAGACAGTGGCCATTTTGGATAGGTAGTCCCACTGATCCGCCTTCATCCGGGTAGTTGAGCGGGAGGCCATCTTGGTTTAGCGGCCGCCATCTTGGATATCGTTATGCAAGCGGCAGGCTCATCCGGGCATTTCTGTTGGCGCCATTTTGAATAGCTCTGAGAAGAGTCACGTCCGGGCATTGGGGGGAGGAATCCAAGACGGCTGCTCCCAAGACAGCGTGAAATGAAAAGTGAGGCAGCTCAAAGCCCAGCTCGATCCCCGCCCCCATAAACTCCCAGCCCTGGGCTTCCCCTTTGTTCCCCCCCCCAATGGGGGAGGGAACCAAAATGGCGGCCCCCATGGGAGGGCGGTGCTAAGATGGCGGCGCCCACGGCTGAGGGAGCCCGCCGTACAGCGGCTCTGGTTTTGGGGTAGGCGGCCCCCGCCCTTCCCTACCTCGCCCTGCGCGGCGCGCTGACCGGGGCGAGCGCGGACCTCAAGGCAGGGCGGAGTCTTAGTAGCCAAGATGGCGGCGCCCATGGGAGGCGAACGTGGGGGGAGGGGCAGAGTGAAGCTGCCTGCGCGGCTCTGCTACGCGGGCCTGGGGGGGGGACTGAGGCACCCCTGGGGGATAGCACTCGGGAGGGAGCAGCTTGGAAGGGGGTTGGTTTCCCCATCCAAGATGGCCCAGCCTGGCATTTTGGGGTGGGGGAAACTGAGGCATGAAGCAGTGGTTGACACGGGGGCTCTGTGGGTTTTTGAAGTAAAGAGGCCAAGGGGTGGGGGGGAGTCTCCTTCCAACCGAGCTGGCGGTGCTCATGCCAAGTAGGGCCTGCCCTCAGGCCTCGCATTTCAGGGTGGGGGGCCCTATCTGCCAGAGCGGGAGGGGGAAGTTTTCCATGCAGGAGCGGGAGGGGGTATTTCCCATCCAAGATGGCTGCACTTGTTTCAAGCTGAGCTCAAAGTAGGGCCTTGTGTTTTGGGGTGGGGGTCCCCATAATCCCAAGGGGGACCATCAGGGAGCGAGTGGGGAGGGGGAGTTCAGCTGGGGGTAGATGGGCCTAAAAATAACAAAGGGTTTTTCTGTTCAAGATGGCCGCCTGCACGTCAAGCCGAGATCAGGGCATGGCCGGGGTTCTCTGCGGCCCCCCCAACATGCTATAAAACGGAACGGCCCACTGGTGTCACCACAGCTGTTCTACAGGGAAAAGCCCAGGCTGGTGTTAGGGGGCAGCAGGCCGGGCAATTCCTGGGGCCCCACACCAGAGGGGGTTCTCTGAAGCTCAGTTACAGGGGCTTGGCCTTCCTGCCCTGGGGCCCATAGAGTCTGAGGTCTGCCTGGCTTGTTCCCTCTGAAAGCTGCTCGCGGCCCTGGGCTCCCGCGTGAGAACTGCTGGGATAGATAACGGGGTTTTGACGTCTTGGGGATGTTTGTATTTTAAAACAGACAAGACGTGGGGAGGAGGGGCTTTCCTTCTACCCCAGCTGGCGACGCCCAGCGAGCCCACCCCCAGATGGCCATGGGGATGCTCATGCCCAGCCAGCCATGTTCCCTTTTAGTTTTGGGAGGTGGGCTCCCCTTTAGCGGAAGAAACTGAGGCACCCAGTGGTTCTTAACAGCCGGGAGGGGAATAAAACTACAAGGGGCTTGGGCTTTCTTCCCCATCCTGGCTGGCAGCGCCTATGCCCATGGTACAACCTTGTACTTGGGGGGATGTTGGGGTGGGGTCCCCTTAGCTGTGGGGGGGACAGTGATAGAGTGAGGGAGGGATGTTCCTCCCGCCCATGATGGCGGCGCCCATGCGTGCCGTACAGGCTTGTATTTGTGGGGAGGGGGTCCCCCTAGCCGTGGGGGGAGGGGCTGTCCCGCCGCCCAAGATGGCGGCCCCCAGCGAGCCCGCCCCCAAGATGGCGGCGCCCAGTGGGAGGAGTCCGTACGGCGCGCCCCGCCCCCGGCCGAGCCGGGCAGGAGGAAGGAAGAGCGGCTCCCCTCACACAGCAGGCGCAAGATGGCGGCTCCCAGGGCGGCGTGAAGGCGCCTGGCGTCCAGGAGCCGCTTCCCGCCCCCGTCCGGTGCCGTACAGCGGGGCTGGGGCTGGGCGCCGCCGCGGGGCCGGGGGCCGGGAGGGGTCAGAGCGGGCGGCGCGCGCGGGGCTGGGGCCGGCCGGGGGGAGGCGGCGGCTCCTTCTCCGCGGCCGCCATTTTCCCCCGGCAGCACAAGATGGCGGCTCCCAGGGCCGGGCGCTGAGCCGGGAGGGGGAGGGGCGGCAAGTGCCCCGGCCCGGGGGGGGAGGGGAGCGGAGCGGAGGGGGAGGGGCGGCAAGTGCCCCGGCCCGGGGAGGGGAGCGGAGGGGGAGGGGCGGCAAGTGCCCCGGCCCGGGGGGGCAGGGGGAGGGGCGGCAAGTGCCCCGGCCCGGGCAGCGGGGGGGAGGGCGGCAAGTGCCCCGGCCCGGGGGGGGAGCGGAGGAGGAGGGGCGGCAAGTGCCCCGGCCCGGGGGGGAGGGGAGCGGAGGGGGAGGGGCGGCAAGTGCCCCGGCCCGGGGAGGGGAGCGGAGGGGGAGGGGCGGCAAGTGCCCCGGCCCGGGGGGGCAGGGGGAGGGGCGGCAAGTGCCCCGGCCCGGGGGGGGCAGGGGGAGGGGCGGCAAGTGCCCCGGCCCCGGAGGCTGAGCGCCCCGTTCCCCCCGGGGGCGCGGGAGGCAAGAGGCCCCCCCGCCCCCCCTGACGCCCCCGCCCCCCCGCAGGAGAGCGAGCGGGGCCATGGCGGCGGCCCCCGGCGGCCCCGCGCTGCTGCAGCCGCGCTGGAAGCGGGTCGTGGGCTGGTCGGGCCCCGTGCCCCGGCCCCGACACGGCCACCGCGCCGTGGCCATCAAGGAGCTGATCGTCGTCTTCGGGGGCGGCAACGAGGGGATCGTCGACGAGCTGCACGTCTACAACACAGGTGGGGGCCGCGGCCCCAGCGCCCCCCCCGCCGGCAGCCCCCCCCCACGCTTGGCGGCAAAACCCTCCTCCGCCCAATTCCGCCCAATTCAACTTTCAAATACTGCCGCGGTGGCTGCTTTAACCCTGGCCTGCCCGTGGGGGGGGGAGGGGAGCGGGTTCTGGGCGGGGGGGGGAGCCTGCCCGTGGGGGGGGGGAGGGGAGCGGGTTCTGGGCGGGGGGGGGAGCCTGCCCGTGGGGGGGGGGGAGGGGAGCGGGTTCTGGGCGGGGGGGGGAGCCTGCCCGTGGGGGGGGAGGGGAGCGGGTTCTGGGCGGGGGGGGAGCCTGCCCGTGGGGGGGGAGGGGAGCGGGTTCTGGGCGGGGGGGGAGCCTGCCCGTGGGGGGGGAGGGGAGCGGGTTCTGGGCGGGGGGGGGAGCCTGCCCGTGGGGGAGGGGAGCGGGTTCTGGGCGGGGGGGGGGAGGGGAGCGGGTTCTGGGCGGGGGGGGGGAGGGGAGCGGGTTCTGGGCGGGGGGGGGGAGCCTGCCCGTGGGGGGGACACTGGGAGAGAGTGAGGAAAATGCCATCCTTGTACCAGCCACAGGCACCGTGTGCTCCTGGGGTCTGGGGGTTGTGGCAAGCCTAGGGTGTTCTGGGGGGGGGGTGCTGGGTTGGAGGGGGAGACGCAGGGCTCTGCCGTCCGTCTGTCCGTCCATCCATCCCCCCGCGTATTTGGCAAGGGGCTTTCCCAGTGGGGTGCCAGCCCCTCCCTGCACCAACTCTTCTTTGTGCTCTTTTCTTTGAGAGAACCCAGGAGTCCGGGCTCCCCTTCCCCCCACCTCCACTGTCCCACTCTTAGGGGGTTGTCTCTAGAGTCTCGTTCAGGAAGCCGCTTGCCAGGTGGCTCCTTTTCCCACAGCCCAGGTGCAGGGGAAGCAGAGGGTGGTGGGTAGGCTGTGGGGGGCAGGACTACTGAGTTCTGTTGGGAGGGAAGTGGGGTCTGATGGTTAGAGCTGCAGGGCTGGGAGCCAGGACTCCTGGGTTCTCTGCTGCAGGCTCTCTGTGTGACCATGACTAAGTCCCTTCCCTGCTCCCTGCCTCAGTTTCCTGTCTGGGATCGAGGGGCGACAATGACCAATTTGAGCTCTCGGGGCAGGGGCTGCAGTGGCCAGTGCGACACGGGCACCCCAATGTCAGTGTGACCCGGACGCCTGGGTTCGACCCACCCTACTCAGAGCTCTGTGTCTCCCCCTCCCCCCGAGCTCTGCGTGTCCCCCATTCTCGAATGCCTGGGTTCGACCCCCGCTGCTCGGAGTTCTGCCCCCCCCCATCCCGGACGCCTGGGTTCAGGTGGCGGTATTTGTTCTGCCCCTTCTGGAGCTGCTGGCGGGGGTGGGGGAGAGGGGAACCCTGGCCGACGGGGCACGTGGTGCTCCCCCCGCCCCCCCACTCAGACCCTGCTTCCCCCCCAGCCACCAACCAGTGGTTCATCCCGGCCGTGCGGGGCGACATTCCCCCCGGCTGCGCCGCCTACGGCTTCGTGTGCGACGGCACCCGGCTGCTGGTCTTCGGGGGCATGGTGGAGTACGGCAAGTACAGCAGCGACCTCTACGAGCTGCAGGTAGGGCCCGGGGGTCGGGCGGGGGCTGGGAGCCCGGACCCCTGGCTTCTCTCCCCGCTCTGGGAGGGGAGGGGTGTCGGGTGGGTCAGAGCAGGGCGGGGCAAGGAGCCCGGACTCCTGGGTTCTCTCCCCGCTCTGGGAGGGGAGGGGTGTCGGGTGGGTCAGAGCAGGGCGGAGCAAGGAGCCCGGACTCCTGGGTTCTCTCCCCAGCTCTGGGAGGGCTGTGGGGTCAGGGTGGGATGTGCAGGAGCGGGGAGGAGTGGGGTTCTGAGCAGAGCCCCCCCCAAACCTTGCTTCCATGTCCGGGCTGGACTGATGGAGAAGAGGGCTGCGTTGCAATGGCACACACCCACCCACCCCCATCGCTGGGACCCCCCCCTTGCAGGCCAGCCGCTGGGAGTGGAAGAGACTCAAGGCCAAGACCCCCAAGAATGGGCCGCCCCCCTGCCCCCGCCTGGGCCACAGCTTCTCACTCGTGGGCAACAAGTGCTACCTGTTTGGGGGGCTGGCAAACGACAGCGAGGACCCCAAGAACAACATTCCCAGGTGAGTGCCAGGATGCCTGGGTTCTCTTCCGGCTCTGGGGGGGAAGGGTTTGCCAGGATGTCTGGGTTCTCTTCTGGCTGGGGGGGAAAGGGGGGTTTGCCAGGACGCCTGGGTTCTCTCCCAGCTCGGGTTAGGCCGGGGAGGTGTCTGGTGGGTTAGAGTGCCCTCTTCAGCCAGGACGCCTGGGTTCTGTGCTTGGCTGTGGGGAGAAGCTGCCCTCTAGCTGTGAGATCTGGCAGTGCAGGTCACGGCTCTGTCCCGGACCCTGTGACGAGCCCGCCCCCCCCGCAGGTACCTGAATGACCTGTACATCCTGGAGCTGCGCCCCGGCTCCGGCGTGGTGGCCTGGGACATCCCCATCACGTATGGGGTTCTGCCCCCGCCCCGCGAGTCCCACACCGCCGTGGTGTACACCGAGAGGGACAATAAGAAATCCAAGCTCGTCATCTACGGGGGCATGAGCGGCTGCCGCCTCGGTGACCTCTGGACGCTGGACATCGGTACGGCTGGCAGGATGCCTGGGCTCTCTCCCGGGAGCGGGAGGGTGTACGGGGCTGGGCCGGGAATCAGGACACCGGGGTTCTCTCTGGACTCAGGGAGGGATGCGGGGGGGGGCCGTTGGGTCCTCTCCTGGCTCCGTGGGCGGGGGGGTTGGACGCCGGGGGGAAGGGGGGCGCAGGCCGGGTCTCAGGGTGTCTGTTCTCGTCCCCACAGAGACGCTGACGTGGAACAAGCCCAGTCTGAGCGGCGTGGCGCCCCTCCCCCGCAGCCTGCACTCCGCCACCACCATTGGCAACAAGTAAGCCCCCCCACCCCCCGAGCCCCTGCCCCCCATGGCGCAGCTCTGACCCCCTCCTCCCCCCAGGATGTACGTCTTCGGGGGCTGGGTGCCCCTCGTCATGGACGACGTCAAAGTGGCCACGCACGAGAAGGAGTGGAAGTGCACCAACACGCTGGCCTGCCTCAACCTGGGTAAGCCCCCCCGCCCCCCGGCTCCCCCTCCCCCACACGCTGGCCTGCCTCAACCTGGGTAAGGGCCCCCCCCCCCGGCTCCCCCTCCCCCACACGCTGGCCTGCCTCAACCTGGGTAAGGCCCCCCCCCCGGCTCCCCCTCCCCCACACGCTGGCCTGCCTCAACCTGGGTAAGGGCCCCCCCCGGCTCCCCCTCCCCCACACGCTGGCCTGCCTCAACCTGGGTAAGGGCCCCCCCGGCTCCCCCTCCCCCACACGCTGGCCTGCCTCAACCTGGAAGGGCCCCCCGGCTCCCCCTCCCCCACACGCTGGCCTGCCTCAACCTGGGTAAGGGGCCGGCTCCCCCTCCCCCACACGCTGGCCTGCCTCAACCTGGGTAAGGGGCCGGCTCCCCCTCCCCCACACGCTGGCCTGCCTCAACCTGGGTAAGGGGCCCCCCCCACTCCCCCTCCCCCACACGCTGGCCTGCCTCAACCTGGGTAAGGGCCCCCCCCGGCTCCCCCTCCCCCACACGCTGGCCTGCCTCAACCTGCCTCACCCCTGCTGGAGTCAGACCCCCTGGGCCCCAGGGTGAGCTGCCCCCCTCCCCACAGACTCCATGGCCTGGGAGCCGATCCTCATGGACACGCTGGAGGACAACATCCCGCGGGCCCGGGCGGGGCACTGCGCCGTGTCCATCAACACCCGCCTCTACATCTGGAGCGGACGCGACGGGTACCGCAAGGCCTGGAATAACCAGGTCTGCTGCAAGGACCTGTGGTACCTGGAGACAGGTGAGTGCCGGGCTGTGGGTGGGATTCCCGGGGGCAGGGAGTCAGTTTGCAGGGCAGGGAGCTGAGAGTTGCTGAGCAGGATCCCTGGGCTGGGGTGGGGGCTGGGCAGAGAGCAGGGTTCCTCGGCATGGGGGGCTGGGGGGGCTGCAGCGTGGGCGGGTTCTGATGCGCCGGGCAGGCTCCGGATGCTGCTACTCCCCATGTTCAGCAGACGGGGGCTCCTTCGGCTGCCGGGGGGGCTCCCCCTTGGCCCATGGAGGCTGCGGGTGGGTCTGGTCGCCCCAGCCCCACGGAGCTATGAGAACTGGAAAAGGGGCATGCAGGCAGCAGTGACGGGGCTCGTCCACATGGCCAGCCCTGCGCGATGTCACCCGGGGGGAGAGCCCCCTCCGTGGGCGTGGGAGCCCCCGGCCCAAGATGTGGGGCAGTATGGGCGGGAGAAGCTGCTTATGTACTTGGGGGGGGGAGGGGGGCCACTTGGTGCGGGGTGGTGAGCACCCAATGGGAGGGTGCCAGCTGGGGGATCTGGGGCTGGGCTGGGGGGGGATGCCTGGCTGGGGGGTCCGGCTGGGTGGGGGGCTCCAGGGCTGCCCGCGCCTGACCCCCATCTCTGCCCCCAGAGAAACCCCCGGCACCCTCGCGGGTGCAGCTGGTGCGGGCCAACACCAACTCGCTGGAGGTGAGCTGGGGCTCGGTGCCCACAGCTGACACCTACCTGCTGCAGCTGCAGAAGTACGACATCCCGGCGGCCGCCTCGCCTGCCCCTGCCCCGGTGCCCTCCGTGCCCGCCAACCCACCCAAGAGCCCCGCCCCAGCCGCTGCCGCCCCCGCGCCGCCCGCCAGCCAGCCCCTGGCCCAGATGGGCATCACCCTGCTGCCCCAGGCCGCCGCCCCCACGCCCACCACCACCATCCAGCTGCTGCCCTCTGTGCCTGGCACGCCCCTGCCCGTGGCCAGCCCCGCACGCACACAGGGTGAGTGGGGCCGGGCCTCAGACCCTCGCCAGGGGAGGCAGGAGCCAGACCCCCGTGGGGGTTTGTGGGAGGGTGGCTCAGACTCCCATGGGGGAGGGGCGGGGGTCCAGACTTCCAGGGGCCTGGACTCCCACTGGGAGCGGGGGCAGGGTCCCAGAGTCCCATTGGGGTGGGTGGCAGGGGCCCGTTGTGGGGCCGGGGTTTCCCTCCCCATCTCACATTGCCCTTGCCCTGGCAGGTGTCCCGGCCGTGCTGAAGGTGACAGGCCCCCAGGCCCCCCCGGGGCCCCCCCTGGTGACGGTGCGCTCGGCCAGCCAGGCGGGCAAGGCCCCGGTGACGGTGACCTCGCTGCCGGCTGGCGTGCGCATGGTGGTGCCCACGCAGAGCGCCCAGGGCACGGTAAGTACCCTCCGCCGGGGAGGAGCCCAGTCCCACCCGAGGGGCGCCCCTGACCGCTTCCCTCTGCCCTCAGGTGATCGGCAGCAGCCCGCAGATGAGCGGAATGGCTGCCCTGGCGGCCGCCGCGGCCGCCACACAGAAGATCCCTCCCTCCTCTGCGCCCACAGTGCTGAGCGTGCCAGCCGGCGCCACCATCGTCAAGACCGTGGCTGTCTCCCCGGGCACCGCCACGCTGCCCAGCACTGTCAAGGTGGCCTCCTCCCCCGTCATGGTAAGAGACGCCCGGCCACGCTACCCTGCCCTGGAGCCGGGGAGAGAACCCAGGCGTCCTGCTAAGGGTGCACGTCTCCCCACACCAGGTGAGTAACCCGGCCACCCGAATGCTGAAGACAGCAGCAGCCCAGGTGGGCACCTCGGTATCGTCCACGACCAACGCGGCCACGCGGCCCATCATCACAGTGCACAAGTCGGGCACGGTCACCGTGGCACAGCAGGCCCAGGTCATGACCACCGTGGTGGGTGGCGTCACCAAGACCATCACCCTGGTGAAGAGCCCCATCTCCGTGCCGGGGGGCAGCGCACTGGTAAGTGCCGGGAGGGCAAGGCCCGGGCAGCCCCGCTGTGGCGTGAACCCCGGAGTCCTGGCTCCCAGGCCCCCTGCTCTAACCACTAGACCCCACTCTCCTCCCGGAGCTGGGGAGAGAACCCCGGAGTCCTGGCTCCCAGGCCCGTCCCCTCCCAGAGCTGGGGGTTATCCCATGATACCTGGTAGGTGCCAGGTCTCCCAAGGGTGGGAGCACTGCTCATTCTCTCTCCTCTGGCAGATCTCTAACCTGGGCAAAGTGATGTCGGTCGTGCAGACCAAGCCAGTGCAGACCTCGGCCGTGACCGGCCAGGCCTCCAGCGGCCCCGTCACCCAGATCATCCAGGTGAGCACTTCCTCCGAGACGGGGAGGGGCAGCGCTGGGAACGGGACCCAGCCCGCTGCTCTGACCACGGGACCCCGCTCCCCTCCCAGGGCCGGGGAGAGAACCCAGGCATCCTGGCTCCCAGTCCCCCCTGCTCTGACCACGGGACCCCGCTCCCCTCCCAGGGCCGGGGAGAGAACCCAGGCGTCCTGGCTCCCAGTCCCTTCCCCCCTTCTTAGTAGAATCCAGGAATCCTGAGTGCTCTGCTCTCTGCGAGTGCCAAGCTGCGTTAACCCTTTCTTGCCTGCCCTGTGCTCCACCAGACCAAGGGCCCCCTGCCGGCGGGCACCATCCTGAAGCTGGTGACGTCAGCGGACGGGAAGCCCACCACCATCATCACCACCACGCAGGCGGGCGGCGCCGGCCCCAAGCCCACCATCTTGGGCATCAGCAGCGTCTCGCCCAGCACAACCAAGCCGGGCACCACCACCATCATCAAAACCATCCCCATGTCGGCCATCATCACCCAGTCTGGGGCCACGGGTAACGCCCACCCGCGGGGGGGGACGGGCTGGGGCTGGGTGCATGCGGGGGTTGAATTGGGAGGGGCAAAGGGCTGTCAGGGGTGGCGGGGAATGACCCAGAGACATCCCAGGCTGGCTGCTCTGGGGGACGGGGTGGTATTTAGGCTGGGGGGCAGTGAAGGCGTGGGGGGACCTTGCTGGGGAGCGGGGCAGGGGCGGGGGGGGCTCCGTGGCCATGGGGCTGTCACAGAGCTCTGCACTGACACCCCCCCACCCCGGGGCTCCCCACAGGTGTGACCAGCAGCCCTGGGATCAAGTCCCCCATCACCATCATCACCACCAAGGTCATGACCTCAGGCACGGGCGCCCCCGCCAAGATCATCACAGCGGTGCCCAAGCTGGGCACGGCCCACGGGCAGCAGGGCGTCACGCAGGTGAGCGGGGGGTTTGGGGGCGCAGGGACGGCCAGGGGGCCGGGCACCGCCCCGGCCTCACCACCTCTCTTCTCCCCTCCCGGCAGGTGGTCCTGAAGGGTGCTCCAGGCCAGCCCGGCACCATCCTGCGCACCGTGCCCATGGGTGGTGTGCGGCTGGTCACGCCCGTCACCGTCTCCGCTGTCAAGCCCACTGTCACCACGCTGGTGGTGAAAGGAACAACGGGTAAGGGGCCGGGCGGGGGGCTGCGGGAGGGGCCGGGCTGAAGAGCTGGCTCGGGGCACTGACCGGCTCTCCCTCCCTTCAGGTGTCACCACCTTGGGCACCGTGACGGGCACCGTCTCCACCAGCCTGGCTGGCGCAGGGGGCCACAGCACCAACGCCTCGCTGGCCACTCCCATCACCACGCTGGGAACCATCGCCACCCTGTCCAGCCAGGTGATCAACCCAGCCGCCATCACCGTCTCTGCCGCGCAGACCACCATGACGGCCGCCAGCGGGCTGGGCACGCCCACCATCACCATGCAGGTAGGGCCTGCGCCGGACGCAGGGCCTTTCCCCTCCAGGGGGGCAGTGGGGCGCTGTGGGGGGGTGCCGAGCACAGGGGGGCAGTGAACGCGGGGAAGGGGGCAGTGGGACACGGGGGGGTGCCGAGCACAGGGGGGCAGTGGGGTCCGGAGAAGAGGGGTGCCGAGCACAGGGGGGCAGTGGGGTCCGGAGAAGAGGGGTGCCGAGCACAGGGGGGCAGTGGGGTGCGGGGAGGGGGGTGCCGAGCGCAGTGGGGTCCGGGGGGGGTGCAGCGGGGGTGCCGAGCACAGGGGGGCAGTGGGGTCCTGGGGAGCGGGGTGCAGCGGGGGTGCCGAGCACAGGGGGGCAGTGGGACGCGGCGTCTGTGGGGCACGGCCCCAGCCCCTCACCCAGCCCGTCTCGCGGCCCCCAGCCCGTCTCGCAGCCCACGCAGGTGACGCTGATCACGACGCCCAGCGGGGTGGATGCCCAGCCGGTGCACGACCTGCCAGTCTCCATCCTGGCCTCGCCCACCACGGAGCAGCCCACAGCCACGGTGACCATCGCCGATGTGGGGCAGGGCGACCCGCAGCCTGGCACCGTCACCCTGGTGTGCTCCAACCCGCCCTGCGAGACCCACGAGACCGGCACCACCAACACTGCCACAGCCACCGTCGTGGCCAACGTGGGCGGCCTAACCCAGCCCATGCACTTCGTGTGCGAGGGCCAGGAGGCCGGGCAGCCCAATGGTGGGTTAGTGCGCGTCTGCTCCAACCCCCCGTGCGAGACGCACGAGACAGGCACCACCAACACGGCCACCACGGCCACGTCCAGCCTGGGTGCCGGGCGAGTGTGCACCAACCCCCCGTGCGAGATGCACGAGACGGGCACCACCAACACGGCCACCACGGCCACGTCCAGCCTGGGCGCCGGGCGAGCGTGCACCAACCCCCCGTGCGAGACGCATGAGACGGGCACCACCAACACGGCCACGTCCAGCCTGGGCGCCGGGCGAGCGTGCACCAACCCCCCGTGCGAGACACACGAGACGGGCACCACCAACACGGCCCCCACGGCCCGGTCGCTCATGGGGCGGGAGCAGCCGGATGGCGGCCTGGTAGCCCCACCCAACCCGCCGTGCCAAACGCAGCACACCAGTGCCACTCGCACCACAATGTCGGCCAAAGCTGGCGTGCCTACAGAGCAGCCGTGCAGTACCAGAATGGCAAATCCCCCCCCGGCGGTGCCTGGCACCAACGCACAATCCCCGGCGCCGGCTGGCCGGCCCTGTGAGGCTCACCAGACCCACACCACCAACACCGCCACCACAGCTCGGTCGCTCATGGGCCGGGGCCAGCCAGACGGTGGGCCGGGGCCAGCCAAGAGCCCCCCGTGCCAAACCCAACAGACTTGTGCCACTCACACAACAATGTCAGCCAAAGCAGACGTGCCCACGGAACAGCCGTGCGGCGTGAGGATGGTTGCGCCGGACGTGGAGGCTGGGCAGCGATCACACGTCAATGACCCTTGTGAGACGGGCACCACCTCCACGGCCACGTCAAGCGTGGGCACCCGGCAAGTGTGCACCAACCCCCCGTGCGAGACGCACGAGAGCAGCACCACCACCACGGCCACAGCCAGCGTGCGCGCTGGGCGAGCGTGCACCAACCCCCCGTGCGAGACGCACGAGACCGGCACCACAAACACGGCCACATGTACCATGGGCGTTGGACGAGTGTGCACCAACCCCCCGTGCGAGACGCACGAGACGGGCACCACCAACACAGCCACCACGGCCACATGCACCATGGGCGCCGGGCGAGTGTGCACCAACCCCCCGTGCGAGACGCACGAGACGGGCACCACCAACACGGCCACCACGGCCACGTCCAGCCTGGGCGCCGGGCGAGCGTGCAGCAACCCCCCGTGCGAGACGCACGAGTCGGGCACCACCAACACGGCCACCACGGCCACATGCACCATGGGCGTTGGAGGAGTGTGCACCAACCCCCCGTGCGAGACGCATGAGACGGGCATCACCAACATGGCCGCCACGGCCACATGCACCATGGGCGCCGGGCGAGTGTGCACCAACCCCCCGTGCGAGACGCACGAGACGGGTACCACCAACACAGCCACCACGGCCACATGCACCATGGGCGCCGGGCGAGTGTGCACCCACCCCCCGTGCGAGACGCACGAGACGGGCACCACCAACACGGCCACCACGGCCACGTCCAGCCTGGGCGCCGGGCGAGCGTGCAGCAACCCCCCGTGCGAGACGCACGAGTCGGGCACCACCAACACGGCCACCACGGCCACATGCACCATGGGCGTTGGACGAGTGTGCACCAACCCCCCGTGCGAGACGCACGAGACGGGCACCACCAACACGGCCACCACGGCCACGTCCAGCCTGGGCGCCGGGCGAGCGTGCAGCAACCCCCCGTGCGAGACGCACGAGACGGGCACCACCAACACGGCCACCACGGCCACATGTAACGTGGGGACGGGCCAGGCTGGGGGGGCCCAGCACACCCCTGGCAGCGCGCCCTCCGAGATGCAGCAGACCACAGCCACCAGCACCACCATGGCAGCCAGCATGGGGGGAGCTGGCACCGAGCCCCCCTCCTCTGCCCCCCAGGAGCCGGGGGGAGCAGGGCCCAGCCAGCCCCAGTTGCTTCCCACAAACCCGGTCCCACGCGTCTGCTCCAACCCCCCCTGCGAGACACACGAGACGGGCACAACCCACACGGCCACCACTGTGACCTCCAGCATGGGCGCCAACCACGGTGAGCATGAGGGGTGGGACCTGGCGGCTTGGGGGGCAGGGCGTGGGGCCGGTCTCCTGTAGGGGCTCTGGGTGGGATCAGGGACTGGGGCATGGGGCCTGTCCCTGCTAGGGGTCACTGGCTCTTATCCAGCCCCATGGATGGGAATGGGGCAGGGGGCCTGTCCCCGCTGGGGGTCAGTGGCTCTGCTCAGGGCTGGGAATGGGGCAGGGAGCCTATCCCTGCAGAAGGGGGGCACTGGCTGGCTCTGGGACGTGGGGGAGGCTGGGAATGGGACAGGGGGCCTGTCCCTGTGGGAGGGGGGCACTGGCTGGCTCTGGGACAGGGGGCTGGGATGGGGGGAGCGTGGGGCTCCTGGGCTCTGATCTCTGCCCCCTTTCAGACCAGCCGCCGGGCGCCAACGGGCAGGGGCAGCCCGAGGGGGCGCAAGGCGAGGCCCCCGCCAGCCCCAGCAGCGTCTCCGCCGCGCAGACCCGCGCCGTGACCACCGTGACGCAGTCCACGCCCGCGCCGGGCCCCGCCGTGCCGGTGAGAGCCAGGAGCCCCGGGCAGCTGCGGGGGGCTGGGAGCCAGGGCGCCCCAGTTCTCTCCTCAGCTCTGGGGGGGCGTTTGGTCTGGTGGGTAGAGTTGGGGGCTCTGGGAGCCGGCACTCAGAAGTGTGCGGGTGGGGTGGGGCGGGGCAGGTGGCTCGGCGCCCACGCTGGGACCCCCAAGTGCTGCATTAACCCCTCCCCCCTTTGCAGAGCATCTCGTCACTGGCAGAGACCCCCGCGGAGGAGCCGCCGGCGCCCCCCTGTCCGGAGCCAGCGCAGCCCCAGCTCCCCGAGCCGCCACAGCCAGAGCCGCCGGCCGAGCCCCCGGCCCCGCCGCAGCCCCCCGCTCAGGGCCCCCCGGAGCCTCCCCCGGCCCCGCCGGCGCCCCCCGGCCGGCCCCCCGGCGCCCACCCCGGACGGGGAGCCACTGGCCCTGCCCCAGGAGCTGCTGGCCGAGGGTCAGGCGGGCGCCACCCTGCTGGTGACAGGGCTGACGCCCGAGGAGCTGGCGGTGACGGCTGCTGCCGAGGCCGCGGCTCAGGCCGCAGCCACCGAGGAGGCCCAGGCCCTGGCCATCCAGGCCGTGCTGCAGGCGGCCCAACAAGCCGTGCTGGGTGAGTGCCCCCCGGGGCCCCCGCCGGGACCCCCACCCCCTCACCAGCCCTGCAGGCCCTGGCCATCCCGCGCCCTCCGGGACCCCCGCGCTGGCCCCCTGCCCCCTGCGTGAGTGTCCCTGCAGCCCCCGCTGGCTCCTCCTTATCCCCCTCCCCTGCTGGACCCCGCTGCCCCTCCCCGGGCTGCCCACGGGGGCCCCCTGACCCTCCAGCTGAGCTGTGTGCCTTGCAGGTGCGGGGGAGCCCATGGAGACGGGCGAGGCGGGCACGGGGCCAGCGGAGCTGGGGGCGCTGGGGGGCGAGGGCCCCGAGGGGCAGCCCACGGCCATCCCCATCGTGCTGACGCCGCAGGAGCTGGCCGCCCTGGTGCAGCAGCAGCAGCAGCTGCAGGAGGCCCAGGCGGTGGCTGCGGCTCAGCAGCCCCACGGCGCCCCCCTGCCCACCGAGGCCCTGGCGCCCGCCGACAGCCTCAACGACCCGGCCGCCGAGAGCAACGGGCTGAGCGAGCTGGCCAGCGCTGTCAGCAGCACCGTTGCCCTCCTGCCCGCCGCGCCCAGCGAGGGTGAGTGCGCCAGGCCGCGGGGGCCCGGGATCCCTCCCCGGCCGGGGGTTGTACAGAGGGGCTGGATGCTGGGGAGGGGGGTGCAGGGCGTCTGGGATGTCTCCCAGGGGTGCGGGGGGGGCTGGGTGCAGGATGCTGGGGGCGGCTGGATGCTGGGGGGTGAGCGTAGGGCGCCTGGGATGTCTCCCAGACTGGGGGGCGCCCGGGTTCTCTCCCAGCTGGGGGGCTGGGCGCAGGACACTGGGGGGGGCGTACAGAGGGGCTGGATGCTGCGGGGGGTGTAGGACACCTGGGTTCTCTCCCAGCAGGGGGGCTGGATGCACTCAGTGCCCCTCCTGCCGTTCCTCCAGGCCTGGCTCCGTCCAACACATTCGTGGCCCCACAGCCCGTGGTGGGGCCCAGCCCAGCCAAGCTGCAGGCGGCTGCCACCCTGGCCGAGGTGGCCAATGGCATTGAGCCTGCCCCCATGGTGAGTGCAGGGGCTGTGCCAAGGGGTGGGGACTGGGGGAGCTGGGAGGATGAGCATCTGGGGGGCTGAGCCATGGAGGGGGGAGCTGGGAGGATGAGCACATGGTGGTCTGAGCCATGGGGCAGGGAGCTGGGGGGCTGAGCTATGTGGGGGGAGCTGGGAGGATGAGCACATTAGGGGCTGCGCCATGGGGCAGGCAGCTGGGGGAGCTGCGAGGACAAGCACGTGGGGGTCTGAGCCCAGGGGCTGGGGCTGATCCCTCTCTCCGCCCAGAAGCCGGATCCCTCGGTGCAGCCCCAGAAGCTGTTGGTGAAGAAGGAAAACCAGTGGTTCGACGTGGGTGTCATCAAGGGCACCAACATGATGGTGACCCATTACTTCCTGCCCCTCAACGACGCGCCCCCTAGCGACGTGAGTGTCTCCCCCGCCTGCCCCCCAGTGACAGTGTCCCCTCTGCCAGCCTCCAGCGCCGTGAGTGTCCCCCTGTCAAAGTGTGGGGGAGTCAGGGCCCTGCACCCCCACCTCCTGCGGTCCCCCGGGACGCTCAGCCAGCCAGGAACACAGGCCCCAACAGAGCTTGTGGGTCCAGGAAACAGGACCCCTCTTGGGGGTGGGCCTCCCCCCATCTCCCCAGCCAGCCCCAAACAGAGACTCCCCCCCGGCCCCTCTCTCCCGGGCCAGGAGGCCACCAGATCTCTTTGTTCTCCAGCCCGGGCCCAGGAGACGGGGTGTCGGCCATTCTCCGTGCAGACCCCATCACCCCGGCCCCCTAGAGCTCTGTGACCATCACCCCCCTGATCCCCCCACCTGGATCCTTAAGAAAGGCCTAGGGGAAACTGAGGCACCCACCCAGTATTCAGAGAAGACCTGAAGGCCATTCCCACTTCATCACACACCCCGGCCTGCCCCCCAGCCAGCAACGTGCCCCCCAGCAACATGTGTCCCCTTGTCCACGGCCTGCCCCCCCAGCGAGACACCTACACACCCCCGGGAGTGTCCCTGTGCCCCACGGCCTGACCCGATGCCATCCCTGCCCCCTGCCACTCTGAGTGTCCGTGTGCCTCTGGCACCATCTCCCCCCCCCCCCCGCCGCCATCACCTACACCCCAGCCCAGCTGCTCGCTGCTGTGACGTGTCTCCTGCTGCCACCACCATGGTAGCCACGGCCCCAGATGCCCCCCCGGCCCCACTGACTCTGGGCTCGTCCCCCAGGACGACTCGGGCACTGTCCCCGACTACACGCAGCTGAAGAAGCAGGAGCTGCAGCCGGGCACGGCCTACAAGTTCCGGGTGGCCGGGCTGAATGCCTGTGGGCGCGGCCCCTTCTCCGACATCTCCGCCTTCAAGACCTGCCTGCCCGGCTTCCCGGGTGCGCCCTGCGCCATCAAGATCAGCAAGGTGGGTGCCCTGCCCCCCTCGCCCCTGGCCGTGCCCCCCGGGCCTGGCCCAGCCGGCCGCTGGCCTGCCCCCCTCGTCTGCCTGCCGGCCGCCGGCCTACTCCCTCACCCCGGGGTGCCCTCTCCCGCAGAGCCCTGATGGGGCCCACCTGACGTGGGAGCCACCCTCGGTGACCTCGGGGAAGATCGTGGAGTACTCGGTGTACCTGGCCATCCAGAGCGCCCAGGCGGGCGAGCCCAAGGGCACGGCACCGGCCCAACTGGCTTTCATGCGGGTCTACTGCGGGCCCAGTCCATCGTGCCTCGTGCAGTCGGGCAGCCTGGCCAACGCCCACATCGACTACACCACCAAGCCGGCCATCATCTTCCGTATCGCCGCCCGTAACGAGAAGGGCTACGGGCCCGCCACCCAGGTCCGGTGGCTGCAAGGTGAGCTGGGCCAGGGGCCTGGGCCTCTGAGGGGGCAGAGCCAGGGCCGTGGGATGCCGGGGTTCCATTCTCAGCTGGCAGAGTGGGGAGGGGCTGAGAGCCAGGACACCTGGGTTCTCTCTCAGGGGAGTGGGGCTGGCGATGCTCCCCGAGTGTCTAACCCCCTTCTCCGGTGCTGCAGAGTCCAGTAAGGACGGCTCCATGGCCAAACCGGCCAGCAAGCGGCCGCTCTCCTCTCCCGACATGTGAGTGCCAGGGTGGGGGCTGGCGGGGCAGGGGGTGAGAAAGTGGGTGGTGCTGGGTGGGGGGGCACTGGGGCCTGGGAACCTTCTGACCCTGCTGGGGCCCAGGGGCATGGGGGGGTTCTCCACGGGGTGGCCGGGGACACACCGGGTGCTGTACTGGTCCCGGCGGGCGGGGGGCTTCTCTGCGGGGGGGCACGGGGGGCTGTACTGGTCCTGGGGGGGTGGAGGGGCTAGTTCCCATGGCACCATGGTCAGCTCTCACCCCCCCGTTCCCCTCCCCCCCCAGGAAATCTGCTCCAAAGAAGCCGAAGGCCGACGGGCAGTGAAGGAGGCCCCCCGCCTCAGCACCGGCTCCCCATGCCCCCGCTCGCCAAGGAAAGCGCATTTCATTGGGGCTGGACTGTGGGGCCGGGGGGTCACTGAACCGTGCTCCTCCCCCGGACCCTTGGCTGCAGGGGGGGCCGGGGGGCCCTGGACTCTGATTTGCCCGGGGGGGCATTGGGTTTTTTACATGTTGCAGTTGCTGGAATGAAGTTCTTTTGTCCTCCCCACTGTTGTGCGGGACGAGGGCTGCAGATTTGGGGGTGCTCCCCACCAGCTCTCACCTCTGTACAGACCCCCCCCCAGTTCCCTTGTAGTGTCTGAGTTGTAGAGGAGAGGGGGGGCTGTAGCTGTTGTGAATAGCAGGGTCCCTCTACAGGTGTTTGAGGGGGGGCCCTAGCTTGACCCCCCCACCCCGAATCAGAGCCGCTGTCTCCTCCCCCGGGGCAGGGGGGCTCCTGCCTCCCCTTGGGAAACACTTTTTTTGTATAAACCATTTTTTTAGGAAAAAAAGAAAAACCGAAAAAAAACCCCACGGGGGGGAGGGGCTCGTGGCCCCCCAGAAGATAGGGTCCCCCCCGGTGCGGGGGGGCCGGTACAGGTTTAAATGCCCTCTGAGCAGTTAGTCGGGTCATTTAGGGGGGAGCCCCTGCGTCTCCCCCTTGTGCCCTCCTGGTCGACATTCCATGGGGGCGCCCCCCAAGTTCGAGGGGCGGAGCCGGGGGGCTCCAGGCCCGGCCCCCGGGCTGAGGCGGGCGGGCAGCCCCCCTCGTTGTATGATAGTGTATTTCGCTGTGCCCCCCCGCCCCCGTGCTGTGTCTGTCGGGTTGTGCGATTTTCGACCATTAAAGACATTTTTGAAGTAAAGGGACGCCTGGCGTGTTTCGTGGGGGGGGCCGGCCGGATGGGGGGGGTCACGGGGCGCTTCCTGCTGCCCCGTGACTGGAAACGGGCAGCGCCGGGGGGGCGGGGATCAGCTGATAGGGTCACGTGGCCGCCTGCGCTGGGGGCGGGCGGCCGGACGCCTGGGTCCCGGGGCGGAGGATGGAGCCGGAGACGCGGGCGCTGCTCGAGGCTTGGCGGGGGCGGCTGGGCCGGGAGCTGGACGCGGCCATCGGCTTCTGGGCGCGCCACTCGCACGACCCCGAGCACGGGTGAGCGGAACCCAGGCGTCCGGGCTGCCCCCGAGCCGGGAGGGAACCCAGGCGTCCGGACTCTAACCCCTCCCCCTCTCTCTGCAGCGGGTTCTTCTCCTGTCTGGGCCGGGACGGGGCCGTTTACGACGATGTGAAATACGTCTGGCTGCAGGGCCGGCAGGTGGGGCCGGGGGCTCGGGGGGGCGTTGGCTAATGGGGGGAGCCGGGCTGGGTGCCAGGTTCTTGACCCAGGCCCCGTCCCCCCAGGTGTGGGTCTACGCCCGGCTGTATCGCACGGTGCCGCGGTTCCGACGTCCTGACCTGCTGGAGGCCGCCCGGGCCGGTGAGCCCCGCCGGGGAGGGTGGCGCGGGCGGGGGGGGGGGGTGGCGCGGGGGGCCGGGGGGGGAGCTGGAACATTTGCCCCCCCTTGGGTAATCAGCTGACTCGGTGTCACCTGACCAGCCCGAGGGGGAGGGGGAGGGGGCGGGGGCAGCGCAGCCAGGACGCCTGGGTCCTTTCCCCGCAGGTGGGGAGTTCCTGCTGCGCTGCGCCCGCCTGGGGCCGGGGTCCCCCAAAGCCGCCTTCGCGCTGAGCCGGGACGGGCGCCCCACCAAGGTCCAGCGCAGCATCTTCAGCGAGTGCTTCTGCGCCCTGGGGCTGGACGAGCTGGGGCGCGCCACGGGGGAGCCGCGCTACCGGGTGAGTGCCCGGCGGGGGCGGGGGCGGGGGCGGGGCTGCCCCGGACGCCTGGGTTCTGACTGCCCGTCCCGTCCCCCCCCCGCAGCGGGAGGCGCGGGCGCTGCTGGAGGCCGTGGTGCGCTGGGTGCGGGAGGACCCGACGGAGCTGGGACGCCCCCTGCTGGCCGGCGCGACGCCCCACGAGCCGCTGGCCGAGCCCATGATGCTGCTGTGCCTGGCGGAGCAGCTGGGGGCCGGGGCCGGCGCCGGGGGCCCCCTGGCCGAGCTGGAGGGGTGGAGCGCCCGGCGCCTCCTCCGCCACCTGCAGGTAGGAGCCCCCCCCCCCATGCAGAGCGCCCCCCCCCATGCAGAGCCCCCCCCATCTGCTCCCCATCACTAACACGCCGCCCCCGCAGAGGGACGGCAGCGCCGTGCTGGAGAACGTCTCCCCCGACGGGAAGGAGCTGCCGGGCTGCCTGGGGCGGCAGCAGAACCCGGGTGAGCCTGGACCTCTGGGTCGGGGGGGGGGGTCTGGATGGGGGGGGGCGCGCGCTGGGAGCTCGGACGCCTGGGTTCTGTGGCTGACTCTGCCCCCAGGCCACGCGATCGAGGCCGGCTGGTTCCTGCTCCGGTTCGCCCAGCGGCAGGGGGACGCGGCGCTGGCGGCTCAGGCCATCGAGGGGTTCATGGTGCGGCCCTTCCAGGCTGGCTGGGACCCCGAGCACGGGGGGCTCTTCGCCTTCCAGGATGCGGATGGGCTCTGCCCCACACAGGTAGGTAGGGGGCACCCCCGCTCCCCCCCCCCCGACCAGGTCCCCACCCCTCTGAGCCCCCTTTGTCGGCCCCCCAGCTGGAGTGGAACATGAAGCTGTGGTGGCCCCATGCCGAGGCCATGGTGGCCTTTCTCATGGCCTATGCCCACAGCCGCGAGCCTGCCCTGCTCCGCCTCTTCGACCAGGTGGCTGCCTACGCCTTCCAGCGGGTGAGTTTACCAGGCTGCCCAGGGGGAGCCTTGGCCAGTGGGGCATCATTGGGGGCTCCCCCCCAGGGGGACTCCTGGGCGCGCGGGGGCAAGTTGTCAGAGCTGTGCTGAAAATCACCATCCTCCTGCTGCAGTTCCGGGACCCCGAGCACGGCGAGTGGTTTGGCTACCTGGCGCGGGACGGGAAGGTGGCCCTCACCATCAAGGGGGGGCCCTTCAAGGGTAAGCGGGGCAGGGTGATGGGTTGGGTCTGGACTAGGTCTGCTCCTGCTTTCCTAGGGGACTGGAAGCCAGAAGAGGAGCAATGGTCTCAGGTTGCAGGGGGGATATTAGGAAAACCTTCGTCACGAGGAGGGCAGTGAAGCCCTGGGGAGGGCTCCCGAGGGCGGTGGTGGGATCTCCCCCCGAGAGGTTTTTAAGGCCCGGCTGGGACGATTTAGTTGGGGTTGGTGCTGCCATGAGCAGGGGGTGGGACTGGAGGGCCTCCTGAACCCCGCCCCCTAACAGCTGTAGGTGGGGTGGGGGCTGGGACCCCCCAAGTATTAACACAAATAGCGACTCTGTGCAGCGCGCTGGCCCGGCCCCCCTGTACCCGGCTTGTCCCTCCCCAGGCTGCTTCCACGTGCCCCGCGCCCTGCACCTGTGCGAGGAGATGCTGGAGAAGCTGCTGCGGGAGCCCGAGCGGGAGCCGCTCCTCGCGGGCCGCCAATAAAGGAAGTGCCGCAAAGACTCGTCTCCGTCCCCCCGTGTCCCCCTCGCTCCCGGCGGAAAACGCGTTCCCAGGGCAGGAGAAGCGGGGCCCGCGTCCGGTCCTGCTGGGAGCTGGAGCCCCGTCCGGTCCGGTCCGGTCCCTCCCGGGCTCCGAGGCCGCGCGTGTTAACGGAGCCGGAGTGACCCCAGAGCCGGCGGGGGTTGGGTTCCCGGACGCCTGGGTCCCGTGCCGGGCAGCCCCGCCCCCTCCTTCCCTGCTCCGGAGGCAGCAGCCAGCGCCGCTCCATCCCCCAGCGCCGGCCAATGGGCGAGCCCCGCGCCGCTCCCCACTGCGCATGCGCCGCTTGGGGCGGGGCCCCCAGGGCAAGGGGCTCATCAGCAGGGCTGCGGGGACGGGGAGGGCGTCGCCCAAGGAGCTGGACGGGGCCGGTCTCCGGCGAGGAGACGCCGCAAACACCGCGTCTCGCGCAGCCCGGGGCCCGTGGAACGCCCTGCCAGGGGACGCCCAACGCATCCTGGGGTTCAGAAAAGGAGGAAATCGGACCCTGGGACCAGCCCCCTGCTCTGGGTGTCCCTGAACCGCTGGGGGCCGGGCCCTGGTCTGTTCTTTCCCCTGAAGCGCCTGGATGGAGGGTTGCCCTGGCCCAGCACAGCTGTCCTTAGGGGGCTCTCCCCGCCCTGGGGGGCAAGAGAGAAATCTCCCCATTGCAGAGTCACAGCCCAGTGTCTCCGGCTCACAGGTCCTGGCCCCCTGAGAAGGGACAGGAATCGTGGGGGCTGCAGAGTGATGGGGGGGGGTCAGTAAGGAGCCAGCGGTGCTGGGGCGGGGTATCAAGCCCCCCATTACGGCATGTATGAGCAGTGCTAGGAGATCCCCGCTCAGCTCGGCCCGGGCCCCACCAGCCCAGTCCTTCCACCCCCCCCAACAGACTGGCCCCTCTCAGCCAGGCCGAGCCCCCCGACCCAGCCAGAGTCATTACCAGACGCTCCCACCCCTGGGGAGGGGGCATGATCCTGAGGCCAATGCTGCAGGAAAGACAAACCCCCTAATCCCACCCCCCAGCTCACTGGGGAAATGGCAGCCATGCCAGCTGCAGCGGGCCATCCTGCTGCAAAGCTGGTAAACTGAGGCACAGCCCATCTCAGCTCCGCAGGGGAGGGGAAGTGACTCACGGCTGATTGCAGCAGAGCCAGCTCCACTGCAGGGGTCTTCAGAGCAGCCACAGGATCCAACAGGCTGCTGAACCGACCCCACCAGGGCCTTCCACACACCCTCAACTCTGGGGAGCCCCTCAGCTTGGTCTCTGGGCTGCAGGACCCAGCCTGCTCCTGCGCATAGGGTGACCCCGGGGCCAGCTATGGAGAGCAGCACCCCTCAGCCCCGAACTCCAGGGAGCCCCACGGGCCCCAGAGTGTCCTGGAGGCTTCCCTGCTGCTCGCCCTCCCCTGGGCCCCCTTTACCACCAGGAGCCATGGGGCACTGCCCTCCCTGTGCCCCAGGAGTCAGCTTCCGCCCCCCGCCCCAGGCTTGCAGCAACTGGTAGCCCAACTGAGATGGGGCAGGGGGAGGGTGCAGCTAGCCTAGACACAGGCCCCATGACGGCAGTCAAAATATTAGCCGCATGACAGTAATTACGGTAGCAGAGGGGGCACAATTGCTTCTGCACGTTATTAGCAGCATTACAGTAGCACCTGGGTTCATGGCTGGCAGCCACACCTCGGGCCCCCTCCCCCTTTGCTGGCCAATGTTGGGGGGACCCCCCCCTTACCCCAAGCTGCAGCCAGAGGGGGAGGGGCTCAAAGTCGGGGGCGGAGCTAGATGGGGGGAGCCCCAATGGGGCAGGGGTGGGGCTAGTGATCACATGGCATCTCCAGGGGGTCTCAAACGCAGATCAGAGGTGAGGGGGTTAAAAAATGAGGGTGCTCACACACCCTGGGGGGCCCGCCTAGGAATGGGGGGTGGGGAGAGAACCCAGGAGTCCAGGCTCCCAGCCCCCTCTGCTCTAACCACCAGACCCCTCCCCTCCCCGAGCCGGGGACAGAACCCAGGTCTCCCGGCTCGAACAGACACAAAGAGAATTTAAGCAAACTTTATTTGGGGGAGAGGCCCCCAATGGACAGCAGCTTCCCCCTCCCACGGGTACAAAGCTATGCTCAAAGCGTGGGGCAGGGAGCCCCCTGCAGAGGGGAGCCCCATGGGCACGAGCATGGGTTTGGCCCGGAGGATGTCGGGCGGCAGTTGGGGGGGGGGGCTCACTCCCCGTTCCCGGCAGCTTTGAAGAGCCCTTTGCTGCGCAGACCGAAGGCGGGTTTGGGGGGGCCGGGGCCCCTCTTCCCGGCCAGGGCGGTTCTGGGGGGATCTGGGGGCTCGGGGACGCCTTCGGGCCCCCCCTGCCGTCCCCCGCTTTTGCTGAGAAGCTCCTTGAACACGGAGTCCATGTTTCGCGTCACGGCCTGGAAGGAGAGAGACAAGTGGGTGGGGGCCAGCCCCAAGGGCAGGGAATGGGGTGCGTCCCCCCAAACTTACCTTATCCATCTCCATGTGCTTCTCCGGTGCCCCTTGTCTCTCTCCACTATTCAGGCGACCTCCGCCGGGGGGTCCAATCCCCAGAGCCCCCCGCTCCATCCTGAGGGGGAGGAAAGGGGGTGTTGGCAGACAGAAGGGAGAGATTTGGGGGGCCCCATTCAGGGCAGCCACCTTTGGGGTGGGGCTGGCTCCCCAGGGACCCCTCGCCGAGGAGAGGGGGGTCTCACCTGTCAAAAGCCCGGGGGGCGGTGGGGGAGTGAAGGGGGAAGGGCAGACGCCCCGAGTCGATGAAGGGGGAGGCCACTTTGCGGATGGGGCTGGTACCAGGTCGCTGGCGCCCCCGGCTGCCCTCCGAGTTCACCCGCAGCCTGCGAGAGAAATGGGGGTTACCCGGCGACCCCTCGGTGGCAGGGCTGGTGGCTGGTTAACTGGGGGCAGGGCATCTGGGGACCCCTCGGTGTCGGGGCTGGTGGCTGGTTAACTGGGGGCAGGGCATCTGGGGACCCCTCGGTGTCGGGGCTGGTGGCTGGTTAACTGGGGGCAGGGTAGGGGCCAGGTATCCGGGGGTGGGGCGGGGCAGGGCAGGGGGCTGCGTATCCGGGGTCCCCTCCGGGGTGGGGCAGGGTATCCAGGGACCCCCCCCTTCACCTGCTGGTTAACTCTGATGTTGGCTCAGGTGGGGGGGACGCAGTGTCTCCGTCCGACCCCGAGGTTCGGCGACTCTGGCTTTTCTCGGTGCTGGGGGACAGAGCAGACTCTGTTAGGGGGGGGTTGTTCTCCCCCAGCCCCCCCCCCTCACTAGACCCCAACCCCCATCTGTTTCCGCTCCCCCAGCCCCCCCCCGCACTCCTCACCTGGGGGTCAGGCTGATGTACTTGTGGGGCACCAGGCCGCGGGCCCCCCCCAGCTCCCCGCGCCACCAGTCTGGGGAGGCCTTGGCCAGCAGCCGGATCCGGTCCCCGGGCTGGAACGAGAGCTCCTGGGACGAGCGCCCCTCGTAGGAGAACCGGGCCACGGCCTCGGGGGGGCCCTCCGGGTCTGGGGGGGACACACGTCAGACCACACCGGAGCCCCCCAGCCCCTCCCACCGGAGCCCCCCAGCCCCTACCCCCATAAGACCCCTAATGCCTCCCACCAACACCTGCCTAGGGCTCCCCACCTCCTCCCACCATCACCCCCCTGCCCCTGCCAGCGCCCCCTAGGGCCCCCCACCCCCTCCCGCCAGCAGCCCCCATTGCTGCCCCCTTGGGGCGCTGGGCGGCTGGCGTGTGCAGACAGTGGGACCCACGGGGGGGGTGACCCCCGGAGGGTGGGACCCTCTCCAATGCCAGAGCTGGGGTGGGGGGGGGGAAGGGACCTCCCTGGCCCAACCCCCCCCATCAGCCCCCTCACCGTCCTCGCTGGCCATGGCCAATGTTTCGGGGGGCCCGTCCCCCTCGCTCTCCTCAGCTGCGGGGTCCAGGGGCAGCATCTCGCTGGGGGGCGACAGACAGGGTGAGATCAGGGCCCTGCCCCTTCACCAGGGGCCCCCCAGAAATGCCCAGCACATCCCCTGCCCTGGCTCCCCCCACCTGCCCCCCACTCACCTGTCCTCGTCAGGCAGCGCCAGGCACCTCTCGTACAGGGGGCCGGGCAGCTGGTCGGGGGGGGGGAAGGTGGCCTCGGGGTGCAGGATCAGGCTCTTCACGGCCTCGTTGGCGTGGGGCTGAGTGGAGACGGGGTCCAGGCCGGGTGGGGCGGCTGCCAGCGTGGGCCCGAAGCAGACGGCCAGGTTGTAGGGGGTCATCATGTTCTCCTCGCTGTACTGGGACACGCTGGGGGGGAGAGCGGCCTGCTGAGCCCCACGGCACCCCCCGCCGAGTCCCCCCGCCTCACGGCCCCCCTCCCTGAGTCTCCCCCTGCCGAGCCCCCCGCTCCACTGCCTCCCTGCTGAGCCCCCTGCCTCACGGCGCCCCCCAGCCGAGCCCCTCCGCCTCACAGACCCCTGCCCCAAGGCCCCCCCGGCGAGACCCCTCGCCTCACGGCGCCCCCCGCCCCACAGCACCCCCTGCTGAGCCCCCGGCGCCCCCTGCCACTCACTGGTTGAGGAAGGCGAAGAGATATCGCAGGACAACGACCACGGGCCCCGGGAGCCGGGCCAGGAGGGCGCGGAGGTGGGAGATGCGCTCGGATGGGCACTCCAGCTCTGGGGGGTAGGGGGGGGTCAGCCAGGGGGGCAAAGAACAGGCAGAGGGGGGTCCATGGGGGGAGATAGGGACAGGGGAGTCAGGGGGGTGGGCCGGGGGGGGTCACAGGGGGGTGGGGCGGGGCTGGAGGGACACGCCAGGGGAGGGACGGGGCTGGGGGCCCATGGGGGGTGGGACACATGGGGGGGACAGACGGGGGGGACTCACCGGCCGTCGCCAGCAGCTCTGGGAAGACGTCCGGCGGAATCAGGGGCTTCTGCAGCCCCCGAAAAAACAACTTCAGGACCCCGGCCACCGAGTCCAGGTCACGGGGGTAGGAGCCGCCTGCCAGGGGGTCCTCGCCTGGGGGAGGAACCAGGGGTCAGTGGTGAGGTGGGGTGGCTCCCTCCAGTCTCCCACCCAGCCCCCGCATGCCCAGCCCCCCCATACCTCTCTCGAAGGCCTCCCGGATTTCAGTCACCCGCATCTGCGACCCCGGCACCCGGAAGATCCCCTCGTGCTGGAGACCTGCGGGGAGAATCCGGGTGGGACGCGGCAGCAGAGAACCCGAGGGAGGGGACCCAGGCATCCGGGATGGAGCGAGGGGGACCCAGGCGTCCGGGACGGGGCGAGGGGGACCCAGGCTCTTACCGTGCAGGTTGATGAATCGGATGCAGCTCTCCACCACCAGCGGGATGGCCTGGCCGGATTTCTGCAGGTGGGGGGGAGGAGATCAGACCCCAGGCCCCCGCAGCCTCTGCCCCATTGGTGGGGGAGGGGCTGGGAGACACTGGATCCACCCCCTCAGGCTCCAGCAAAGCGCATGAGGGGCAGGAGATCCCCCCTGCCCCACAGGGACCAACGGGGGGCCGAGCCAGCGGGGGTGGGATGCAGAGCAAGAGGCTGGGGGGGGTAGCATGGGGGCCAGCGGGGGGGGGGGGAGGGCAGCGGGGGGGCAGCATGCCGGGGAGGGGGGGATCTGGTACCTGCACAAAGTCCTCCAGGTCTGTGGGGAAGGAGGCGAATGCGGCCGGGACGCGGGGCAGGGAGGCGCGCGGAGGGGCCCTGTGTGTGGGGGGGGAGAACATGTCAGACACTGAGGTGGGGGATTCGGGGCCCCCCTGGCTGCCAGGGTCCAGGATACGGGGGCAGAGCTAGACCTGCCAGCCTTGGGAGCCCCCAACCCCCATCTTCCCCCCCACCCCCCAGCCTCCCCCCATCCCCCCCTCACCTGAGCTCCTCTCCGTCCTCAGGGGCCACTGCAGAGAAAGCGAGAGGCAGAGGGTGACTTGGGGGGGTTTCGGGAAATACGCGAATGAGGGTGCCTGGAACGTAACTGGATGATGTGTCGTGATCCGCTGCGCGTGGCCACCCCCTTTGTGTGAACGTGTCACTCTGGGGCCAACGGTGGCCCGGGTCCCGGTGCGATGCTGTGACGTGCGGGCCACTGATGGTGGCTTGGCAGGAGCAGCGACTGGGGGGGGCTCTGAGGCTTGCGGGGTCTCCCAGGACATGGGACCATGTCACCTGGTAGCAGAATCCACCCTAAACCTGGGGCTTTTCCCTTTGGAAGGAGTTATGGGGACCCAGAGAGGGACAAAGGGGTCCTGCCTGGGGCTAAAGCTATAACAGGGGGTGGAAGACAACAAAGGGGGCTGGAGTCATGAGAAATCCCCGAGTTCCCCTGAGCAGGAACAAGGGCTGCACCGGGGAAGGACGGGCCCAGACGAGGGAGGAGTCTAGTCTGGGAAAGAAGCTTCCTGGACCTTGTTCCCCGTGTTCGGTTCCGAGACGTGCTCGGCTTCGACTTGCGGGTTCTGTGGAACTTGCGGGTGACTCACTTTCTTGTGTTATTACTTGGGGCCACGCAAACCCGACCTGTTGTACAGACTAAAATCACTTTTTGCTCATTAATGAGCCCAGAGTAAGTGATTAATGCCGGGGGGGGGCGGCAAACAGCTGTGCCTGTTTCTCTATCCGCGTTCGAGGGGGCGGACGGCTCATGGCTTTACCCTGCGTAAGCTTCGGATCGATTTGGGGTTTGGACCCCACTGGGAACTGGGTGTCTGGGTGCGGGAGACAGGGGCAATTCTTAAGCTCTTCTCAGTTACGTCTGCAGCTCTGGGGCCCGTGGGTCAGCCCCTGGGTCTGTGTTTGCAGCCGGCTGGCGGGTCCGGCTCGCCAGGGCAGGGGGCTGGAGGCCCAGGCTGGCAGGGAAAACGGGCCCAGAGGTAACTCAGCACATCAGGGGATCTTTGTGACCGAATCCGTCACAAACAATTAACGCCCGGACGCCTGGGTCCTTCCTCCCGCCCCCACTCACCCTTCGCAATGGCCTCGTCCAGCATCTCCAGCTTTGACTGTAACTTCGCCCTGATGCTCCGTCGGGTCAGGAACAGCTCCAGCTTCTGCGGGGGAGGACAGGATGAGTGGGGCAGGGCGGGAGTGAGGGAGACGGGTGGGGGGGGCTGCGGGGCAGGAGCAAGGGGTGCTGGGGGGCTGCAGGTCGGGGGTGAGGGGTGCCATGGGGCGGGGGGGCCATACCGTGAGGTAGAAAGTCTCTGTCTCCAGCTGCTGGGCCCGTCTCTTGGCCCCGCTGCGCCCCTCGGCACCAGCCCCCTTCAGCGACTCGACCGAGCCGGGCCCCCCGAAGGCCTCCAGCACCTCGGGCTCCTCGGCCCCCAGCAGCTCCCGCAAGCTGCTCATTGTGGCTTGCAGCGTCTTGTACACCTGGGGGAACATGGGGCGGTGAGGGGGGAGCCCAGCGCTGGCTCCCAGAATCCTTTGCAGTGTTTTGGGGCACCAGGCTACCACCCCAGCTGTGTCCCACGCGGGCTGTGGAGCGGAGGGCCAGGGCCCCTCCGGCTGCGCGAGACGTGGGGTGACCAGGGGGCTGCGTCGGGCAACGTGTCCCGGCTGACGAGGGCCCCCCAGCGTGTCCCCCCCGGCCCCACCTCCTCGGTCTCCAGGCTCAGGTCCTTCAGCCGCGCCTCGATGTCCTGCCTATGCAGCAGCAGCTCCGGGCACAGGGACCCCACGGCCTGGACCTCCGACACCTGGGGGGAGCCAAAGGGGGCGATGCAGCCGGGGGGGTGGCTGTCCCCATCCCCCCATATCTTCCCCCTGCCCCCAAGCCCCCCACCTTCCTCGCCACCATACCCCACCTTCCCCCAACTCCCCACCTTCCCCCGCCACTGCACCCCACACCCCACCTTCCCGCAAGCCCCCCACCTTCCCCCGCCACCGCACCCCACCCCGCACCTTCCCTGCCCCCAAGCCCCCCACCTTACTCGCCACCATACCCCACCTTCCCCCAACTCCCCACCTTCCCCCGCCACTGCACCCCACACCCCACCTTCCCGCAAGCCCCCCACCTTCCCCCGCCACCGCACCCCACCCCGCACCTTCCCTGCCCCCAAGCCCCCCACCTTCCCCCGCCACCGCATCCCACACCCCACCTTCCCCCAACCCCCCACCTGCCCCCAGCACCGCACCCCACACTCCACCTTCCCGCCCCAACCCCCCACCTTCCCCCTGCCACCTTCCCCCCCACCTTCCCCTGCCACCATACCCCACCCCGCCCCCAACCCATCTTCCCTGCCCACAAAGCCCCCACCTACCCCTGCCACCCCACCCTGCCCCCCCTCTTCGCCCACCACCAACCCCCCATATTTTCCCCACCCCCCCACCTTCCCCACCCCCAACCCACCCATCTACCCCTGCCACCGCACCCCACCCCCCATCTTTCCCTCCCGGGCCCCCGATTCCTTCCCCCCGACCCCCTCTCACCTCGTCGCCTTCATGGGGGTGGTACTCGAAGCGGGGGGGAGGGCAGTAAGTGGCTGGGTTGGCCTCCATCAGCCGGGCCTTGTCCCCGGGGGGGTCCAGGGCCAGCACGGCCCCCTCCAGAACCCCCAGCCCCTCCTGCCAGGAGCTCTGGGCCCGGCCCTCGGCCGCCAGGTACGTCCGCAGCAGGCGGCCCAGGGAGAGATGGAACCCGAGGTCCGAGCACTGTGGGGAGACACACCCCTGAACCCCGGCCGGGGGCCCCCCAAGGCCGGCCCAGCCCAGCCCCCGCCTGGCCGGCGCCCCTCACTCCCGACCCGCAGCCCCCCGAGCCCAGCCTAGCCCCCGCCCAGCCGGTGCCCCTCACTCCCGACCCGCAGCCCCTGCTAGCCCAGCCCTGGGCTCCCCCGCAGGGCGGCCGGTGCCCCCCAATCCCCTGGAGCATCCAGCCTTCTCGGACGCCTGGGTCCCATTCCCCACGCTGCAGGGTCGCGGGGGAGCTGCCCGGACGCCTGGGTCCCCGCGTACGTCGAGTATGTCGGAGACGTCCCGGAGGCAGTAGTTGCTGATCACGGCGTTTGTGGCCCGCAGGTGCAGGAGATAATCGTTCCGCGCCCCTGTGCACTTCGCCTGGGCTGCCAGGAACCGGGCGTGACGCTGGCGGGGGGAGAGACCTGTCAGCTGGGGGGCAGCCGGGACCCCCCAAGTCCCCGCCCCCTCCTGGCCCTGCCCCCATAGCCCCCAAGCCGCCTCCCCCCACCTGCTCACCTTCTCCACCAGCCGTTCCCCCTTGCGGAGGGAGGAGCGCCGGCCGGTCTTGTCTGGCCCGGTGCCGCCCGGCTCGGCAGGCTGCCGGGCCCCCCTCTTTTCCTCCTGCCGCTCGGCGTCCCGCAGCTTGTTCTCGGCGCTCTGGCTCTCCGCGTGGTGCGTCTGGTAGGCTTTCATAGCCTGGGAGGGGTGAGGGGGTCAGTGGGGAGCCTGAAGACCCCTCCCCCGCCTGGGCTGGCCCCACGTGCGGGGGGCGGGGGGGGGTCTTCCGCACTCACCATCTGCAGCTCGGAAATCATCGTCAGCAGCTCGTCCTGCATCTGCTGCTCCAGGTCTCGGCTCTGGGAGGGGGCAGGGGGGCAGCGTTAGAGACAGGGGCCCTGAATATTAGCCCCAATCAACCCCTCCCCTCCCACACCGACCCCCACACCCAGGGCGTAGGATGGAACCCCAGGAACCCACGGGGGTAGGGAACAGCATCACGCTGGAGGAACAGGACCCAGGAGTCCGGGGCAGGGGGAGCAGTGCTGGGGGGAGGGGGGAAGGAACCCAGGAGTCCGGGGTGGGGGGAGCAGCCCCACCTTCTTCACTGCGCGCCCCAGGTCATCGCTGAGCTGGGCCAGGTGCAGCGACAGGGACCCCGCATAAATATCGCTCAGGGCCCCGTGGTCCCGGCCGGCCTGGCGGGTCTGCTTCAGCACCAGCTGCCAGCACTGAAGAGGGGATGGCGGGTCCTGCTCTCTCCTGGGGAGAGACCGAGAACAGTGCCCCTCACTCCCGCCCCGCAGCCCCCCGGCCCTCCCGTGCCCCTCACTCCTGCCCTGCAGCCCCCCAGCCCCCCCGGCCCGCCGGTGCCCCACACTCCTGACCCGCAGCCCCTGGCCCCGTGCGTGCCCCTCACTCCCGACCCGCAGCCCCCCAGCTTCCCCCGGCCTGCCGGTGCCCCTCACTCCTGCCCCGCAGCCCCCCGGCCCGCCCATGCCCCTCACTCTTGCCCCGCAGTCCCCCAGCCCCCCCGCCTGCCAGTAGCCCTCACTCCCACCCCCCAGCCCCCCCGGCCCGCCGGTGCCCCCCCAGTGCCCCTCACTCCCGCCCCGCAGCCCCCCAGCCCTCCCCGGCCCACCCGTGCCCCTCACTCCAGCCCCCCAGCCCCCCCGGCCCACCCATGCCCCTCACTCCCACCCCACAGCCCCCCACCCGGTCCGCCCGTGCCCCTCACTCCCGACCTGCAGCCCCCCACCCCCTCAGCCTGCTGGTGCCCCACACTTCTGACCCGCAGCCCCTGGCCCTGTGGGTGCCCCTCACTCCCGACCCGCAGCCCCCCAGCTTCCCCCGGCCTGCCGGTGCCCCTCACTCCCGACCCGCAGCCCCCCACCCCGCTGGTGCCCCACACTCCCAACCCGCAGCCCACCTGGGGTGCTCCTTGGCCCAGCGCAGCCGGGTGGTGAATCTCTCTGACAGCTTCTCCAGCCCCCGGGAATACTCCTGCTCCAGCTCGGACTTTCGCCGCAGGAACTCGCCCATGTCCTGGAGCAGCTGCAGCCGGGCCTCAGCCTGGGCCTCCCGCCCCCGCTGCTGCTCACCCAGCTGGCCACGCAGCTCTGCAGGTGGGGCAGCGTCAGCAGGGGGCGCCCAGGTGCCCAGGGAGCAGGGAAGGGACCCAGGAGTCCGGGGCTGGAGGAGCAGGGAAGGGACCCAGGAGTCCGGGACCGGAGGAACAAGGAAAGGACCCAGGAGTTTGGGGCTGGCGGTGGGCAGGGTGGAGCAGGGAAGGGACCCAGGAGTCCGGGGCAGGAGGAGCAGGGAAGGGACCCAGGAGTCCGGGACCAGAGGAACAAGGAAAGGACCCAGGAGTTTGGGGCTGGCGGTGGGCAGGGTGGAGCAGGGAAGGGACCCAGGAGTCCGGGCCATCAATTTGTTTGCTGGGCACTTTAATTTCTTGGGCAGCTACAGAGCTGGGGGGGCGGTGGGGCTGGGGGAATGGGGAAGTGTGAGACCAGCTGGCAGGCTGATGGGAGTGGAAGAGACCCCAGCCCCCTGGGCACCTGCCCCCCATGGAACCAGGGCTGGCTCAGAGGCCAGGGAATGGGGCACAGGGGACTGTCCCCGCTGGGGTGGGCACCGGCCGGGATCCGGCCCAGGGGCTGGCTGGGGGGGCTGGAACGTTCCCCTTTCCCTGCCCCCCCCGCCTTCCTTTTTCCCCATGGGCGGCAGCTGGCCCACTGATGGGGGGAAGGGCCGAGGCCGGGCACTGGTGGCCCTGCCTGTGGCCCATCCCCTGCCCTTTGGGGCACAGGCCTGTGGCCACATTTGGGGAACCCCCCCGGGTAACCTTCCCCTCCCCCGCATCCTGCCCAAGAGCCTCCGACCCCCATATACAGCAGGAGGGGACTGGTGCCTGCAACCCCACACAGGGCCACCCCCCAGCCCTCACCCACCCCCACCCAGAGCCCAGGAGTGAACCCAGGAGTCCGGGCTCCCCCCAACCCCCACCCCACAGTGAAGAACTAACCAACTCCTGGGTTCTCTCCCCGGCTTGGGGAGCGGGGGCGGGTGGTTAGAGCTGGGCGGGGCTGGGAGCCAGGACTCCTGGGTTCTCTCCTGGCCCTGAACTCTGCCGGGATTCCCCAGGGTTATGCGGGGGGAGGGGGGAAGTTGAACCGAGCTGAGAGGCCGGAACCTGCGGGGGAAGTTGCAGTAAAACCTGCTGATGCGATCGGCCAGGCTGCGGGGAGAGGCCGGGGTGTGGGTTGCCCCCCACTAGCCCCACTGACCTCCTGGAGCCAGAAGAGAACCCAGGAGTCCGGGCTACCTGCCCCCCTGCCCTAACCCGACAGACCCCAGCAGGGGGAGGGGCCCCAGCCACCAGGCGACCCCCTAAGCCATAGGACGGGGGGGGGCAGTGGGGTGGGCCCAGGTTTGGCGGGGGGGAGGCTCGGGGCAGCCCATTCAGCCCCCTCCCAATGCAGTGGCTCAGCCCCTCCCCCCATCTCTACCCCATTTTCAACACAGCCCGTCTACTAGGGCCCCCCCAAAACGCAGCCTCCTTCGGCCCCCCTGCGCCCCAACCCCCATAACCCCCCTGGTGCCCGCCCCCCTGCGCCCCAGCCCCCCATAACCCCGCTGGTGCCCGCCCCCTGTGCCCCAGCTCCCCATAACCCCTCTGGTGCTCGCCCCCCTGCGCCCCGCGCCTCCTTTGGTCCCCCAGCGCCCTCAACATCCGCCCCGCAGCTCACTGCCCCCTTCCCCGCCACGCCCCGCACTTTCTCAGCCGCCGCAGCCCGGTCCCTAGAGCCGGGGGGGCGCAGCCTCGGCCCCCCCCTCACCTTTCGCCTGCGCCTCATATTCAGCCTGCGGCCAGCGCTCCTTGCGCGCCTTGGCCAGGGCGCTCATCCCGGGCGGCCCCGCGGCTGGGGGCGGCCCCGCGGGGGGCCCGATCCGAGCGCGGGGGGCCCAGGGGAGCAGGGAGGATCCTTCGCCCCCCTCCGGGTGCTCAACAGCGGGTCCCCCAGTGCCCCACGCTGCGGATGCGCCCCTGGCCCCGCCCCCCGCGTCCGGTCCACCCCCCCCGCCCCGCCCCCCGCGTCCGGCCCAGCCCTGCCGGTGGGGGGGCCGGGAGGAGGAAGTCAAAGAGCATCCTTAACCCCTTGCGCGCTGCAGCCCCCCGCGCCAGCCTGCCCCCTCCCGTGCTCCACTCCCCACCGTGGGGGGGGGCGACGCAGGCCCCTCCCCCAGCAAGGTGCCAGCAGCGGCGGGGGTGGGGAGAGGAAGGGGGGGGATTTACCATGATTCCTCCCCCACGCGGGTGTGTCAGGATTGTGGGGGGCTGGACTCCCTAGGCAGATGCACGCCTCCCATCTCACCCCCGCAGGGCTCGGGGTGAGGGAAGGGCCCCCCCCGCCATTCCCTTCTGCCCACCCCCACTGTCTGCACATGAGATGGACAGAGCCAGAGCCCCCAGCCCCAGAGACTGACACAGGGCAGGGGGCTGCGGGTCGGGAGTGAGGGGCACCGGCAGGGGTGGGGGGGGGGGGGGGGAGGGCTGCGGGTCGCCTGTCCCCCCCCCCCCCACCTGTTTCACTTCCCTCCTGTCTCAGCACTTCGCCAGAAACACCAGGGGTCAGCAGGGGGAGGTGCGCGGTGCGGGGGGGGGGGGGCGGCCGCTGGCTGGAGGTGCGTGGCACCTGCCCCCCCCGATTCACCCACAAACCGAGTGGGGGGGGGCGCAGAGGTAACTTTATTGCTTTAACCTCTTCCTGCCTGGAAGGGGAGTTTCACAGCCCCCCCGTTAGGATTGGGGGGGGCTGAACCCTGAACCCCTCCCCAGTCACAGCTTTCCCCCTTGTCCTGCCATCCCCCCCACCTGGGTCCCTCCCCCCATGCAAAGAGTGGGGGGGCTGCTCCCCTTGGGGGGCTCTGAGCCCCAGCCCTGCACCCATTCCCCCAAGCGCAGGACAGGCTGCGTGTGGGGCAGGGGCAGGATACGGAGTCCAGCCCCCCCCCAGGAGTCGTTTTTCGGGGGGGGGGGTCAGAGTCCTTTCCGGGACACGGCGTCGGCGCGGCGGAGCTCGGCCTCGGGCACCAGCCCCAGGGCCCCCAGCGCCTGGAGAAGCTGCTGGCGGGCGCTGGCGACGAAGCTGTTGGAGAGGAAAGTGGGGAGCCCCCCGACCCCGTCCCGCAGCGTGTAGAGGGGGACGCGCACCAGCCCCAGGACCTGCAACGAGACGGGCAGGCCGTGAGCGGCGGCAGCAGGGCGCCTCCGCCCAACAGCGCCCCCCCAAGACCCCCGCCCCACAGAGCCCCCCCACAGCGTCCCCTCCCCGCCCAGCCCCTCCAAACCCCACAGCGCCGCACAGCACCCCCCCTCCCCGCCCAGTCCCCCGAAACCCCACAGCGCCCCCCTCACCGCCCAGCCCCCCCAAACCCCACAGCGCCCCCCCCGCCCAGCCCCCAAGACCCCCGCCCCACAGAGCCCCCCCCCAGCGCCCCCTCCCCGCCCAGCCCCTCCAAACCGCACAGCGCCCCCCTCCCCGCCCAGCCCCCCCAAACCCCACAGCGCCGCCCAGCCCCCCCAAACCCCACAGCGCCCCCCGCCCCCCCAGCCCGCCGCCCCACAGCGCCCCCCTCCCCGCCCAGCCCCCCAAACCCCACAGCGCCCCCCCCGCCCAGCCCCCAAGACCCCCGCCCCACAGAGCCCCCCCTCAGCGCCCCCTCCCCGCCCAGCCCCTCCAAACCGCACAGCGCCCCCCTCCCCGCCCAGCCCCCCCAAACCCCACAGCGCCGCCCAGCCCCCCCTCCCCGCCCAGTCCCCCCAAACCCCACAGCGCCCCCCTCCCCGCCCAGCCCCTCCAAACCCCACAGCGCCGCCCAGCCCCCCCCCTCCCCGCCCAGTCCCCCCAAACCCCACAGCACCCCCCTCGCCGCCCAGCCCCCCTCGACCGCCGCCCCACAGCGCCCCCCTCCCCGCCCAGTCCCCCCAAACCCCACAGCGCCGCCCAGGCCCCCCCCTCCCCGCCCAGTCCCCCCAAACCCCACAGCACCCCCCTCGCCGCCCAGCCCCCCTCGACCGCCGCCCCACAGCGCCCCCCTCCCCGCCCAGCCCCCCCAAACCCCACAGCGCCGTGCCGAGCCCCCGCCCCAGCGGCCCCCCACCTCCAGCCCGTGGTCCGCGGCTTTCGTGGCTCCCTCCTCCAGGGCCCGGAGCTGCTCCAGGCTGAGCCGCTTGGCGTAGAAATGAGCCACCAGGCGCTGGGGCGTCTCGGCGAAGCGCGCCCCGAGATGGTCGCCCTCGGCCAGGCTCAGGGGGGCCGCCCCGGGACCCAGCTCCTCCCGCAGCTCGCGGCTCAGTCCGGCCTCCAGCGAGCTGTCCCGGGGGTCCACGAACCCCCCCGGGAACCCCAGCTGCCCGTCGAAGCGCATCTGCATCTGGGGGGGCGCAGGTTTAACGAGGGGCTCGGGGGGGCGTTGAGATAGTTCCCCGCAGATTCATCCCCCCAGGTATCTCTCTGCCCTTGAAGCCCCCAGGCTCCTGCCCCCCCCAGGGGATTCCCTTACGGCAGCCCCCCACAGGGGCCTCAGTCTGAGGCTCTGCCCCCCCGAAGCCCTCAACCCTCGCAACTCCCCAGGGGGACACCCCCCTAGCTCAGCCCCCCAGGAACCCCCTAGCTCAGCCCCCGAGTCCCCCCCCGCTTCCCAGGGCTCCCCTAACTCAGCCCCCCAGGAACCCCCCGCTTCAGCCCCCTCGGAGCCTCCCGGGCCCCCCCAGCTCCCCGGAACCCCCTAACTCGGCCCCCCCGGCTCAGGCCCCCAGCCCCCCGGAACCCCCGGCTCAGTCCCCCCGGAGCCTCCCAGCCCCCCGGAACCCCCTAACTCGGCCCCCCCGGCTCAGGCTCCCAGCCACCCCCGGCTCAGCCCCCCCCCGGAGCCTCCCAGCTCCCCGGAACCCCCTAACTCGGCCCCCCGGCTCAGGCCCCCAGCCCCCCGGAACCCCCGGCTCAGCCCCCCCCGGAGCCTCCCAGCCCCCCGGAACCCCCTAACTCGGCCCCCCGGCTCAGGCCCCCAGCCACCCCCGGAACCCCCGGCTCAGCCCCCCCGGAGCCTCCCAGCCCCCGGAACCCCCTAACTCGGCCCCCCGGCTCAGGCCCCCAGCCCCCGGAACCCCCGGCTCAGCCCCCCGGAACCCCCTAACTCGGCCCCCCGGCTCAGGCCCCCAGCCACCCCCGGAACCCCCGGCTCAGCCCCCCCCCCCCCCCGGCCCCCCCCCCCGGAGCCTCCCAGCCCCCGGAACCCCCTAACTCGGCCCCCCCCGGCTCAGGCCCCCAGCCCCCCGGAACCCCCGGCTCAGCCCCCCCGGAACCCCCCTAACTCGGCCCCCCGGCTCAGGCCCCCAGCCACCCCCGGCTCAGCCCCCCCGGAGCCTCCCAGCTCCCCGGAACCCCCTAACTCGGCCCCCCCGGCTCAGGCCCCCAGCCCCCCGGAACCCCCGGCTCGGCCCCCCACCAGCACGGCGTGGCGCAGCGGGACGCGGCCGAAGAGGCGGCCGGGGCAGGGGGCGTAGAGCAGGGCGTGGCAGGCGTGTCTCCAGCCGGGCCCCAGCTCCAGCGCCTCGGCCCGGGACAGGACCCGGGACTCGCCCATCGCCGCCACCTCCATGCGGGCCCCGCCCCACGCCCCGCCCCTTTCTGCAGGGAGCGAGGCGCGCCGCGGCCAATCAGCGCCCGCCAATGGAACGCGGAGACACGCACGGCCCCTCTTGTGGGCGGGGCGAGTGGAACGTGGGCGCTCAGCTGGGCGGCGGGGGGCGGGGCGAAGGGAACGTAGCCCCACCCCATTCCGAGGTGCTGGCCAATCACGTGGGGGGGCCGCACAGACGGACGAGGCCATCCAATCTGCGGGCAGGCGCCCCCCCCGCCCGCCCATAGAGGGATCTCCAGGGGGCCCTGGGACAGGACCCCAGGGGGCCGGATCAGGGGGGCCTAGAAACGGGGAGTCAGCAGGGGGGCTGGAGAAGGGGCTCTAGGGTGTCCCCAGCAATAGAATGGGAAGTTCCTGTAATAGGTGGTATGAATACAGTGTGTGCCTCAGTTTCCCTCATGCGGAACATGGTTAAGGGAGCTGGGGGGGGGCCGACAACGCCCAGCCACGCAGTGCCCAGCGCATAACAACCCTGCAGCACGCCCCCTCCTCAGGAAGCTGGGGCAGGGGGACCCAAGGTGCCTGGGGGAGGGGGGGTAGTGGAGGCAGGACTCTCTGTGGTCGGGCGGCTGGGACCAACCACAACTCTGATACCTCAGGAGGGGGTCAGGCTGTGTCCAGACCCCCCCCCCAAATCCCCGTGTTCACCCCACCAGCAGAGACACTCCAGAGCAAGGAAGGCAGGGGGCTGGGGCTCCCCTAGGTCCAGTCCAGGGGGCTGCAGGCTGCAAGGGCATGGGCACGTGACCCGAAGGGGGGCTGCCCCATTGGTGGGGTCCCCAAGGGCTGTTCCCAGCCAGGAGCCCCCCCAGCAGCAGGGCAGAGACCACACACCCCCCACAGCTCAGCAGTGACCTTTATTGGCGGGCTGCCCGGGCGCCCCACAGCGGGGCCCTAGCAGGCCGAGTCGGAGGCCTCAGAACTGTCCTTCACATCGGTGCTCTCTGTGGCCTCGCTCACGTCCTTGCTGTCCCCCCCGCTGTCCTCGGGGCCCCCCCGGTGCCCCCACCACCCCCGGGCAGCAGTCGCCCCCATGGTTGGCCTTGTGCTCCAGCCCTGGCTGGGGGCTCCGCTCCTTCAGCTCCAGCTGCCGCCTCAGCTGTAGAGAGAGGACGGTTCAGGGGAGCCTGACAGCAGGGGCTGTGGGTCAGAATGAGGGGCACTGGCAGGGCTGGTGGGAGTGGGGGGCACTGGGAGGGTTGGGGGAGGCAGGGCCGGGCTGGCAGGGGCTGAGGGCCGGGAGTGAGGGGCACCGGCAGGGGCAGGCTGGCAGGGAGCTGTGGGTCAGGAGGGAGGGGCACCAACAGAGCTGGGGGGGCACAGGGCCAGGCCGGCAGGGGGCTGCGGGTCGGGAGCGAGGGGCACCGGCAGGGCCGGGGGGTGGGCAGGGCCAGGCTGGCAGGGAGCTGTGGGTGGGGAGTGAGGGGCACTGGCAGGGCTGGGCAGGGCCAGGCTAGCAGGGACTGAGGGTCAGGAGGGAGGGGCACCAACAGAGCTTGGGGGGCGGGGGGGGGCGCAGGGCCGGGCCGGCAGGGGGCTGCGGGTCGGGATCGAGGGGCACCGGCAGGGCTGGGGAGTGGGCGGGGCCAGGCTAGCGGGGGCTGCGGGTCGGGAGCGAGGGGCACCAGCAGGGCTGCGGGGTTATGGGTCGGGAGGGGCCGGGGGTACACACACTCTCCGAACCTCATCTGCCATCTGGGTCAGGTCCCGTTTCATGGCGTAGGCGTCTTCCCCGTCAGCGTAGTACTTGGGTTCCACCTCACTGATCCTGGGGGGCGTGTGGGGAGCACATTACCATCAGGGGGTACCAGGTAGACTCTGACCTGCCCCCCCACAGCGCCCCTGCTGGCCCCCCGCCACCCTCCCTCCCCCTGCACTTCCCCCTGCCCCCTGCCACCCCCCCACCCCGCACTCACTGGAAGTTGAGGGTGTTGGAGTACAGGTGAAGAGCTGCCCGGTTACTGCAAGAGAAGTGGGGGTGTCAGTAAATGGGGGCATGAGGCGTCATTTGGTCCGGGCCCCCCCAGGAGACAGGGTGGGGGAACAAGGGAGGCAGGGACCAGGAGGGGAGGGGGCCAATACCCAGCTGCGCATTTACGCTGGGCAGAGGTGGGGAACACAGGGGCAGCGGGGCTCAGAGCTGGGTGGGTGAGACTTGCTCTGGGGGGCTGGGTGAGGAAACGCAGCTGGTGAGCAGCCTCCAGGAGGATCCAGGGGTTACCCAGAACCTGCAGCCGGGGGGCTGAGCTGTCACAGGCAGGGCAGGGGGTGGGGGACAGAGGGTTGGCGGTGGGACACCCCAATATTCGCCATTGTCATGGAATTCGGACGTTGTGTGCAGAGTGAACCTTGGGGGGTGTCGTTCTCCGCGTCAGAGAGCGTGTCCGTGCGAGCGCGCTTTCAACCTCCCGACAAGCAGCCTTTCAGGTAGGAGAGTGAAAATGCTCATTGAGGAAACACACCCACACACCAGGGTCGCCCCAGGGACTGGGTCCACTAGAAAGCTCTCCGGGGTTGCCCTGCACCATGGGAAGTGTGGGACCCAGGTAAGAACTTTCCAGCAAGTGGGGAGAAGACAGAAAAGGGGGGTGTGACAAAGCGGGACTGTTCTTAATGTTTCCTCTGAATATTCTGGGGGTGCCTCAGTTTCCCCTAGGCAGTTCTTAAGTCTCTAGGGGGTGGGGTAAGGATGTATGATGGTTGCACAGCCCTACAGGGCAGGTGTGTGCAGGGGTCTGGACACAGAGAATGGCCGACACCCTGTTTCCTGGCAACTGATGGCCTGGGCCCTTCCCCCTGCAAGGTGAGAGCTAAAGGGTTGGAGAACAAAGGAATCCGGTGCCCTCCTGGCCCGGGAAAGGGACAAAGCCCAGAGGAGGAGGGGCTGGAAGGGGAGGGAGTTTGGGGCTGGCTGGGGACATGGAGTGAAGTGCAGACGGGGTTGTCTGGCTCACTGCCCCCCAAAATTGACCCAGCTGAGGGGTCCTGTTCTCTGCACCTACAAGCTCTGGTTTAGACCACGTTCCTGTGGTCTAATAAATCTTCTGTTACCCCGGCTGGCTGAAAGTCCCGTCTAACTGCGGAGTTGGGGGGCAGGACCCTCTGGCTTCCCCAGGACCCCTCCTGGGTGGACTCGCTGAGGGAAGCACACGGAGGGGCAGAGGATGCTGAATGCTCCAAGGTCAGACCCAGGAAGGGGGAAGCCGGGGGAGCTGTGTGTCCTGCAGACAGGCTGCTCCCCGAGAGGAGACTCCCCCAGAGTCCTGCCCGGCTTCGCAGGGAGCAGTTCCAGAGCATCGCCCAGGGACTCTGTGACAACTGGTGGCAGCAGTGGGATGTACTGCACCCCATGGACGGCGCTTCCTGCAGTAAGCGACGGGGGAGCAGTAAAACAAAGGGGGATTGACGGGGACCAGGTGCGCTGAAGGCTCAGAGAGGAGCGGTTTCGGGGGGCGGTTAACACCTGGGAGTGTGTGACCAGCGAGAAGGACTGTGCAGTAATGGGGTCCCCCTGGGGACTGTGGTGAGCAGTCTCAGGGGCGGAGGAGCCTGCGGCTTGGCCCTGGGAGAGAGAAGGACTTTGGCAATAACAGGGTCCACTGGGGGATTGCAGCAAGCGGTCCCAGGGCTGGAGGAGTCTGCCGCTCGACCCTGGCAAAGAGGGGGTGACCTCGAGAAGGGCTGGCACACGAGGGGTTCTCCCTGGAAACCGTGGGGAGCTGAGAGCACACAGGCCTGTGAGTCCGCAGCAACTTGGGAGGAGCGGAGTGACGGCCTGTCACCGTCTCCTGAAGAAGGACACCGTAACCCGGTGCAGAAAGAGAGGGTTGAGCATTGGGAAGTTCACCAAAGCACAGTTCATCGTGCAGCTGGAGGAGGATGACCGCTCGAAGGAACAGATTCCTGACCCCAAATGGGGCTATAGCAGGATCTGGGAGCAGCTGGAGTGGGAGCCAGGCACCCCCAAAACTCCTGTCCCCGACCAGACGAGGGTCTTCATGATCGGGTTCCCCATCGGGGGATCGGAGACGGACGGGATTGGAGCCGAGTCCGAGAGAGCAAGAGGACTGTGGGAGACAGCGAGAGCCCGAGAAAGAGCTGCAGAAGCTGCAGCAGCATGAACTGGCGGTGGTGGGGCGGAGAGGCCTAGGGGACCTCCCCGGGGTGCGTGGGGATAGATCCCGGGGGGCCAGTTCCACTGGGAACCTCGAGACTAAATTGCTGCCCCTGGCTGGGCGGTGGGGGCGGGGGGGAGATGTGGATGCCACCTCACTGCCTTTGAGCAGGCTGGCGATTTGAACCAGGGGGACCCTGTGGAAAAGTCCCGGTATCTAGCTCCCTTGCTGGGTCCCAAGGCCATAGACTCCATCAGCCCGATGGGTGGGGAGGTGGACAGGCTCCCACTCCTGACCCCAACCTATATGTCGGTGTGGAGTTTCCTGGGGCCAGGCCCCTCGGACCCCCAGTGGGAGCGGAAGGGGATGGTCAATGGGGAGACATTCCTGGGACGGCGAGATCCTGGGACAGAGAGAACTGGTGTCAGGCCCTGGGGGGTGCAGCCTCAGAGGCTGAGGGGCTGGGTGTGGGTCCCAGGGACGAAGCCCCTCACCCTGCCTATGGCCCAGATCCCTGTGCAGACCCAGGAGGGGTGGGGCTGGTTGGCCGTTGGGGTTCTCCAGGACACCAGCTGCGAGACCCTGTTGTGGGGTGACTGTGTCTCTTTGGGACAGGATCCAGGCCCTGCTCCGGAAAGGGCCGAGGGTTTGAATTTGAATCCAGGGAACCAATCAGCAGAGAGGGAAATGGTCAGTGAAAATGCAGATAACCTGGCTGGTAGCGGGGAGGAGCCGCTAGGCCCAGGCTACCTGCCTGCCTGCGACCAGACCCCTGGGGCTCCCCGCCCCCCGTGCACACGGGAGAGGGGGCTCATGCTGGCTCTGATGCCGTGAGGAAAGCAGCGAGCTCGCTGCCTACCCCCACTGGGACAGCAAGGGCAGCGCTGACCCCAGCTGAGTGGGGGGAGACACAGGCAGGGCAGGGGATCTGTGGGGAGTGGCAAGGTGCTGGGTAAGGAAAGTCTGGATGAGCCTAGGCAGCCTTGTGAGCTGATGGCTGTGTCTAGTCAGCAGGGTGGGAAGGCGAGGAGAGTGGAAGATGAGTGTCCCTGGACCTTACCTGTTAGCTGGGTGGAGAATTGGGACAGTGAAGGAAACGTCCCTGTGTCTGTCAGGGGTATTGACTTGCCTATGGAGGGAGCTACCCTGATCTCCAAGCAGTTGTCTGTGACCTGCCTTGTGTGCTGGGACCAGGGGAATGAGATCCCAAGCTGGGTGTCTGGGAAGGGAGAAAGTGTGTCCGGCTCTTCTTTGTCCGTGGAGCAGACAGAAGGGGCCTTTCAGCCAGTGACGGTTGAGGGTCGTGCAGTTGTCTCAGAGCTGGTTCTGGATTCAGCTAAAGCCCAGGAAGGGAAGGGTCCTAAGTTTGTGTCTGCTCGGGAGAATGGCACCGTAACTAGGTCACATCCAGTTAGTGTCTATGTAAAATCCCAGAGCCGAGACAATTCTGGTGCTTGTATTTCGCCTGTTGCTAGTGTGTGGCTGGGAAAGGGTGGAGCAACTCTGTCTAATCAGAGTGAGATCCTAGCCAGGGCACAAGGAGAGCATGAAGGTGATGTGATTGTGTTACCTATGAGGGTGTGGAAACCTGTACCAAGAAGGAAAAGATTCCTGAGCTTGTATGTGGCAAAGAGAAGGAGAATGCTTCTGACCTTTTATCTCAGAAGTCTGTAAGTTTGCCTGGAAGGGGATTGTGTAGGAATCCACCGGATGGGCCAGAGGTGATTCTGGATGTAAGGGAGACCCAGAAAGAGCCTGTTGTTGCTCAGGAAAGTGTTCCTCTAGAGCAAGCCCTCGCTGAAGAGGGTAAGGGCAGAATTTCTGTGAGGGGTGAATTGTTGCATAGAAAAGCCCTAGGGAAAGGAATCCTCCTGGAGTCTTTGCAAGCAGTTTACTGCCACTGAAGGGTGTGAAAGTGATTTAATCCAGAAAGTTTCAGTTCCTAACAGCCCGAAATTTTCTGTTGTGAATGGATCCACTGACTGTCCTGTTGAAAGATCCAGCGTGGATAGCTTTGAGAAGGGCTCAGACGGAGTGAAAGCTGTTAAGTTAAACAGTCCTATAACCCAGTGGCTGTGTTTGGCCAGCTTCTTGGGGAGACAAGGCTGTGGAGAAAGGGATGTCTCCATGCTAGTTCTGTAAGTGAACAGTATGTGGCCCAGGTCAAGATGGGGGCTCTTAACCAAGAGAGCCCGAATTGCAGCCCTCCAGACTGGAGCGGTGGGAGAAGACCCAATCCCAGTTTGACCCCCAGGGGTTTTGGGGTGGCAAGAGGGCACGGGCCGCATAAACCTTCCCACATGCAGCCTGCGAGTGCTATCGACCACCCCGACCTAAGGCAGGGCGTGAAACTGGAAGGGCCTGGTGTAACTCTCACCAAGGAACGGGAGAGATGCTGGGGCATCCATGGGAACATTGGTGGCTTCGAACTTCCCCAGGTCACCGGCTAAAGTGACCCCGCTCAGTTCAGTCTCGAAGGGGGGAGAAATGTGACAAAGTGGGACTGTTCTTAATGTTTCCTCTGAATAGTGTGGGGGTGCCTCAGTTTCCCCTAGGCAGTTCTTAAGTCTCTAGGGGGTGGGGTAAGGGTGTATGATCGTTGCAGAGCCCTAGAGGGCAGGTGTGTGCAGGAGTCTGGACACAGAGAATGGCCGACACCCTGTTTCCTGGCAGTTGATGGCCTGGGCCCTTCCCCCCCTGCAAGGTGAGAGCTAAAGGGTTGGAGAAAAAAGGAATCCGGTGCCCTCCTGGCCCAGGAAAGGGACAAAGCCCAGGGGAGGGGGGGCTGGAAGGGGAGGGAGTTTGGGGCTGGCTGGGGACATGGAGTGAAGGGCAGACGTGGTTGTCTGGCTCACTGCCCCCCAAAATGGACCCAGCTGAGGGGTCCTGTTCTCTGCACCTACAAGCTCTGTGTAAGACCCTGTTCCTGTCGTCTAATAAACCTTCTGTTTTACTGGCTGGCTGAGAGTCACGTCTGACTGCAGAGTTGGGGGGCAGGCCCCTCTGGCCCCCCAGGACCCCGCCCAGGCAGACTGACTGTGGGAAGCGCACAGTTGGGCAGAGAAGGCTGAATGCTCCGAGGTCGGACCCAGGAAGGTGGAAGCCGGGTGAGCTGTGTGTCCTGCAGACAGGCTGCTCCCCAAGAGGAGACTCCCCCAGAGTCCTGCCTGGCTTTGTAGGGAGCAGGTCAGAGCATCGCCAGGGGACCCCGTGACAGGGGGACAGTGACATCATAGGGGGACCTTGGTCTCCCTGCGACAACACCCCTGGAAACGCCTGAGGGGCAAGTGCTGGCCCCAGGCGAAGAGACTTGTATATGAAAACCCGGGAAAGCCCAGGCAGCTTGTGCCGTAAGAACCTGGCGGCCTGTTTCTCGCCCCGGGTGAGAATTGGCTGATTTACACCCCACCTAGCGAGTGGGATGCTCAGTTTCGGGATTTGTTTAGTTGCTGGGTGATCTGCTTCCATCTGCTGCTCTCCCTTAGAGTCACTTATAAACTCTGTGTTGTCATTAATACACTTGGTTTGGTTCTGTCTAAAACCACAGGGTGTGGAAATCCTGCCTGGGGGCAGAAAGCCGGGCACCTCCCTCTCCACATCGCAGGAGGGGGCGACCGTCACGAGCTTGCGCTGTCAGTTCCTGGGGCAGCGCCCTACGGTACCATTGGGGGTTTATAGTCGGGAGGGGAGGGGGGCACTTGAGTAACTGGGCAGTTCCTAAGCCGAGCTCCCCCAGGCAGAGCTGATCTCAGCATGCGTGCGGCGTTGCACTGCAGGTGGGACAGACGGGCTCAGGGGACCCCTGGGGGAACCTGTTACAGGCGGGTTGGGAGGGGTTGGCAGTGTGACGAAGGGGATCCCAGGCAGGAAGGTTCCAGGGTAGGGGATGGGGATCCCAGGCAGGGGGTTGGGGTCCCGCGGGGGGGAGGCTCACCTCTTGCGGACGTGCAGGGAGACGTACTTGGCATTGAAATTCTCGATCATGGCACGGGACGCCTGGTCCATCAGCTTCTGCGCCAGCCCCAGGCGTCGGTGGGAGCGTTTCACAGCCTAGGGGGGTCAGGGGGTGAGTGAGAGGACATTTCAACCTGCACCCGGCCCCCCCTCGAACGGGGCACACCCACCCCAGTCAGCCCAGCCCCCCAATAACTCCCAGGCACCCCTCTGCTCCAGACCCCCCCCTTTTTGCCTCCCCCCAAGTCTGGCAGCCCCCCCCTCCAGCCTCCCCCCCCCCCCGTGAGCACCCCACGCACCAGGGAGGTGATGTGTCCATGGGGCAGGTCGTCGGGGTCCTCCTCCCTAAGGTGACAGGAGATGGGTCAGTGTGGAGCCTGAGAGACGTGCCAGCCCCACATGCAGACAAGGGGGGCATGAGGGGGGGCTGGAGCAGGGAGAAGCAGAGGGAGTGGGGGGGGGGCAGGGCACAGGAGATTTGGAGGGTGCAGGGGAGGTCGGCAGAGGCACCAGGAAGGGGCAGCGGGGGGTTTGAGAGGGCAGGGGACAAGAGGGGCCAAGGCAGGGGAGGGACAAGGGGGGCCAGGGTGCGGGAGGAATTGGGGGGCTGCTGACGCCCTAGCCCCATGACTCACATCTTGGCCAGCACATAGCCCACGATCTTGCCATTCTCGTCCTCGGCGATGTAGGAGAGCTGGGGGGAGACGGGCCGGGGTGAGATTGGGGGGCCAGGGGCGGGAACCGCCCCCAGGAGACGTCCCTTCCTACCTGGCTGTAACTGCGGTTCCCCTGGAACAGCCCGCCCAGGGGAGAGCCCAGGCGTCCCGGCCCCCCCCGGGGGAGAGCCCGGCCCCCCTCCCCCGCCCCCCCCGTCCCGGCCCCCCCCCCGCCCCCGGGGAGAGCCCAGGCGTCCCGGCCCCCCTCCTCCTCCCGCCCCCGGGGGAGCCCAGGCGTCCCGGCCCCCCTCCTCCCGCCCCCGGGGGGAGAGCCCAGGCGTCCCGGCCCCCCTCCTCCCGCCCCCGGGGGGGAGCCCAGGCGTCCCGGCCCCCCCTCCTCCCGCCCCCGGGGGAGAGCCCAGGCGTCCCGGGCCCCCCCTCCTCCCGCCCCCCGGGGGAGAGCCCAGGCGTCCCGGGCCCCCCCTCCTCCCGCCCCCCGGGGGAGAGCCCAGGCGTCCCGGGCCCCCCCTCCTCCCGCCCCCCGGGGAGAGCCCAGGCGTCCCGGCCCCCCTCCTCCCCCCCCCCCGGGGGAGCCCAGGCGTCCCGGCCCCCCTCCTCCCGCCCCCCGGGGGAGCCCAGGCGTCCCGGGCCCCCCCTCCTCCCGCCCCCCGGGGGAGAGCCCAGGCGTCCCGGCCCCCCCCTCCTCCCGCCCCCCGGGGGAGAGCCCAGGCGTCCGGGGCGCACCTGCGGCCAGGACAGCCCGTGGTAGAAGTAATATTTCATCTGGTAGTTCTCGGGCAGGCAGAGCAGGTTGCAATGCTGCATGTTCGTCAGGTCCTCGGGCTGCGGGGGGGCGGGGTCAGCGCGGGACCCAGGCGTCCGGCCCCGCCCCTGGACCCCCCCTCCGACACCGCACTGGCGCCCCCCCCCGGTCCCTCACACCCCAGCCCCGGACCCGCCCGAGCGCCGCTCAGGCCCCCGCCCCCGGGGGACCCAGGCGTCCGGCCCCGCCCCCAGGGGACCCAGGCGTCCGGCCTCGCCCCCAGCCCCCGGGGGACCCAGGCGTCCGGCCCCGCCCCCAGCCCCCGGGGGACCCAGGCGTCCGGCCCCGCCCCCAGCCCCCCGGGGGACCCAGGCGTCCGGCCCCGCCCCCAGCGGACCCAGGCGTGCGGACCCAGGCGTCCGGCCCCGCCCCCAGCGGACCCAGGCGTCCGGCCCCGTCCCCAGCCCCCGGGGGACCCAGGCGTCCGGCCCCGCCCCCAGCCCCCGGGGGACCCAGGCGTCCGGCCCCCCCGCACCCGCGCGTTCCGGATGTTCATGGCTCCGGCTCCGGCTCCGGCTCCGCGTCTCTCCCAGCGGCGGCTCCGCGCGGCTGCCGAGAGCCAGGGGCCGGTTCCAGGCCAGGCCCCGCCTCCCCGAGCGGCTCCGGCCAATCCCTGGCCGCCTGAGGGGGCGGGGGCGGCCGAAGGCCGCTTGCTGCCAATCGAGGCGCGGAGCCGGCGTCACGCCCCGCCCACGCGTCCCCCGGATCAGCCAATCGTATGGCCGGTCCGAAGCACGCGCCCCGTCCTTTGGGTGCAGGCTCGGCCAATCCCCTGGAAGAAAGAGGTGATGTCACGAGGCCGGGTGGCTGTTGCCGGCCAATTGGAGACAACGATGGGGCACACGTCCCGCCTCCCCACCAAACACGCCAATCTCATTCCCGGAAGTTGCTTATGATCTCGCCGTCCCACACCTTCCAACCAATCACAGAGCACAATGCGCACGAGCTGTCCAATCACCCTCCAGGGAGCGTTGATAACGCGAGAGCAGAGTGGAAACAACCAATAACAGGCCAGGATGGGCGCGATTGACGCTTTCGCCGGCCACTAACCAGCCGGCCAGCGCCTCTGCCCTTAGATTTCCGCCTATTCCTGCCAGCAGCCAATCAGAAGCCGTAGTGGCCTACAGTGACAGCGGCATGGTCCAATGAGGGGGCAGCTAGAGCCATGTGCTAAGGCTGCGAGCTTCCCTATAGCAGTGCCCCCAACCCCCCCCCGTGGCTCCTGGGGAGGGGGGGGCTGTCACAGCTGGGGGTGTCCCTAACCACCCCAGCCCCGCCCAAAGGGGGCCCCTCCCAGGGCGAGCTCGTGGGGCCAGCGCCTGGGCACGAGCCGGGGGTGGGGGCAGGGGAAGGTTTTCAGGGAGCTGCCCCCCCCACACACCTGCCCAGATGTGCAAGGAGCAGGCCCGAGGCCTGGGCGAGGGGCGCAAGGCGGACAGGGACCCCACTGCGGGGGTCGGGAGACCGGACGCCTGGGTTCCCTCCCGCTCCGGGGGCGGGGCAGGTGGGTTTATCCAAAAGCGGGTCGAAATCAATTGATTTGTGACGCCATCTACTGGTGATCGGCGCAAACTGCAGCCCATCCACCCCCGCCCCCCGCCCCTAGTGCCCCTCACTCCCGACCCGCAGCTCCCCCCTTTCCCCAGTGATCACAGACCCTCTCTCTCCTTCCCCACTTTTTATTGGGGTGACTTTGGCAGACGCAGATTTGGCCCCTCAGGGAGTACGGTGTAAATGGGGGGTCCCTTTGCTCCCCCAAATGGATGCAGGCCTCCCCCGAGTGACCCCCCCACCCAGGTTCCCCCTGCAAGCCCCCCCCCAGGACAATCCCCCCCAAAGCCAGACCCCCCTGCCACGCTGCTCCAGCTTGTAGGACACCCACGTCTGTCCCCAGAGAGCCCCCCGTCTCCCCGCGGGGGGCTCTCAGGCCGAGGTACCCGTGAGGGGAGAGTTGCTGGGCAGGGACCCGGCGCGGGGCCGGGGCAGCCAGGGACACATGAGCCGGCTCAGCTCCCCCGAGACGCTGCTGCTGAAAGCCCCGTAAATCCAGGGGTTCGTGCAGCTGTTCAGGCTGGCGAGTAACATCAGCAGGGTGAAGGCTGGTCCTGGGGGGAAAAGGAGGGGGAGGTCAGCCCTGCCGGCGCCCCTCACTCCCGACCCGCAGCCCCCACGGCCCTGCCGGCGCCCCTCACTCCCAACCCGCAGCCCCCGCGGCCCTGCCGGCGCCCCTCACTCCCGACCCGCAGCCTCCTGGTGAGGTCTCTGGGCTGGGAACTGGGTGGGGTTCAGGGGTGTGGTGGAGTCAGGTGCTGGGTGGGGGGGTAAAGTCTCCAGCCGGGGGGCGGTGGTGGGGTACAGCGTGGGTGAGGTCTCCAGGCCAGGGGGGAAGTGGGGGGATGCGGGGGGGTGTCGGTCTCTGGCCTGGGGGAGAGGTCGGGGTGGGTGGGGGGGGGTCGGTCTCCGGCCCGGGGGGCGTCTCACCTTCTACAGGCGCCTGGGGGTCCCACACGGCCCAGAGCTGGACGCAGAAGTAGGGGGCCCAGCAGAGCACGTAGACCAACACAATGACCAGCGTCATGCGCAGTGTCTTGGCCACGGCCGGCGAGACGCCCCTGCCCTGAGCCCCCTGGGGGCCCCGCCCCAGGTTCCTGGCCACCTCGCGGAAGATCAGGGCCTGGCAGGCGGCGATGAACAGGGTGGGCAAGGCGAAGACCATCAGGGTGACCCAGCTGACGTAGGCCCGGGCCCCCCAGGGCTCAGCGAAGGTGGCCCAGCAGTCGCTGGCTCCCTCAGGCAGCCGCACCTTGGAGAAGATGAAGAGCTGGGGCAGGCTGAGGAGCAGCGCGGATCCCCATGCTGCCACCAACGGGGCCTTCCAGCTGACCCGGCCCCGCCGGAAGGCCACCGCCGGCCGGCAGATGGCCCGGTGCCTGTCGTAGGTCATGGCCAGGATGACGTAGGACGAGGCGAACATGGCCACCACCTGCAGGTACTTGACGGCCCGGCACAGGGGGTCGGGGCCCAGGAACCGGTCGGTGACGTCCCACAGCAGCTGGGGCAGCACCTGGAAGAGGGCCACCGCCAGGTCGGCCAGGCACAGGTGGCTCATGAAGCGGTGCATGGGGGCGGAGTGAGCCCGGTGCCGGCCCAGCGCCCGCAGCACCAGCCCGTTGCTCAGCGTGGCCACCAGGAAGATGACGGTCAAGACGGTCACCTCGGCGGCAGCCAGGGCGGGGTCGCGGGCGTCCGGGAGGGAGGCGTTGGGAGCCAGGGAGGCGTTGGGCATGGCGGGCTGGAGGGAGAGGGGGGCAGCGAGCCCCCGGTGCCAGGTCACTAAACACCGCGACGCAGCACAAGGCAAGTGTGCAAACAGCTCGGCGGGGGCGGGACGCGAGCGTGCAAAGCCCCGCGCCACGGCAGCCCACCGGTGCCGGGCAGAATGCGCCACGCGCCTGCCATCCCCATGCCGGGGCGCTGCAGCCAACCCCGCGTGCGGCGGCGAGCCCAGCCTGGCACAGCCGGAAAGGCGGCCTGGGCGAAGGCGGCCTGGGCGAAGGCGCCCGAGGCTGCGGCACGAGCTCACGATGAGCCCGGCCTGCGAAAGGGCGAACGCGACACACGATGCAGGGCCGGGCCCCGAGGGGAGCCGGCCAATGCCGCCCCACCCCAACCAGCCCTTCGGCAAAGCCACCGGCCGGCGCGGGCCCCCGTCACCCCCTGCAGCGTCGCCGCACAACGCGGCCAGGCCCCTGGCCACCCGCTGGCCCGCCAGTGCAACCGGGCCTGGGCCGTCAGCTGGGGCTGCTCCCCCAGACTGGACCCTTCTGGGCAGAGACGCGGGGGAACCCCGGCCAGGGCCCCTGGAAGGGCCAGAGACTGCTGTTCACATGGGGAAACTGAGGCACAGGGAGGGCAAATAACTTGGCCATGGTTACCCAGTGAGTCAGTAACAGAGTCAGGGAGAAAACCCAGGAGTCCGGACTCCCAGCCCGCCTCCCCCCCCCCCCCCCCCGCTCTAACCTTTAGCCCCCATCCACTCCAACTGGGTTTCCTAGCCTCCCCTCAAGCTCTGCACCTGTCTTACAGCCCCCTGGGTCCCCCCAACTCTGCTGATACCCCTAGTTCTGGGAGGGGGCTGGTGGGATGGAGCAAGTGGGCGGGAGCCAGGACGCCTGGGTTCTCTCCTCCAAACCCATAAAGAGGGTCCCTGCACTCACCTTTTCTCAGAGCACCCACCTGGTGTGGGTGGAGTTTTCTTTCGGGGTTCACCCCCTGTTGGTCTGGGACCCCCCAGAACAAACCCAGCCACAGAGACCCCCACTCCCGATCTCCTGGGTTCTTTCCTAGCCCCCCCCGTTTCCTGGAGAGGTGGAGGTTCAAGCGCCGGACCCCCAAGAGATGACAACTGGGGCTCTGCTGAGAGCCAGGCAGAATAATGGGGGGGCTGGGGTGGGGCTTAAAATCAGCAGGTGGCTGGACACCCCCCCCCGCGAGGTAAAAGGCAGAGGGCAGGTCCTGGAATCCGGCCAGAATAAATAAAGACCTTGGTGGATTCTGAGCCCCAGCGCGATGGGGAGGGTGATCGCCCCCTTGCCCCTCCCAGAGCTGGGGAGAGAACCCAGGAGTCCAGGCTCCCAGCCCCCCCACTCTCACCCACCAGCCCCCTCGCCCCTCCCAGAGCTGGGGAGAGAACCCAGGAGTCCAGGCCCCCACCCCCCTCTAACCATTAGCCCCCACCCTGGAGATTTAGGGACTTTATGTTACAGCAGCTTCCCCCCGCCCAGGAATTCACCCCCCCCGAGTTGCCCCCCCCCAATGTTTCTTGTACGTCATTCAACGCCTCATTAGTCAGAGACTCATGCTAGGAAGATGGTATCAGCTTCTACGGATTGGGGCAGGGGCCCGGACTCCTGGGTTCTCTCCAGGCTCTGGGGGGGCTTGTGTTCAGAGCTGGGGGGCTGCGGGTCGGGAGCGAGGGGCACCGGCGGGGCTGGGGGTCGGCAGGGAGGGGCTCTGGAGGGGCTGGGGGGCTGCGGGTCGGGGGGGAGAGGCTCTGGGGGGGTGCGGGTCGGGAGGGAGGGGCTCTGGAGGGGCTGGGGGTCGGGGGGGAGAGGCTCTGGGGGGGTGCGGGTCGGCAGGGAGGGGCTGGGGGGCTGCGGGTCGGGGGGGAGAGGCTCTGGGGGGCTGCGGGTCGGGGAGGAGGGGCATCACCCGTGGGGCTGGACTTTCCTGGCGTGGCTTCGCTGGGCCCGGAATCGCCATAAAATCGTTTCCTCGTTTTTCACGCCCCCCCCCCGCCCCCAGCGACTCCAGCTTGATACAGCAAATTCTTGGGCTCCTGCCAACGCCCCTGCGGCCCCCCCCATCCCCCTTATGAGGTGTCTGGGGAGTCCCCCCCCGTCCCTGTGGACGTGGGGCAGAAGCCCAAACTGTTGAGGGAAGAACCCCCGCCCCCCCCCCCAGCCAGCCAATCACTACCCCTAGTGCGGGGCTGGGAGTCCGGACTCCTGGGTTCTCTCCCCGGCTGGGGGAGGGGGGCGGGGTCTTGTGGGTCAGAGCAGGGGGGCTGGGAGCTAGGACGCCTGGGTTCTCTGACCTGCTCTGGGAGGGGAGCAGGGCCTGGTGGCTATAGCGGGGGGCTGGAAGGGTGAGACCCCTGGGGGGTCCATTCCCGTGGGGGAGCAGCCCGTGGGGAGGTGAGGGGGGGGGGCTCATGGAATCATAGAGTATCAGGGTTGGAAGGGACCTGACGAGGTCATCTAGTCCAACCCCCTGCTCAAAGCAGGACCAATCCCCAATTTTTGCCCCAGATCCCTAATTGGCCCCCTCAAGGATTGAACTCACAACCCTGGGTTTAGCAGGCCAATGCTCAAACCACTGAGCTATCCCTCCCCCCGTAAAGCTATCCCTCCCCCCATGGACAGTAAACCCTCCGGACGCAGCCGCATGAAAGGAGTAAAAAGGCTTCCCTTTATTCTGACCAGGCAGATTCGGCTCCGGACCCAGGCGTCCGGGAGCCCCCAACCCCCTGCCCCTGCCCCCCCCCCCCGACAGCGCCCCCTGCTGGGAATGAGAGCGGCAAGGGAGCTGTGGACACAGACATGACAGATCTGGGTCAGGAGGGGAGAGGGGCTGGTGGGTTGGGGCGGGGGGGGGGCTGGGAGCCAGGACTCCTGGGTTCTCTCCCCAGCTCTGGGAGGGGCGTGGGGGGTTCAGAGGGGTAGTGGGAACTGGTGGTTGGGGGAAGGGGGTCTGGTGGGTAGCAGGGAAAGTGAGGGGTTCGGGGGCAGTGGGTTCTGGTTTTGGGGGGCTAGTGGGGGGTTCAGGGCAGTGAGGCGTGAGGGGGCAGTGGGGTCTGGTTTTGGGGGGTTGGGGGCAGTAGGGTCTGGTGGTTCGGGGGCAGTGAGGGGTTCGGAGGCAGTGGGGTCTGGTGTCTGGGGGCTAGTGAGCAGTTCGGGGGGCAATAGGGGGTTCGGGGGCAGTGGGGTCTCGTTTGGGGGGCTGGGGGCAGTTCAGGGGGCTAGTGGGCAGTTTGGGGGGCAATGGGTGTTCGGGGGCAGTGGGGTCTGGTTTTGGGGGGCAGTTCGGGGGGCAGTTCGGTATGCTGGGGGAGGAGGGGGGCAGGGGGCCCAGGTATTTCTTCTGCCAGACTCAGACAAACGATTAAGAACTGACCAGCCACGAATCACAGACACGACATAAAAACTGCCCCGGGGGGAGCATGGAGGGCGGGGGTCTTTGTGCTCCCCCTCCCCGCCCTTGTGCTCTATGTACAGCCTGACTCGGTGTCTTTGTGTTTCACGCCCCCCTGGTCCCGATCCTGGGGGGTCCCTGTAGCGAGGGGAGGGGGGGCTGGAGCAGCGTTGGGAGACCCCCCAAAATTCCTCGTTGTCTCAGCAGCCGGGGGTCCCTTCTGCAGCCAGGCATGTCCAGGAGTGACACCAGGTGCCCCCCTCTTTCCTGCTGGGGTGGGCGTCCCCCAGTCCTGGCAAAGTGGGGGGCCCCCACGGTCTCCCCCTGTGTCCTCTGATGGTGGCGATGTGGGGGAGGCAGGATCAGCCCCCAATCCTGGCACATGGGGGAGAAACCAAGTCTCCAAGCCTTGTCACGCAGTGGGGAGGGAGCCCCGACTTCTGGTGGGTGGCAGGGGATGGGAGCCCCAATCCTGGCCGGTGGTGTGGGCGGGGGCCTGGGTGAGCCCCGATCCTGGCCTGGGGCGGGGCAGGGGGAGCCCCAAACCTGGCCGGGGGTGTGAGCGGGGGCTGGGGTGAGCCCCGCTCCTGGTCTGGGGCGGTAGGGGTGAGCCCCACTCCTGGCCTGGGGCGGGGCAGGGGGAGCCCCGATCCTGGCCGGTGGCGAGGGGGGAGCCCCGCTCCTGGGCGGGGGTGTGGGCGGGGGCGGGGGAGCCCCGCTCCTGGCCTGGGGCGGGGCAGGGGGAGCCCCGATCCTGGCCGGTGGCGAGGCGGGAGCCCCGATCCTGGGCGGGGGCGAGGCGGGAGCCCCGATCCTGGGCGGGGGCGAGGCGGGAGCCCCGATCCTGGCCGGTGGCGGGGCGGGGGAGCCCCGATCCTGGGCGGGGCTGGGGGCGGGGGCGGCGGGAGCCCCGATCCTGGCCGGTGGCGGGGCGGGGGAGCCCCGATCCTGGGCGGGGCTGGGGGCGGGGGCGAGGCGGGAGCCCCGATCCTGGGCGGGGGCGGGGCGGGGGAGCCCCGATCCTGGGCGGGGCTGGGGGCGGGGGCGGCGGGAGCCCCGCTCCTGGCCGGGGCCCCCTCAGACGGTGGTGACGGAGAGCAGCGGGTTGTAGACCCGGCGCCCGTCGGCCGAGCGGGCCCCGTGCGCCAGCATCTCCTGGATCGTGATCCAGTTGTCCAGGATGCGCCGGCTCCGCTTCTTGAGGCTCTTGCGGTGGCTCAGCGCCAGGATGCTGAGCTCGGCGGGGGCCCCGGGGCCCGCCGCCGCCCGCCCCTCGCCCGCCTCCCGCTGCCAGTCCAGCCGGCTCTGCAGCATGAGCTCCCGGCGCCGGCGCTGCTCCCGGGCCCGCAGCAGCTGCTGCTTGCGCTCGCCCCGGCTCCAGTAGCGGCCCATCTTCATCTCGCTCACGGCGTCGTCGTCCGTGGTCATGCCGCTGCGCTCCTCCCGGATCTTCAGCGCCCGCGCCTTCAGCAGCCGGTCCCGGCCCGGGCGCCGGGCGCCCTCGCCCCGCGCCCGGCCCTTCCACTCCGCCCGGGCGCCCCCCGCCAGCGCGCCGGGCGCCGGGCTGCCCTCCCGGGGGCGCCGGGGCCGGGCCGGCCGCGCCGGGGGGCCGGGGGCGCGGGGGCTGCCCGGGGGGGGGCTGCTGCGGCAGCTCTCCCCGGTGTTGTAGGCGCTGGTGCTGTCCTTCTCCGAGCGCTCCGGCACCTCGGTGATGTCGGCCAGCGGGGCCGGGGGGGGCCCCCTCGCCCGCCGGGGCCGGCCCCCCCCGGCCTCCCGCAGCCCGGCCGCCAGGCAGCGCTCGCGCAGCCGCTGCAGCTTCTGCGCCCGCAGGATGTTGCGGCATTTGAACTGCAGGTGCCGGAGCTCCTCCTCCAGGAGCGCCGCCCGCCGCCGGGGGCCCGGGCCCGGCCCGCCCCGCATCTGCAGCAGCTCCCGGTACCGCGCGGCCTCGGCCTGCGTCAGCCCCGGCAGCTCCCCGCCCGCCGCCGAGGCCCTGCCGCCGGGGCCGCCCCGCGCCTGCAGCGGGGCCGGGCGGCGCTGGGGGGCCGGGGGGCCGGCGGCGCTGGGGGGCTCGTCCCCCAGCAGATCGTGCTCCGAGCTCTCCTCGTTCCGGGTGCTCTCGTCCGTGCGGCCCACCCCGCTGTCCAGCTCCTGGCCGGCGCTGGGCGGCTCGGGGGCCGCGGCCGGCTGGGGGCGGGGAGAAGGCGGAGGTTTGGAGATTGGGGTGAAGCTGACTTCACTTCAGGCTCCCCCTGCCCAGCCCCCCGGTTCCAGGCCCCCGGCGCCCCCTGGCGCCCCCTGCCCCCCGGCGCCCCCTGGCGCCCCCAGCCCCCCGGTTCCAGGCCCCCGGCGCCCCCTGGCGCCCCCTGCCCCCCGGCGCCCCCTGGCGCCCCCAGCCCCCCGGTTCCAGGCCCCCCGGCGCCCCCTGGCGCCCCCTGCCCCCCGGTTCCAGGCCCCCCGGCGCCCCCTGGCGCCCCCAGCCCCCCGGTTCCAGGCCCCCCGGCGCCCCCTGGCGCAGGCCCCCTGGCGCCCCCTGCCCCCCGGTTCCAGGCCCCCCGGCGCCCCCTGGCGCCCCCTGCTCCCCGGTTCCAGGCCCCCCGGCGCCCCCTGGCACCCCCCTCACCTGGTGCCGCCGGGCCCCCCCCCCCCCCCCCCCCCCTCCGCCCCCCCCCCCCCCCCCGCCCCCGCCCCCGTTCCGGCCCCCCGGGGTCTCCAGGCCCCCCGGTTTCGCCCTCGTGGTCAGAGCCGAAGTCGTCCAGGAAATCCTCACGGTCGCTGTCCTTCCAGCGCCTGGAGAGCTGGGAGTGGACGGGGAGGGGATGAAGCTGCAGCCCCTCCCGTCATAGCCCCCCCATTCATCCCAGGCAGCCCAAGGGACCCCCCCCAACACCCCCGTGATCCCCCTTCACTGGGGAATGGTGAGCACCCAACCCACCCTGTGACCCCCTGTTCCCACCTCTGGGACCCAGAAATCTCCCCCTGCCTCCACATCCTCCCAGCCCCCCAACTTCCACCTCACCCCCTCAGCCCCCTGCCCCACAGTTCCCCCAGCCAGACCCTAAACTGACTCCCCCCTCCTCCCCAGCCCCACCTCTTCGGGGCGCCCCTCACCTCGGTCTCAGGCCTGGCCAGCAGCAGCGAGATGTTGGTTTGTTGCTCCTGGGTCAAGATGGCGACAGCTTCCTCGCGGTCCTGCACCTGCACCCCGTTAATCTGAGGGGACCGGGGGGGCTGAGTCAGCCCCCCGTCCCCCAGGTCCCCATAGCCCTCTGCACCCCCCATCCCCCCATAGCCCTCTGCACTCCTCTTAGCCCCTCGTCCCTCAGCCCCCATATTCCCAGCCCCCCTTAGCCCCCTGCACCCCCAACCCCCATTCCGTAGCCCCCCTTAGCAGCCCCCACCTGGATGATGCGGTCGCCCTCTCGGATGCGCCCATCCTTGGCGGCGATGCTGTCAGGGTTCACCTGGGGAGAGAAGGGGGGATGGGACTAGGGACCAGGACTCCCCCCCATGGCCTCCAGCCCCCCATGGGCTGCCCCAGCCCTCGGCCTGCTCCCCCTCCCCCTACAACAAGTCACCCTCTGGTCTCCTCCACCCCCCACCCCAGTTCCTCACCGCCATGGCCCCCCCATCACACCCCTCCCTCAACAGCCCCCCACCTCTCCAACATAGATTCCCACGTCGTCCTCGTCGTCCGTCCGGTAACAAACCATCAGCCCCAGCTTGTCCCGGTGGCTCGATTTGTACAATTCCACCTCCTGCAGGGGGGACGGGGGGTCAGATTGTGACGATGTGACGCAGCGGGGGGGGGGTGTTGACCTGGGAGTGTGCCCTGGGGATGGGAGGCCTGGGAGCCTGTGACCTGGGCCGGGGGGGGGGGTGACACCTCTGCCCGGGAATGTGGACAGAGGCTGTGGCAGGGAGCCTGCTGGGGGGGGTTAGTTTCAGTTTGGGGCTGGGTGGAGGAACACAGGGAACCCCAGGGCTGGGGTCTGAGCTCCCTGCTCCCCCAGAAGGACTTGACTGAGGGGTCCTGGGGGTACCCACAAGCTCTTTTTTGGACTGTGTTCCTGTTGTCCAATAAACCTCCCGTTTTCCTGGCTGGCTGAGAGTCTCAGTGAATCCCAGGAAGAGGGGTGCAGGGCCCGGACTCCCCCACACTCTGTGACACAGATCCTGAATGGAAGCTCTGGTTCCCCCCCACACAAGCTAACCACCAGCCCCCACCTCACTCCCAGAGCCGGGAGAGAACCCCGGCGTCCGGGCTCCCAGCGCCCACCCTGCTCACCTCATACTCCAGTTCCTCTGCCCGCTCTGTCTCTGGGGGGGCCCCTTCCATGATCTCCACAGGGTCATAGTAGTCGTGCCCAAAGGGGGGGCTGTGGTGGAGAACACAAGTTAGCGGGGTCGGGCTGGCAGGGGCTGTGGGTCGGGAGTGAGGGACACCGGCAGAGCTGCAGGGGGGCAGGGGCTGCGGGTTGGGAGTGAGGGGCACCGGCAGGGCTGGGGGGCCCCAGGGCCGCGCTGGCAGGGGCTGCGGGTCGGGAGTGAGGGGCACCGGCAGGGCTGGGGAGCCCCAGGGCCGGGCTGGCAGGGCCTGCGGGTCGGGAGTGAGGGACACCGGCAGAGCTGCAGGGGGGCAGGGGCTGCGGGTTGGGAGTGAGGGGCACCAGCAGGGCTGGGGGGCCCCAGTGCTGGGCTGGCAGGGGCTGCAGGTCGGGAGTGAGGGGCACCAGCAGGGCTGGGGGGCCCCAGGGCCGGGCTGGCAGGGGCTGCAGGTCGGGAGTGAGGGGCACCGGCAGGGCTGGGGGGCCCCAGGGCTGGGCTGGCAGGGGCTGCGAGTTGGGAGTGAGGGGCACCGCTGGGGGTCACTCACAGCTCGGGGATCCCGAAGGTCTCCAGTGTCATGGTGGGGGGGCTGGGGGCGCGCCGCCGGCCCAGTGCCAGCAGGTGCTCGAAGGTGATGTCCGTCTGCGTCCCGCTGTCCACCAGGGTGGCGGGGTCCCCGGGCAGGGCGGCCCCCTCCCCTCCGCCCCGCGCCCGGGGGCTGTGCCTCAGGACCTGGATGACCAGCGGCTCCTTGGAGCAGCGAAGAGCTTCCAGCGTCTGCTCCTGGGAGAGCCTGGAGAGCTCCTTCCCGTTCACCTGGGGGGGCCGGGCATGAGAGACCCCCGAGAGCCCCCGGGCAGATCCCGCCTTTCCGTACACCCCAGCCCACCTCCAGCCACCCCTCAGTGTGGACACCTGCAGGGCGGCACTCAGCCCCCCCCAGCAGGGCGCAGCAGGGACCCCCCTACCCCGCCCACCCTGGGGAGTCTGGCTGGGACGAGCCCCCCTGGCTTCCCCCTCATCATATTGTCTCCATCTCCATCCTTGTGTTACCGCAGCAACGGTTCCCATGGAAACTAGGAGGATTGATACAGGAGCAGGGAGTGTGTGTGGAGGAGCCATTGCCCAGCCTGAGCCCCCCAACCAGTTCCCCACGGCCCTGCCGGTGCCCCTCACTCCCGACCCGCAGCCCCCTGCCAGCCCGACCCTGCCCCCCAGCCCTGCCGGCGCCCCTCACTCCCGACCCGCAGCCCCTGCCAGCCCGACCTGCCGGCGCCCCCTCACTCCCGACCCGCAGCCCCTGCCAGCCCGACCCTGCCCCCCAGCCCTGCCGGTGCCCCTCACTCCCGACCCGCAGCCCCCTGCCCGCCCGACCCTGCCCCCCAGCCCTGCCGGTGCCCCTCACTCCCGACCCGCAGCCCCTGCCAGCCCGACCCTGCCCCCCAGCCCTGCCGGTGCCCCTCACTCCCACCTCAGCCCCCCGCCGGCCCGCCCTGCCCCCCAGCTCTGCCGGCGCCCCTCACTCCTGACCCGCAGCCCCTGCCAGCCCGACCCTGCCCCCCAGCCCTGCCGGTGCCCCTCACTCCCGACCTGCAGCCCCCCGCCGGCCCGGCCCTGCCCCCCCAGCTCTGCCGGCGCCCCTCACTCCCGACCCGCAGCCCCCTGCCAGCCCGACCCTGCCCCCCAGCCCTGCCGGTGCCCCTCACTCCCGACCCGCAGCCCCTGCCAGCCCGACCCTGCCCCCCAGCCCTGCTGGTGCCCCTCACTCCCGACCCGCAGCCCCCTGCCCGCCCGACCCTGCCCCCCAGCCCTGCCGGTGCCCCTCACTCCCGACCCGCAGCCCCCTGCCAGCCCGGCCCTGGGGCCCCCCAGCCCTGCTGGTGCCCCTCACTCCCGACCCGCAGCCCCTGCCAGCCCCACCCTACCCCCCAGCCCTGCCGGCGCCCCTCACTCCCGACCCGCAGCCCCCTGCCAGCCCGGCCCTGGGGCCCCCAGCCCTGCTGGTGCCCCTCACTCCCGACCCGCAGCCCCCTGCCAGCCTGGCCCTGGGGCCCCCCAGCCCTGCTGGTGCCCCTCACTCCCGACCCGCAGCCCCCTGCCAGCCCGACCCTACCCCCCAGCCCTGCTGGTGCCCCTCACTCCCGACCCGCAGCCCCTGCCAGCCCGGCCCTGGGGCCCCCCAGCCCTGCTGGTGCCCCTCACTCCCGACCCGCAGCCCCTGCCAGCCCGGCCCTGGGGCCCCCCAGCCCTGCTGGTGCCCCTCACTCCCGACCCGCAGCCCCTGCTAGTCCGGCCCTGGGCCCCCCCAGCCCTGCCGGTGCCCCTCACTCCCGACCCGCAGCCCCTGCCAGCCCGACCCTACCCCCCAGCCCTGCCGGCGCCCCTCACTCCCGACCCGCAGCCCCTGCCAGCCCGGCCCTGGGGCCCCCCAGCCCTGCCGGTGCCCCTCACTCCCGACCCGCAGCCCCTGCCAGCCCAGCCCTGCCCCCCCCAGCCCTGCTGGTGCCCCTCACTCCCGACCCGCAGCCCCTGCCAGCCCGACCCTGCCCCCCAGCCCTGCCGGCGCCCCTCACTCCCGACCCGCAGCCCCTGCTAGGCTGGCCCTGCCCTCCCCAGCCCTGCCTTGGCACAGGGGCTGGACTAGCGGGGGCTGCGGGTCGTGAGTGAGGGGCACCGGCAGAGCTGGGGGGGCAGGGCCGGGCCGGCGGGGGCTGCGGGTCGGGGTGAGGGCACTGGCAGAGCTGGGGGGCAGGGCCGGGGGCGGGGCTGCGGTCGGGGAGGGCGCTGGGGGGAGGCTGGGCTAGCAGGGGCTGGGGTGGGGTGAGGGCACCGGCAGGCTGGGGGCGGCCGGCCGGCGGGGGCTGCGGGTCGGGGTGAGGCACGCGAGCTGGGGGCAGGGCCCGGCGGGGGCTGCGGGTCGGGGTGAGGATGGCAAGCTGGGGGCAGGCCGGGCGGGCAGGGGGCTGCGGGTCGGGAGGAGGGGCACCGGCAGGGCTGGGGGGGCAGGGCCGGGCCGGCGGGGGGCTGCGGGTCGGGAGTGAGGGGCGCCGGCAGGGCTGGGGGGCAGGGTGAGAAGTGGGGGGTGGGGGGGATGGGTCAGACGGAGCTAGGGGAGGGTAACTACATGGGGGGCTCCCGAACTGGGGAGATGCAGCCCCTCCCCCTCATTCATTCATCCCCCCAGACCCCAAACCCAGCAGCGATGGGGGGGGTTGTTGCTAGGCAACCTTCCTGAGACTGGTACCTGCTCCCTTCCCCTCCCCCCTGCGGCATCCCCCAGTCCCTCCCCCACCCATCCGTGCAGCCCCTTCCCCCCCAGCGCCCCCCCCAGCTCCCGCTTCCTGCCCCCGGCCCCTCTGCACCCCCAGCGACCCCGTGCAGGCCCTGCCCCAGCCCCGCCCCATCTCTGTCTGCAGCCCCCCGCCGCCCCTCACCGCAGCCCCCCGCCCCCTACCTGCAGCGTGACCTTGTATTGCTCCTCCGGCTTCGGCACCAGGCAGAGGTTGCAGCCCATGGCGGAACCGGGCCGGGGGGCAGGACGGAGACGGGGGGGGGCTCAGCCGCCTCCCATCCTACAGGTGGAGCCGCGGGGGGGGCTCTGCTCCCCCGGCCCCCCCCAACGCCGGCCTCGCCGGGGCGCAGCGGGGAGCGGGGTCACCCCCCGGGGGCATGGCGGGGGGGCCGAAGGGCGGGGGGCGGCGGCGGGGGGGCCTCGGGGGGCGGCGGGGAAGACGCGGCTGGTCGGGCGGCGGCGGCGGCTCAGTCCCTGGCTCGGGGGCGGCGGGGGGCGGTGGCTGGACCCCACCCCCAGCCCCTCCGCTCCGCCCCTCCGGCCCCGCCCCCTCCTCCTCCATCCCCCCCACTTCACACACACCTCCGCCCCCGCCCCCCATCCTGCCACGCCCCACCCCATCAATCCCTCCCTCCATCCCGCCCCTCCCCCTCTCGCCCCCCCACATTGTGCCCCCCCGCCACCCCCACATCCTGCCACCCCCCACTCCACCCCATCTCTCTAACCCTACCCACCCCCGCTCCTTGCAGCCCGGAAATCCCCATCAATCCCTCCCTCCACCCCTCCTCTGTCCATCCCCCACCCCCTCCATCTATCCATCCCCCCACCCCCTCTATCTATGCCCCCTACACCCCTCTATCTATCCATCCATCCCCCCTCTATCCATCCCCCCCACCCCCTCTATCTATCAATCCATCCCCCCCGCACGCCCTCTATCTATCCACCCCCCACCCCCTCTATATATCCATCCATCCATCCCCCCACACCCCCTCTATCTATCCATCCCCCCACACCCCTCTATCTATCCATCCATCCATCCCCCACCCCCCATCTATGCCCCCTACACCCCTCTATCTATCCATCCATCCCCCCTCTATCCATCCCCCCACACCCCCTCTATCTATCCATCCATCCCCCTCTATCAATCCATCCCCCCCATCTATCCATCCATCCATCCCCCTCTATCCATCCCCCCCACCCCCTCTATCTATCCATCCCCACCCCCTCTATCTATCCCCCCTACACCCCTCTATCTATCCATCCCCCCACCCCCCTCTATCTATCTACCACCCCCCCCTCCCCACCCCCACCCCCTCTATCTATCCATCCATCCCCCCCCCTCTATCCATCCCCCCACCCCCACCACCACCATCCCCCCCCCTCTATCAATCCCATTCCCCCCCCCCCACCCCCTCTATCCATCCATCCCCCCGCCCCTCTGACCTCCCCCTTAGGGGTCCCGCCTGCTGTCCCGGCCACGTGCTGCATGGAGAGGTGAGACCCAGGGGCTCAGAGACCCTCCCCGAGGCCTCTCGCCCGGCCGGGCGGGGCTGGTGCCCTGAGCCCTGGGTTTGCCGGGCGCTGGGAACCGGTGGCAGGACCGGGGTCGCTGGCCCATGACCCGCTTGGTCATTCCCTGGGCGCCCGGCCTGGCCACTGCGGGCCCAGGACACTGGGCTGGACGGACCTCGGTCTGAGACCCTGTGGCCGCTCTTCTGTTCCTACACATCCAGGGGGCCAGGACTCCTGGGTTCTGCCCCCGCTCCGGTGGTTGGAGCAGGGGGGCTGGGAGCCAGGACTCCTGGGTTCTCTCCCGGCTCTGAGAGGGGAGCGGGGTCTATTGGTTAGAGCAGGGGGCGCCATGGGCCAGGACTCCTGGGTTCTGCTCCGGCTCCGGGAGGGGAGGGGGGCTGGTGGTTGGAGCAGGGGGGCTGGCAGCCAGGACTCCTGGGTTCTGCCCCGGCTCCGGGAGGGGAGGGGGGCTGGTGGTTGGAGCAGGGGGGTGTATTCATTACTCCATCTTTGGCCCTGGGCGGGGGGGTCTCAGTACCGACCCCAGGGGCTGTGGCCAGGAGTTAAATTCTGTCACTGTTGGAAGCAGGAGACGCGGCCTGGGGGGCTGGTATCCGGGCACCTCGCGCCTGACTCTGCGGCGGGGGGGGGGGGGGGGGGGGCTCAGCAGCCGGCGGGGGGGGGGGGGCTCAGCAGCCAGTTGGGCGGGTTCCCGCTGCAGAACAAAGACCCCCCCCCCGCTCTGCTTCCCGGCGCCACCTAGCAGCGAAAGGCCCCGTGCCCCCCCCGTGTGGGCTGGGCACGATGCGGGACGAGGGGTGTCGGGGGTGCTGGGAGGCCCATCTAGGGGTATGGGCGGGGGGTGTCTGGGGGTCAGAGATCAGCTTCTGGGGGCGGCGTTAGTGGTTTCAGGTGGGGTTGGGCAGGGTCCTGGCGCCCCCCAACCACAACCCCCCCCCCGGCTCCCGGCCCCTCCAGCGGACGGGGATAGTCTGGGCACCAGCTCCCCCCTTCTGGGCTCAGTGTAGAACCCAGGCGTCCTGGCTTCCCCCCCCGCCCCCCAGCTCGGGAGAGAACCCAGGCGTCCTGACCCCCCCACCGCCCCAATTTCCTTTGGCGCAGGGAGTGCGACTGTCTGGGGCGCTACCGTAATACACAGAATATCCCGCCCCCTAACTGTGTGGATGCTACCGTAATACCTTGTATTTCCCCACCAGCCGGAGTTACCGTAATGACCGTAATAATATGCCCCCAGCCCAGAGTGCTACCGTAATATCAGCGCCGCAATGGGCTGCTCCTGTAATACCCAAAACCTCCCCGGACCGTCACCAGAGGTGCTACCGTAATGCCCAGTATAGCGGCCCCCTGTGTCTCTGTGTGCGGCGCTTTACCGTAATATACGTAAAAGAGCCCCCATCAACGGGGAGGCGAGGGGGTAGGTTGTGCCATAATACACATAATAGCGCCATCCACCCCTCCACTTTGGGGTTGCTACCGTAATACAGCTAATATCACCCCCTCCGGGACTTTAATGATACTGCCACAAACATAACAGCCCCCGTCCATATTGGGGTGGGGGGGTGGGAGCTACCGTAATACACCTAATGTTCCTCCCCGCAACGGGGGGGGCGGGGAACTGGGGGCTGCTACCTTAATATCCATACCATCCCACCTTCCTGGGCGGGGGGGCGGGGGGGGAGCTGCCACCATAACACACCTAAAATTCCTCCCCTCGATTTCTGGGTGGTAATGCACCCCTGGTACATCTCACATTGCTCGGGTTTCTTTTCAGAGCCGGGGCACGTGCCCATAGTCGCCCCCTCCCCAGGAACCCCCCCCCCCAGCACCACACGGAGCCGCCAGGTTTCAGTTTTTATTTCGCCAGGTTTCGAACTCGGTTCGGTCTGTACAGTGTAGATATAAAAAAGCCATCAATCAAGACGCTAGTGACAGCCGACGAGGGGGAGGACACGGGGGGAGGGGGCGCATGGCCTTAGCTGGCCCCAGGGATGGGATATGGGGAGGGGACTTTTTTTATAATTTTTTTTTCCCTTTTCTTGCCGTATATGGAACGCGAAGCCACGACTACCCCACAGCACACAGCAGGCCCAGACCACGGCTAGCACGACGACCCAGCGGGGGGGGGGGCACCTATCTACACGGGGCAGCCCCGGGCCAGGCCACCACCCAGCCGGGGGGGCATTTTTAAAATGTTTTTTAAAATCTGTTTTATGCAAAAAAAAGGGGGGGTTGGGGGGCCACACAGCAAAGCTGAGACCCCGATGCAGGAGGGGGAGGGGAGATCCGGGGGGCACAGAGAGAACAAGAGGCCACTTGGCTTGAGAAAGGTGGTTGCAAAGGCAGCTGTGTGAGAAAAGCAGGGGGGGCAGTTCCCTTTCAAGGGGGTGAAATGGTGATGCCGGCCCCCCGCAGAGAGTCCAGGGGGTGGGTGGTGGAGGTGGATTTGTGGGGGGGGGGGCAGGGGACCCTCCCGTGGGGAGCTCCCAGCATTGACGAGGGAGGGGCAGGGGAATCCCAGGACCCTGGTGAGGTATGAACAGCCCCCCCCCATTAAATGCAAAGGAAGTGGAGGAGGGGGCTGAGCAGAATTAGGGGGAAATGGTCAGTCCCCCCTACCCTTCCCCAGCTTAAAGGAAACCAACTGACCTAAACATGGGGAAAGGGCTAGGGATGGAACCCAGGAGTCCGGGCTCCCTGCCCCTCCCTTGGCTTCTCAGTCTCACTCCCAGGGGCGGGGCCGAGGCTGAGGCCAGAATGATTAAAACATGGAAAGATGCGGGGAGGGGGGGTGTCTATTTTTTGGCAAATATTAACCCTGGGTACGGAGCCCCCCAAGCCCGCCCCCCCATTAACCCCTCACCTCCCCAAGTGTTTTGGCCCGTCACATGCAGAAGATAAATGATGTTTCGGGGAGGGGGGTGGAGAGAAAATCCCAGCTTCCCTGTCTGGAGGGGTTGACTTTGGGGGAGCTAAGGCAGGATCCCCTTAAATTACCCCCCTAATGTTCTGGGGGCAGGAGGGTGGAAGCTAACAGGGATTCCCCCTCCATGATTTGGGGATAGGGAGGGGTACAGCCCCCCAATCCCCATGGGGCAGGAAGGGGCTCCCCTATTCCCAAAGGGGGGCTCCGGGTCCCCCCTACTCCAGGGCAGCCGGGGCGTTGGTGGGGCTGGTAGCCCCCGAGCTGGCATTGCTGGCCGCCTCCTTGCCCGTGTGGCCGATGTACTGGCCGATGAAGGATCCATCCTCGTTGAACTGCACGTCGTCGCTGCCCCCGTAGTCGGCCAGGCTGTCGTCGCTGCCCAGCGCCGGGACGGCCCCGTCGAGGGAGGGCTGGCTGCCGCCGAACGGCTTCTCCTCCTTCTCGCTGCCGGCGCAGAGAGCGGGGTGAGGGGGGCGTGCGCCAGGTGCACGAGACACGGGGGGGAAGTGTGCAAGGCAGGGGAGGATGTGATGGTGCAGGTGTGCGAGCCACCTGAAAGTGGGTGCTCACGTGTGCGAGGAGTGATTGTGCAAGGTGCACAGGGAAGGGGTGGGTGAGGTGGAAGTGGTGTGCACAGTGCCGGGGAGGTGACTGGGTGAGTGAGCAAGATAAGCAGGTCAAAGATGCATGGAACTGGGTGTGCGAGGGGTATGCATGCCTGGTGCAAGAGAAAGCGATTGTGGGCAGGTGCAAAGTGGACAAAGGTGGTGGGCAAAAGTGGGTGTGCAAGGAGCTTGTCCAGCAGTGGGGGTGCATGGCACAAGGGGGGGAGTGTGCACCAGGCCAGGAGGACGTGGGTCTGCAGATGCACCAGCATGTGCAGGGAGAGCATGAATAACCTGGCACAGAGGAGTGCAGGGAGGCACATGGGTGTGAGGTGGCATGGAGGGCGTGACACTCACGTCAATGTGTTGGTGCACAGAGAAGTGTGCACACAGGCCTGGGTGGGAGCAGAGGCATGCGAGGGCCGTGGCCCAGGAATCGTGCAAGGGACAGCTGGGCCTGTGCGCACGGAGGAGTTGTTCTCACATGCATGTTGGGGGGGTGCTGAGTGTGAGCACACAGGGGTGAGTGGGTGTGAAAGGGAGTGAAGTGCACACCAGACTGTGAGGTGTGACTGCAAGAGAACAATCTGCTCCCCCCGCGTCGCCCCGTGCAACCCACCCCCCGGCAGCAGACCCAATGCCTGCCCTGGGGTGAGCGTGCACGGGGCGGGGGCAGTGAGGGGCTGGCATTTCTCCTCCCCAGAGGGAATGGGGGACCCCCCAGAACACACTGGAGGGCCAGGGGTGGCTGATGGGGGCTCAGGGGGTGTTACCTATTTTTAAGGATGGACGAGCTGCCGGGGGGGCCACAATGAGACAGAAGGAGCCAGTGAGACGTACCATGGCCACAAACCACTGCCCAGCGCACAACCGCCCCCGCGCACCATCGCCCCCAGCTACCGCCGCCCTTCACACAACCGCCCCCAGCTACCATCGCCCCCAGCTACCGCCCCCGCGCACCATCGCCCAGCGCACAACCGCCCCCGCGCACCATCGCCCCCAGCTACCGCTGCCCTTCACACAACCGCCCCCAGCTACCATCGCCCCCAGCTACCGCCCCCGCGCACCATCGCCCAGAGCACAACCGCCCCCGCGCACAACCGCCCCCAGCTACCGCCGCCCTTCACACAACCGCCCCCAGCTACCATCGCCCCCAGCTACCGCCCCCGCGCACCATCGCCCTGCACACAACTGCCCCGCGCACCATCGCCCCCAGCTACCGCCGCCCTTCACACAACCGCCCCCAGCTACCATCGCCCCCAGCTACCACCCCCGCGCACCATCGCCCAGCGCACAACCGCCCCCGCGCACCATCGCCCCCAGCTACCACCGCCCTTCACACAACCGCCCCCAGCTACCATCGCCCCCAGCTACCGCCCCCGCGCACCATCGCCCTGCACACAACCGCCCCGCGCACCATCGCCCCCAGCTACCGCCGCCCTTCACACAACCGCCCCCAGCTACCATCGCCCCAGCTACCGCCCCACAGCACCATCGCCCAGCGCACAACCGCCCCGCGCACCATCGCCCCAGCTACCGCCGCCTTCACACAACCGCCCCCAGCTACCATCGCCCCCAGCTACCGCCCCCGACCATCGCCTCTCACAAACTGCCCCGCCACCATCGCCCCAGCTACCGCCCCTTCACACAACCGCCCCAGCTACCATCGCCCCATACCACCCCCCGCACCATCGCCTAGCGCACAACCGCCCCGCACCATCGCCCCAGCTACCACCGCTTTCACACAACCGCCTCAGCTACCATCGCCTCTAGCTACCGCCTCAGCGCACCATCGCCTAGCGCACAACCGCCCCCCGCACCATCGCCCCAGCTACCGCCGCTTTTCACACAACCGCCTCAGCTACCATCGCCCCAGCTACCGCCCACAGACCATCGCCCAGCGCACAACTGCCCCCGCGCACCATCGCCCTTCACACAACCACCGCCGTGCACCATTGCCCTGCGCACAACCACCACCCTGCACACAACCGCCCCCGCACACCATCGCCCTGCACACAACCACCGCCGTGCACCATCGCCCCCGTGCACCATCGCCCCCAGCTACCACCGCCCTTCACACAACCACCGCCGTGCACCATCGCCCTGTGCACAACCACCGCCCTGCACACAACCGCCCCCGCGCACCATCGCCCTGCACACAACCACCGCCGTGCACCATCGCCCCCGTGCACAACCACCCCCAGCTACCACCCTGCACACAACCACCGCCGTGCACCATCGCCCCCGTGCACCATCGCCCCCAGCTACCACCGCCCTTCACACAACCACCGCCGTGCACCATCGCCCTGTGCACAACCACCGCCCTGCACACAACCGCCTCCGCGCACCATCGCCCCCGTGCACCACCGCCCTGCACACAACCACCCCCACGCATCATTGCCCTGCACACCATCGCCCTGCACACAACCGCCCCCGCGCACCATCATCCCCGTGCACCATCGCCCTGCACACAACCACCGCCGTGCACCATCGCCCCCGTGCACAACTATCCCCAGCTACCATCGCCCCAGCACACCCTTGTCCCCCCCAGCATGTACAGTCGCCCCAGGGCCCTGCACACCCGCTCTGACACACCTGTGGCCCCCGGGAGCTGCAGCCACCTCCACAAGCATGTTGGGGGGTCCTTAAGTGCCACCCCCAAACCTTGGCAGGCAGCATTAGCAGCCCCCCCCCAGCCAAAGAACAAGTGAACGGCGCGCCTGGCAATGGAGGTTTGAACCCAGGCATCCGGGATCCCAGCTCCCCTTGCTCTGACCACTAGACCCCACTGCCCTCCCAGAGCCGGGGAGAGAACCCAGGCGTCCGGGATCCCGCCCTGCTAGCTCCTCTTACCTCTCCAGGGATCTGTGGTAGCAAAGCCGGCAGCATTTTGTGGGGGGGAGAGAGACAGTCAGAGACCCCCCCAGACCAGGCAGCAGGGGAGTGGCAGCAGGGGGGCAGGTTAAGCAGAAGCCACTAAATCCAACCCCAAGCCCCCCATGGGGCATTTGCCCCAGTGCATTCTGGGTCCCCCCCGGGAATTGAGGGAGGGGTCCCACAACAGAGAAGAAAATTCCCGCCCCCTCCCTCCAGTGTTCCCCCAATGGGGGGGACTTCCAGGGTGAGGTGGAAACGCCTCTGCCGTGCCCCTCCCCACCCCCACAGCCCCCCACCCACCTGTACTCCCCGAACGTCTCGTCCTTCATGGGTCGGGCTTCAGAGTCGACCTGCGTGTCCTCCTTGTCCTTCACTGGGGCAGGGAGGGGGGAGAGTTAGCCGGGGGGCAGGGGCCGAGGGACCCGCGGGTGTGGGGGGGCAGGGCTGCTCGGGGAGCCTGGAGTGCAGGGGCGGCTGGGCTCACTCCCGGGGGGGGGGGGCTCAGGGGGCCGGGGGCGGGGCCTGGGCGCGGGGGGCGGGGTCTCACCCGAGTACTTCCCTCCCTTGCTGTGCTTGAGGAAGCAGAGGGTCAGGCCCACCAGCAGCAGCAGGATCAGAGCGCAGATGAAGCCGATGAACCAGCCCTCGGTGGCGAAGCTGCGCGGGTTGGTCGTCAGCACTGGGGGGGCAGAGCGACGGGGGGTTACCTGGGGGCCCTTCGCCCGGACACGGGGGGACGAAGCCTGGGCCTGCCTCAGTTTCCCCCATCCACTGCATTGTTCCGCCGCGGGGGTGGGGTCTGTCTGCCCCCAGGCCGGGCAGGGCGAATGGCTCCCAGTACCCGGGGCCGGGCTGAGGGGGGCAGCCCCGCTGCTGGGGCTCTGGGACACGGGGGGCTCTGCGGAGTGGGGCCGGCGGCTGGGCACGGGGGGCCCCGGGCTGTGGATGCATCTCTGCCCGGCTTTCCCTCTCCACACACACACAGCCCCTGTTCTCGCACACGTGTGTGTCAGGGCCCGGGGCGGGGGAGCTTTGCGCGGCGCCCAGCCCCGGAGGGCAGGGACGCTGGAGGAAAAGCGTCCTGTCGGCGGGAGCAGACCAAGGCCCCCCTCGATCCCTCACCCTGGGATGGGGGGGCCGGGAGGGCAGCGGGGGTGCCAGGAGCCGGCCCCTCCTCTGGGGACACCCTCTTTGCAGCACTGTCCCGACCCCCAGAAGGAGGCACCACAGGGGGCCAAGGGACCCAGACTTTGACTCTGGGACAGATTCGCAGGAGAGGGACAGAAACGTGGGGTGTCTTGCAGGGGACCCCGGGTCGCGTCCCGTCAACAGCGGAGCATCGATCCCGCTCCGCCGCCACCTGGCTCCAGCCCTCCCGCCTCCCCCGCCCCTGGCCAGGGAGGGCGGGGGGGCAACGAGCTGGTAACAAGGACAAGACGGAGTGTGTGTGAGGGGGAGTGCGTGTGCCGAGAGGAGTGTGTGCGTGTGTGCAGGGGTGGTGCGGAGGGGAGTGTGCAGGGCTGTGAGGGGGTGTGTGCGGAGGTGTGCGTGTGCCGAGAGAAGTGTGGGGGAGTGTGTGGGTGTGTCCGGGGATGGTGCAGGGGTGTGTGTCCGGGGATGGTGCGGAGGGGAGTGTGCAGGGCTGTGAGGGGGTGTGTGCGGAGGTGTGCGTGTGCCGAGAGAAGTGTGGAGGAGTGTGTGGGTGTGTCCGGGGATGGTGCAGGGGGAGTGTGCGGGGGTGTGCGGGGGGAGCGTGCCGAGAGAAGTGCGGGGAAGTGTGTGGGTGTGTCCGGGGATGGTGCAGGGGGGAGTGTGCGGAGGGGAGTGTGCCGAGAGGAGTGTGCGTGTGTGGCGCAGGGGGGAGCGTGCGTGTGCGGAGGGGAGCGTGCGGGGAGCGTGCCGTCCATCATACGCGTACGCTCCAGTCTGGGCTGAGGCCGATATTACCAATAAACGCGGCACGGCGCCTTATCCCCGACGAGACCCACGCGGTATGTTAAGTACAACAGGACCCACCAGGGAGCCATGGGGGGAATGGGCATGGGGATCCCAGCCCCCCCCGGGGAGCCGCGGGACAGGGGACGGGTATGGGGGTCCCTGGGCCCCCCGGGGAGCCGTGGGGTGGGGCCAGCGATTGGGGTCTCACTCACGCTTGCCGTCGGTCTCCACCTCGCTCTCCCAGAAGGAGACGTTGCCCCCCGAGGGGTCGCGCCCCACGAACTGGACGCGGTAGGAGGTGCCGGGCCGCAGGTTGAGGAGCCGGTAGGAGCCATGGGTGGAGTTCGCCTGGCCGGACGTTCGCCAGGGCTCGGCCGCTGGGGGGCAGTGGGGGGGTGTTACTGCCCACGTGCCCCTACCTGCCCCCCACTGGCCGCCCCCTCCCGGGCCAGATCGGGGCTGGTGCCCCCTACTGGGGACAGGCCCCCAGCCCCCCATTCCCTGCCCCACAGAGCCAGCTGGCCCCCACTGGGGCCCCTTCCCACCCCCCCAGCCAGCCAGAGCCCACCCCAGAGCTGGCTGAGGGCTGGTGCCCCCGAGAGGGGACAGGCCCCCAGCTGCTCCCCCGCCAGCCCCCCCAGGACCGGATCAGGGCCCCCCCAGCCCCGGCTCTTACTGGTCTTGCTCATGAACTGGATCTCGAACTCCACGTTGGCCTGGTGCCGGCTCGGGACCCAGGTGATGACGGTGAAATCGGGCCCCACCCGCGAGATGCTGATGTTGTCCAAAGTGGGGAGCACTGGGGGGGGGCGCAGACAAAGGGGGGGAAATTAACCCTTTAATGTCAGATCCGGAGACTGGGGAACTCCCTGCAGCGCGGGGCCCCCACGACATGCCCGAGGGGGGCAGGCGTGGGTCTGGCCCCCACCCCAGGATTCCCGGAGGTCGCGGTGCGGGAGGGGGAGGTTAGGGGATCTGGCAGGAGATGCCCGGGGCCCCCCCTTACCTGGCTCTGGGACGGTGCCGCCCTCCTGCACCAGCGGCTCGCCCTGGCCGGCCCGGGTCAGCGCCCGCAGGTGGAAGCGGTACCGGGCCCGCGGGTCCAGCCGGGCCAGCGTCACGTTGCGCTGGGAGACGGGGACCGACATTTCGTGCAGGGGGCCCAGCTCCGACCCGTTCACTGGGGGGGCAAGGGGGGGTTAGCGCCCAGCTGGCCCATCGTCCCCCCTCCCGCTCACCCCCCGCCCCCGGCCGCCCCGGACTCACCCTGCCGGTACTGCAGCAGGTATTGGGTCAGGGCCCCGTTGGGGAACCGGGGGGGCGTCCACTCCAGAGCCAGCGCCGTGTCCGAGACCCGCTCCAGGAGCAGCGAGTGGGGGGGGCTGGGCACTGCGGGCACAGAGAGGGGAGAGCTGGGGCATGCGGGGGGTCTTACCCCCCGGGGGGTGGGAGCTGTTCGGGGGTGGGAGAGCTGGGGGGGGTCACAGGGGGGGTGGGGGTCTCACCTCCCTCGGGGGTGCTGAAGTCAACGTCCTCGCTGTGGGGCCCATCGCTGCGCCCGTTAAACACGACAACGTAGAGGCGGTACAAGCTCCAGGGGCGCAGCCCCCCCAGCCTGGCCTGCGACACCTCCCCCTCCAGCGTCAGCACCAGGGGGGGCGGCTGGGCCCGGGCCTGGCGCCGGTTCCGCTCCCCCACGCTGCCCAGCCGCCAGTAAAACACCTGGGGGGACAGGGTGAGACAGCGGGGCCCCCGCGCCCCCGACCCGCAGCCCCCCCAGCGCCCCGCGCCCCCGACCCGCAGCCCCCGAGTGCCCCCTGAACCCCCCACTCCCGACCCGCAGCCCCCCGAGCGCCCCGCGCCCCCGACCCGCAGCCCCCCCAGCGCCCCCGACCCGCAGCCCCCCGAGCGCCCCACATCCCCCCCAGTGCCCCGCGCCCCCGACCCGCAGCCCCCGAGTGCCCCCTGAACCCCCCACTCCCGACCCGCAGCCCCCCGAGCGCCCCGCGCCCCCGACCCGCAGCCCCCCCAGCGCCCCCGACCCGCAGCCCCCCGAGCGCCCTGCGCCCCCGACCCGCAGCCCCCCCAGCGCCCCGCATCCCCCCCAAGCAGCCCCGCGCCCCCGACCCGCAGCCCCCTGCGCCCAACCCGCAGCCCCCCAAGCAGCCCCGCGCCCCCGACCCGCAGCCCCCGAGCGCCCCCTGAACCCCCCCACTCCCGACCCGCAGCCCCCGAGCGCCCCGCAGCCCCCCCAGCGCCCCCGACCCGCAGCCCCCCGAGCGCCCTGCGCCCCCGACCCGCAGCCCCCCCAGCGCCCCGCATCCCCCCCAAGCAGCCCCGCGCCCCCGACCCGCAGCCCCCTGCGCCCAACCCGCAGCCCCCCAAGCAGCCCCGCGCCCCCGACCCGCAGCCCCCTGAGCGCCCCCTGAACCCCCCCACTCCCGACCCGCAGCCCCCCGCGCCCGACCCGCAGCCCCCCGAGCGCCCCCGCTCCTGACCCGCAGCCCCCCGAGCGCCCCCCACGCCCAACCCGCAGCCCCCCGAGCGCCCCCTGAACCCCACACTCCCAACCTGCAGCCCCCCGCGCCTGCTGCTCCCGACCCGCAGCCCCCCGAGCACCCCCCGCTCCCGACCCGCAGCCCCCCGAGCACCCCACACCCCCCAGTCCTGACCCGCAGCCCCTCCCCCCAATTACCCTGAACCCCCGGAGGTGACCCCGCAGCTTGTCTCTGTGGGGCAGGCTCCAGCTGACGAGGACGCTGGTGCTGTTGAACAGTTCCACGCCCACGTTCTCAGGGTTCACCAGGGGCACTGGGGGAGGAACAGACGCCTGTGAAATGGGGGGGGGCTCAGAGCTTCCCCCCAGTCCCTTCCCACCATGGTCCCCTCCAAGCCGGGGGTCACAGTTCTCCCCTTTCCTCTCCCCACTATTTCCCAAACCCACCCCGGGGATCACGGCCCCCTTTCTTTCTCCCCACTGCTCCTTCACCCTTGCTCCCCCACTCACCGTCCTCTCCAGAGTACCCCACCACGATGGGGGGCTCGGGCCCCTTGCCGACGGGGTTCACGGCCTGCACCTTGATCTCGTAGGGCACAAAGGTGGGGGTCTCCGTGACCAGCAACGGGGGGGCGCTGACGGTCTCCTCGCTCCAGTGCTCCCCCAGGCCCAGCCGCCTCCACTGCACCCGGTAGCTGAGCTCGGGGGCGTTCCAGTCCGACTTGTTCAGGGGCTGGGGGAGGACGGGGGGGGCACCAGTGTATGGGGGGGCACAGCCCCAGGGCTCCCCGTTCTCCCCCCGGATACAATGCACCCCAGGCCCCCCAGCACACAACGGGAGCAAGTCAGTGTAACTACCCCGCCCCACACAGGTACAGAGCGTGCAACCACCCCGTGGGACGACGCGGGGCGGGTCTGAGGGTTCTCTCTGAATACTGGGTGGGTGCCTCAGTTTCCCTAGGCATTTCTCAAGTATCCAGGTGGGGGATCAGGGGGGTGATGGTCGCAGAGCCCTGGGGGGCAGGTGATGGGGTCTGCACAGAGAATGCGACACCCCGTCCCCTGCAAGGTGTCGACTGAAGGGAACAAAGAGACCAGGTGGCTCCTGGCCCGGGAAAGGGACAAAGGCCGGAGGAGGGGTGGGAGGTTATAATAAACCTTCTGTTTTCACCTCTGACTGCGGAGTTGGGGGGCAGGGCCCTCTGGCCCCCCAGGACCCTGCCCGGGGGGACGGGCTGCGGGAAAGGTGGGGCAGGGGAGGCGGGAGGCTCCGGGGCCGGACCCGGGACGGTGGAAGCTGGGGCAGCGTCTTGCCCTGGGGACAGTAGGCGCCGAGAGGGGAGGGTCCCCAGAGTCCTGCCCGGCTTCGGGGGAGCAGGTCCGAGCACGGCCCGGGGACCCCGCGACAGCCCTAACACCCCCCCGACACAACGAGCCCATGACAGACAGACAGACAGACAGTCGGCACGACAGGACGACGACCCTGTAACGCACACGCGCCCCCTACACAAAGCACCAACTGCCCCATAACGTGCCCAGACGGCGTGACCTGCACCGCAATGCCCCCGCAGACAAACGGCCCCGGAAAATACGGCGTCAGCCACGAGGCGACTGCTCCATACGACCCGCCGGGGACGAGCCGCGCCAGCCTCCCGTGCCCCACGCGGCGTGACAGTCCTGGGCCCCCCGGCGGGCGGCACAAGGCGGCAGCAGCGAGTGACCCGGCCCCACCCCGCCGGCTCCCGGCCTCGCTCGGGGCAGGGGGCCGGGGAGGGGGGACCCAGCGACTGGTGCCCAGGAGGCCCCCCCAGCTCGGGAGCAGCCGTTTCTGGCCGGGGGGGGGGCCCAGGTGGCCTGTTCACCGGGGGATGGGGACAGAGGGCGGCTGGGGAAGGGGATATGGGGGCTCGGCTGGAAGTGGGGGGCTGGCTGGGGCTGAGAGGGGCCAGGCCCGGGGCCCTGAGAGCCACCTGGGCTGGGGTCAGACGTCCAGTTACCTCCCGTGGGACGCTGGCTGAGTCCTGTCCCTCCTGGAGAGTGGGGGGGGGGGGGATTTGCTCCCTCTAGGGACGGGGGCCCCGGAGCCCAGAGGTGGGACGCCCCGAGGGGCCCTCGGCAGAGCCAGGCTGCTGGGGGCTCAGGGGTGCAGTCCCGGGAGGCGGGGAGGGGGGGCCGTGGAGAGAGCAGACCCCCGAGGGCCGTACGAGGGGCCTGTGAGTCTGTGTCTCGTCTGACGCCGGGGGTTGGGCCGGATCCCTCCTTGCACAGACGCTCCCGGAGGGCAACACCCCACAGCCACGGGGCCACGCAATGCCGTGGGGCCAGGCAGAGGCCGATGGGGGGTGCGAGCCAAGCAGCTGCGGCCAGGGTGTGGGGTACCCCCATGACGAGCGAGTCTCAGGGGACCGTTGGCAGGTTTTCAAAGAGCCACTATCCCCCTGCGGGGGCGGGCGACGACGCGGGGGGGGTCTCTTGGTTTTATCAGTGGTTTGCATGCAGAGGGGGTGGGACTCAGTTTCCCTGGGTGTTACGGGTTTAACGAGGGGGTGGGAGAGGGGGTTTGTGGGGACACAGGGCCAGCGAGGGAACGTGGGACCCCGGCCAACGGCCTGGAGAGTGGAGACCCCAGCGACTGGGGATCGGCAGCCCCAGCCGGGTCTGGCCAGTGGGGGGACAGTGGGCTGCGGGGGGAGGACCCCGGTGACCGGACCAGGGCGAGGGGGCCCCGGCGACGGGCAGAGGCGGGAGCCAGGGCGCAACGGCCCCACATCACGCACGTAGGGTGTAAACTAATTACCCGGCAACAACCCTGTCACCAGGACCCTCGAAGACCCTGGGCACAAGACCCCCGCTACCCTGTAACAACCTCCCCGCGAACCGCACCCTGAACTGCCCCTCGAACCTGGCTACACCACGAACCACCAACACCCCGCAAGCATCAGGGCCTCTGCCCCACAACGCCCGCCCCCCCGGCTACGGGCCGCACCCCCTGTGCCGGCCTCCTCACAACACAGGACAACACATGCCCCCCCACGGCGTTGGCTACACAGTAACCTCCCCGAAGGCAACAGCCGGTAGCCCCCCCCCATGGGCCCCCTGCCACGTGGGACACGGATCCCCCGATCCACCGAAGGAGGCAGCATTTGGGGGGCTGTGCAGACGCTGGGGGGAATCGGGGGGCTGTGGGGGGGTGAGCCCCCGACTTGTTACCTTCCAGGTGATGAGCATGTTGCTGGTCTCGTTCCCTTCGCCGGCCACCCCCTCGGGGTAGCGCTCCGGGGCTGGAGGGGAAAGTGACAAAGTGAGTGGGGGGACGGTGAGCGGGGGATCCCCCCCCCCTCCTCCCCCCGGGCCGTACCCGCCTGGCTGGTGTGGACGGGGGTGGAGGCGGCGCTGGGCTCGCCCCGTCCGTACCGATTGGCCGCGCGGACCCGGAACCGGAACTCGCCGTAGGGGGCCAGGTGCAGCCGGGCCCAGGGCTGGTGGCCGGGGACGGTGCTGACGTCCCGCCAGGTGCCGGGGTCCCGGAGCCCGTCCTCCGCCTCCACCACGAACTCTGGGGGGAGACGGGGTGAGAGACGCCCAGCGCCCCCCGGACCCGCCCCGATTCCCCCTGGAACCGCCCCCCAGGCTGCCTCCGACACCTCCCCAGCCGCCTGCCCCCCAGAACGGCCCCCCCCCGAGATGCCCCAGAACAGCCTGCCCCCAGAGTGCCCCTGGAACGACCCCCAAGACCCCCCAGAACAGCCCCCAACACCCCCCCAAACTGCCTGCCTCCCGAGCCCCTCCAGAACCACCTGGTCCCCCAATGCCCCCCTGGAACCACCCCCTAGAACCACCTCCGACACCCCCCAAAACTGCCTGCCCCCCAAATCCCCCTGGAATGGCCCCAGCCCCCAATTCCCCTGCAGACCCGCCTGCCCCCCGCTGTCTCCCCTGGGCTGCCCAGCATGGGGGACGGGGTACCCTGAGTTGAAGCAAAGGCAACGGGGCCACCTGGAGGCTGGGGAGAGGGGGAGATGTCCTGGGATCTGGGGGGCTGGGCCCCCCCTTCTTACTCTCAACGGGGCTGTTGTGATCATCCCCTGGGGTCCAGCTCAGCTTCACCCGGCGCTCCTGCTGCTCCGACACCTGCAGCTCCGACACCGGCCCGGGGCGGCCTGGGGGCAGAGACGGGTCAGAACCGGCCCAGGCAGCCCCCCCCCCGGGCCCCCCCCGCCCGGGGACGTACCCACCACCCGCAGCTCGGCGCTTTCCTCCACCGCGTCCAGCTCCGTGTGGGCCCGACAGCTGTACACGCCCTGGTCCGGGTAGTCCACGCTGGAAATCCGCAGCCAGCCGGGCTCGATGCTGTACCTGAGGGGAGGGGGCGGGTGAGCCTGGGGCTGCGAGCTTCCCCCAGCAGTGCCCCAAGCCGGGGTCTGCCCCGGCGCTGCGAGCTTCCCCCAGCAGTGCCCTGCTCCCCACTCACTTGTCGCTGTCGTCCGACTCCTGGATGGGGCGCCCGTCCCGCCGCCACTCGACCCCGTGTTCCTGCAGCGTCTCGTCGAACCGCACCAGGCACCGGAAGGTCACGTTGCTGGATTTCTTCACCACGGCGCTTTGGGGGCCCAGCTCGATCCGCGTGGCAGCTGGGACGGGACAGAGGGGTGGGGTGATGGGGGGGCAGCGTCTGGGGCGTGTCCCTACCCAGCATGCCCCACCTCCTCAGCCCCTCCCTCCCCGGATGCTGAGGGTGCGGGGGCCCCACCTTTGACCTCGAGCCAGGCGCGGAGGGTGACGTTGTTCTGGTCGTTCTGGGCCAGGCACACGTAGGCGCCGGTGTCCTGGCGCTGGGTCCGGCTCAGCCGCAAGGTGCCATTGGTGTGGACGAAGGCGCGTTCGTCCTGCAGCGCCGGCTCCAGCCGCTCGGTGAACCTGCCGGCAGGGGGGGTGTCAGGGGGCACTTGGCACCCTGCCCAGGGCACTGCTGCAGGGAAGCTCGCAGCACGGGGGGGCGGTGTCTGCAGGGAAGGGGGTGTGTCCTGGGGGGGCAATGCAGGGCGCGCGCACGGGGGGTCCCCTCACCAGTCCACGCTGGGCACGGGCGCCCCGAAGGTCTGGCAGTGCAGAGACGCCGTCTGGTTCTCCACCACGGCGTAGCGCTGTTCGTCCGGGGTCAGGATCTTCGCTGGGAGCTCTGTGGGGCGGGGGGGGGGGCGTAAGGGGGGGCCCTGGACCCAGCCCCGCCCCTGCACCCCCAAACCCACTCGCCCAGGGGATGCCTGGCAGAATGGGCCCCTGGAAGCTGCCCTTGGGGGAGGGGGTGCCAGAGATGGGATGGCTGCCAGGGGCTGGTTGCCAGGGACTGGTTGCCAGGGGCGGCGGTTGCTAGGGTGTGACTGGTAGGGGGATGAGGAGTTTGTAACCTAGGGCCAGTTACTGGGGTTGGTTGCCAGTTGCCGGGGGCAGTGGTTGCCAGGGCAGCGGTTGCTAGGGTGGGGCCAGGAGGGGGGATGATTGATGGTTGCCAGGAGGCTGTAGCTTGGGCCCAGTTGCTGGGGCTGGGCTGGTTGCTAGGCGGCGGTCGCTAGGGTGGGTTGCCGGGGGCGGCGGTTGCCGGGCACTCACGGATGACGTAGACGTAGGCGTTGGCCAGCAGGCGGCCATGGCGGTTCACGGCCTCACACTGCGTCACCAGCGAGTCGTTGGGCGTCACCTGGCTCAGGATCAGGGCCCCCGAGCGCAGCGTCCGCCCCGGGTCCGGCTGCAGCTCTGGGGGCGAGATGCGGCTGGGGGGCAGCAGAGACGCCCCGTGTCCCGCCCACTGCCCCGCCCCACATCCTGCCCCGCCCACTGCCCCGCCCCCACATCCTGCCCCGCCCCACATCCTGCCCCGCCCACTGCCCCACCCCCACATCCTGCCCTGCCCCCAGCCCCCCCTGCTCTCACCTGCCCAGGGGACGCCGTTGATCCTCCAGGACACCAGGGGTTTGGGTTTCCCGTAGACAGAGCAGTCGAGCCGAACGTTCTCCCCGGGGCCATACACCCGGCTGTGGGGCTGCTGAGCCCAGTAGGGGGCAGCTGGGGGGGAAAGGGGTGAGCCAGTGCCCCTCGCTCCCGACCCGCAGCCCCCCCAGCCCGGCCGGGGCCCCTCGCTCCCGACCCGCAGGCCCCCCAGCCCGCCCGGGGCCCCTCGCTCCCGACCCGCAGGCCCCCCAGCCCGCCCGGGGCCCCTCGCTCCCGACCCGCAGGCCCCCCAGCCCGGCCGGGGCCCCTCGCTCCCGACCCGCAGGCCCCCCAGCCCGCCCGGGGCCCCTCGCTCCCGACCCGCAGGCCCCCCAGCCCGGCCGGTACCTTCCACGGTGACGGTGTAGCTGTGCCGGGCGGTGCCCTGGGTGTTGCGGGCGATACACTGATACTCCCCGTCATCCTCCTCCACCACGTCCCGGATCCGCAGGGTTTTCCGGGAGTTCTCCAGGGCCATGCGCTCCGCGGGCAGGCGGCCGTTCAGACGGACCCACTCCACGGTGGGCGTGGGGCTGGGGGCAGAGGGGGGCTGGCGTGGGGCTGGGGGGGTCAGACAGGCCCCCCCAGTCCCCGTAACACCCACCCCCAGCGTCCCCGCCCCGCCACCCCCCAATGCCCCCTAGCCCCCCGCGCCCCACTCACAAGCCCTCCGCGATGCACTCCAGGGCCAGGCTGGACCCCCGCAGGGCGACGTGGGAGCTGGTCTCCCCCGGCGGCATCATGAGCCGGGGCTGGCGAAACTTCACCGAGTTGGCTGCAGGGGAGACGGGGGGGGGGGGGTCAGCACCGAGTGCTGGGGGGAGGAGAACAGAGGAGGTCCCTCTCCCCCCCACCAGCAACAGGGCCCGGATCTGTTGTCCAGACACCTGGGTCCAGTGGGAAGGTGGGGGTGGGGAGAGCGGCATTGGGGAGGGAGCAGGGAGACCCCCCATACATCCCCATGTGCCCGCGTACCCCCCCTGTCCATCATGGGGGGGCAATGGCCCCCAATGTACCAGGCTCAATTTGGGCAGGATACCCCCAAATCTGGGGGGTCCCCAGAATCCTGGCCCACCCCCCACCAGAGGATGCAGGAGCCACAGGGACTCCCCATCAAGGTGTAGAGCAGCCCTGGGGCTGCTCTAATGGATGCCAAGGAATTGGGGTGCGGGGGTGTCCTGCGGCAAGGAGTGGGGCTGAAAATCGATCCCTGTCCCTCCCCTCCAAAGCCTTTAAACCTCCCCCCACCAGGGTCCCCATTCGGGTCTGGTCCCGCCCCCAGGTCAGGGCATTCCTCAGAGCCCCACTCACTGGGCCGGACCCGCAGCTCGAGCGGCTCCTTCTGGATGATGGTGCGGGGCCCCAGGTAGTGCGCGTGGCAGATGTAGTCGGGGTGACTGTCCGAGCCCCGGACGTTGGCGAAGTACAAGTACCCGTCCTGCCCCACGGTGACCCGCTCGTCCTGCGCGATGTGCACGATCCCTGCCGGGCGGCGAGGGGTTAAACCCAGAGCAGAACCCACCTCCTGCCCCCCGCGTCCCGCTCCCGGCAGTGGATACTCACGGCTGTTTAGCCAGTAGATTCTGGGGGGCATGGCGCTGGCAGGGGGGTTGCAGGGCAGGACCACGGACTCCCCCTCCTCCACCTCTACCGGCAACACCTTCTCCTTGGGCCACTGGGGGGTGCCTGCAACCGGGAGAAGGGAGGGGGTGTTGAATCAAAACTGGGGGGGGTGGGGGCAGGCAGGGCCGGGCTGGCAGGGGCTGCGGGTCGGGAGTGAGGGGCACTGGCAGGGCCGGGCTGGCAGGGGCTGCAGGTCGGGAGTGAGGGTGTGATGAAGTGGGACTGTTCTTAATGGTTTCTCCGAATATTGTGGGGGTGCCTCAGTTTCCCCTAGGCAGTTCTTAAGTACCTAGGTGGTGGGGTAAGGGGGTATAATCACTGCAGAGCCCTAGAGGGCAGGTGTATGCAGGGGTCTGGACACAGAGAATGGCCGACACCCTGTTTCCTGGCCACTGGTGGCCTGGGCCCTTCCCCCCTGCCAGGTGAGAGCTGAAGGGTTGGAGAACAAAGGGATCCGGTGACCTCCTGGCCTGGGAAAGGGACAAAGCCCAGAGCAGGGGGGGCTGGAGGGAGTTTCAGTTTGGGGCTGGCTGGGACATGGAGTGAAGGGCAGACGGGGTTGTCTGGCTCACTGCCCCCCAAAATGGACCCAGCTGAGGGGTCCCGTTCTCTGCACCTGGAAGCTCTGTGTTAGACCCTGTTCCTGTCGTCTAATAAACCTTCTGTTTCCCCGGCTGGCTGAGAGTCCCGTCTGACTGCGGAGTTGGGGGGCAGGACCCTCTGGCCCCCCCAGGACCCCGCCTGGGCGGACTGGCTGTGGGAAGCGCCCGGAGGGGCAGAGGAGGCTGGAGGCTCCGGGGTCAGACCCAGGAAGGTGGAGCCGGGGGAGCTGTGTGTCCTGCAGACAGGCTGCTCCCCGAGAGGAGACTCCCCCAGAGTCCTGCCCGGCTTCGTGGGGAGCAGGTCAGAGCATCGCCCGGGGACCCCGTGACAGGGGGGCACCGGCAGGGCTGGGGGGGGCAGGGCTGGGCTGGCAGGGGCTGTGGGTCGGGAGTGAGGGGCACCGGCAGGGCTGGGGGGGGCAGGGCTGGGGGGGGCAGGGGCTGTGGGTCGGGAGTGAGGGGCACCGGCAGGGCTGGGGGGGGCAGGGCTGGGCTGGCAGGGGCTGTGGGTCGGGAGTGAGGGGCACCGGCAGGGCTGGGGGGGGCTGGGTGAATTCTCCACTTCCCTGGCCTTTGCTCCCTGGGGAGGCTGGGGCAGGCTGGGGGTGGGGGGGTCCTCAGGCTGCAGCCAAGGGTGGGGGAGGTGCTGATGGAGAGGATGCAATTACATCACCCCGACACCTTGCTGCCATGGAAATGGTTGTCGTGGAAACAGGAGCAATTGGCTGAGCTCTGGGGAGACCTGCAGGTAAAAGGCGGGGGGAGCCCAGAGCTGGCAGGGGCTGCGGGTCGGGAGTGAGGGGCCGCCGGCCGCGGGGGGGTCACTCACTGTCATTGATGACGTGGATCTCGGGGCCCATGGCCGTGCCCAGCTCGTTGCTGGCGTAACACTGATACACGCCCTGGTACCGCCCCGCGTTGCTGTTGACGATGTTCAGCGTCCCTGAGCCCTCGACGACCGTCACCCCGGCCTCCCGACGCGGGTCGAACAAGTGCCCATCCTTTGTCCAGCGGAACCTGCGGGGGGAGGGGGAGGAGCTCGGGGCGGCACCGGGGGGGCCGGGCAGGGAGGGGGGCCCGGGGGGGAAGAGGGGGGCCGTACTCACGTGACGGGGGGGTTCCCGGTGGCCTCGCAGCGCAGCACAATGTCGTCGCTGGGGAACACGACCAGCTTCTCCACCAGCTGCTCAGTCATCTCTGGGGGCTGCCTCACTGGGGGGGGAGGGGGGGGGCCTGTTACAGAGATTGAGATCCTCTGCCTCCCACCACCCCCAATTCCCCGTCCCCTGAACTCTCCCAAACTTCCCCCTAGACTCCCCCATTGCCCCTTCCCCCCCCCACATGGCTCCCCCATCACAGCCCCCCCCAAATCTCTGTCCCGATAGATCCGAAATGGCCCGGGGGGGGTTCTTGGGAAAAGGGGGTGAGTGTGCAAAGCCGAAGCCCACGTGTGCCCTGAACCACCCCCCTCCCAGCCAGCTCCACCCTCCCAGCCCCACGGACACCCTGTATCACCCCAGGACTCACGGTTGTGCATCTCGTCTGAGCCACCCAGGCAGCAGGGGAGAGAGACAGAGAGACGTGAGCTGGCATCCCACGGGGGGGATCCGGGAGCTCGCGCCCGCGAGCAGGGGAGTGCGACCGAGGGCCGTGTGGGCGTGAGCACACAAGTTGTGCACACACGCTTGTGAGGCGGGGGGTAGGAAAGTGGAAGTGTGCAAGGGAAGCTGGCTGGAGCGTGTGCAAGGTTGCAAGGCAGGGTGGGAGAGCCCGAGTGTGCACTGGAGGGTGTGCAAGAGAGCGGGGAGTGCACGAGTGTGCTCGGCGAGCTGGTACAAGGGCTGGAGGTTGCTCGGTGAGGGTGAGCATGCACAAGAGTGAGTGGAGGGGGTGGGGAAGGGAGAGCGTGCGACAGCGTGTGTGAGGGCAGGCGGGACGCGGTGCTCATGGGGAGCGAGGGGGGTTGTACGTGAGCGGGTGTTACAGCAAACCAGGCACGGAGCATGACTGAGCACCACGGCATGAAGAGCCGTGCAAAGCGTGCAAGAGTGAATGTGCAAAACCAACACCCAGGTCAGAGCCACGGATTCCCCCAATGCAGAAACTGCCCCCACCTGGGCAAGCCCTGGGTCTGGCACAGGTGGGTACAGCCCTTTGCAACCCCCGGAGCCCCCTCCGTGGTCCTGTCTGCAGCTACAGCCCATCGCAACCCCCGGAGCCCTGTCCGTGGTCCTGGCTGCGGCTACAGCCCATTGCAACCCCGGGAGCCCTGTCCGTGGTCCTGTCTGCAGCTACAGCCCATCGCAACCCCCGGAGCCCTGTCCGTGGTCCTGTCTGCAGCTACAGCCCATCGCAACCCCCGGAGCCCCCTCCGTGGTCCTGTCTGCAGCTACAGCCCATTGCAACCCCCGGAGCCCTGTCCGTGGTCCTGTCTGCAGCTACAGCCCATCGCAACCCCCGGAGCCCCCTCCGTGGTCCTGTCTGCAGCTACAGCCCATCGCAACCCCCGGAGCCCCCTCCGTGGTCCTGTCTGCAGCTACAGCCCATTGCAACCCCCGGAGCCCTGTCCGTGGTCCTGTCTGCAGCTACAGCCCATCGCAACCCCCGGAGCCCTGTCCGTGGTCCTGTCTGCAGCTACAGCCCATCGCAACCCCCGGAGCCCCCTCCGTGGTCCTGTCTGCAGCTACAGCCCTTTGCAACCCCCGGAGCCCTGTCCGTGGTCCTGTCTGCAGCTACAGCCCATCGCAACCCCCGGAGCCCTGTCCGTGGTCCTGTCTGCAGCTACAGCCCATCGCAACCCCCGGAGCCCCCTCCGTGGTCCTGTCTGCAGCTACAGCCCATCGCAACCCCCGGAGCCCCCTCCGTGGTCCTGTCTGCAGCTACAGCCCATCGCAACCCCCGGAGCCCCCTCCGTGGTCCTGTCTGCAGCTACAGCCCATCGCAACCCCCGGAGCCCCCTCCGTGGTCCTGTCTGCAGCTACAGCCCATCGCAACCCCCCGGAGCCCCTCCGTGGTCCTGTCTGCAGCTACAGCCCATCGCAACTCCCGGAGCCCCCTCCGTGGTCCTGTCTGCAGCTACAGCCCTTTGCAACCCCCGGAGCCCCCTCCGTGGTCCTGTCTGCAGCTACAGCCCATCGCAACCCCCGGAGCCCCGTCCGTGGTGCTGTCTGCAGCTACAGCCCATCGCAACCCCCGGAGCCCCCTCCGTGGTGCTGTCTGCAGCTACAGCCCATCGCAACCCCCGGAGCCCTGTCCGTGGTGCTGTCTGCAGCTACAGCCCATCGCAACCCCCGGAGCCCCCTCCGTGGTGCTGTCTGCAGCTACAGCCCATCGCAACCCCCGGAGCCCCCTCCGTGGTGCTGTCTGCAGCTACAGCCCATCGCAACCCCCGGAGCCCTGTCCGTGGTGCTGTCTGCAGCTACAGCCCATCGCAACCCCCGGAGCCCCCTCCGTGGTCCTGTCTGCAGCTACAGCCCATCGCAACCCCCGGAGCCCCCTCCGTGGTGCTGTCTGCAGCTACAGCCCATCGCAACCCCCGGAGCCCTGTCCGTGGTGCTGTCTGCAGCTACAGCCCATCGCAACCCCCGGAGCCCCCTCCGTGGTCCTGTCTGCAGCTACAGCCCATCGCAACCCCCGGAGCCCCCTCCGTGGTGCTGTCTGCAGCTACAGCCCATCGCAACCCCCGGAGCCCCCTCCGTGGTCCTGGCTGCAGCTACAGCCCATCGCAACCCCCGGAGCCCCCTCCGTGGTCCTGGCTGCAGCTATGGGTTGAAACTTGGATTGTACCATGGCAGGGAAACGGGAGGGATCCAGCATCCACGGACCCCAGGACCGCACCCCTTCTGGCTCAAGGGGGGAAGGACCCGAACCCCCCAGCTACTTACACTCCTTGGGGATGGTGAGGGCCTTGGCCAGGCCCAGCAGCAGAGGCCAGAGCCGGAGCAGCCGGCCCCACGTGGGAGCCATCCTCCCCGCGGGCTGGGGCCGCTCAGTCCGGCCGGGCTGGCTGGGGGCGCCGTGGGTCGCTCACTGCACCTGGTGGGGGAGAAGCACCATGAGTGAGCGAGATCCATGCAACCAGCTCTGGGGTGGAGCGCCGCCCCTCCCACCACATTCCTCCACCCTGAGAGCCCCCCAATCCCCGGACAATTACCAGGCCAGGGGCTTATCTCGTCAACCCAGCGGGATCCCCCAGCCCCTCCTCTCTCCTCCCCTCCCCCAGCAGGAGACGGATGGAGGGACGGACGGACGGGGAACAGATGGAAGAGCGCCGGCCACGGGGGAGGGGTCATGAATTATTAATAGGGAGGAGGAGAGAGAGGAGGGGAAAGACCTGCAGCCCCCCAGCCCTGCCGGCGCCCCCCACTCCCGCCCCGCAGCCCCTGCCCTCCCCCACCCTGCCGGTGCCCCTCACTCCCGACCCCCAGCCCCTGCCAGCCCGGCCCTGCCCCCCCCAGCCCTGCCGGCGCCCCCCACTCCCGCCCCACAGCCCCTGCCCTCCCCTGCCCTGCCGGTGCCCCTCACTCCCGACCCCCAGCCCTGCCGGCGCCCCCCACTCCCGCCCCGCAGCCCCTGCTAGCCCTATGGTTGGTTTCTTGGAAAAAAATTCTCCCAGCAGCCGGGGAGTTAATGAGGCGAGCGGCCGAGTCTGTCAGAGGCCCCCTGAGCAGAGGGAGAAGGGGGGGGCAGATGGGCTGTGTTGGGGGGGATTGTCCCCAAGGTCTCTGACCCCCCACCCGAGCCAGCCGGTCGCCCTGCCCCCTGGATCTGGTGCCCCCACCCCTGGTCTAGTCTCTCAGCCCCAGCAGTGGGCAGGGGGCAAGATCCTGCTGGGGGGGCCTTTGGGGCCAGGGTTTGGCTGGGTCACGCTCCAAGCGTGGATGGAGCCAGTGGGGGATGTCGGGGCGCCGGGGGGGGGGGGCTGCAGCACGACGAGGGGTCACAGGGTGTCTCGGGAGGGGGTGGGAGTTGTGGGGCGTGTTGGGTGCTGCGGGGGGGTGGTGGGTCCCGCAGGCTGGGGGTCCTGTGGGGGGGTGCTGCGGGGGGGCCGCGCTGGACAGGGGGCTGCGAGGGGGGGTCTCACAGGCTGGGGGGTCCTGCAGGGGGCCGCGCTGGACAGGGGGCTGTGGGGGGGGTGGGTCTCGCAGGCTGGGGGATCCTGCGGGGGGGTGCTGCGGGGGCGGCGCTGGACAGGGGGCTGCGGGGGGGTCTCGCAGGCTGGGGGGTGCTGCGGGGGGGCCGCGCTGGACAGGGGGCTGCGGGGGGGGTGGTGGGTGCTGAGGGGGGGTCTCGCAGGCTGGGGGGTCCTGCGGGGGGGCCGCGCTGGACAGGGGGCTGTGAGGTCTCGCAGGCTGGGGGGTCCTGCGGGTGGGCCGCGCTGGACAGGGGGCTGCGGGGGGGGGGGTCTCGCAGGCTCGGGGGTCCTGCGGGGGGGCCACGCTGGACAGGGGGCTGTGAGGTCTCGCAGGCTGGGGGGTCCTGCGGGGGGGCCGCGCTGGACAGGGGGCTGCGGGGGGGGGGTCTCGCAGGCTGGGGGGTCCTGCAGGGGGGTGGGTGCTGCGGAGGGGGGTCTTACAGGCTAGGGCGTCCTGCGCTGGACAGGGGGCTGTGGGGGGGGCTGGGTCTTGCAGGCTGGGGGGTCCTGCGGGGGGGCCGCGCTGGACAGGGGTCTGCGGGGGGGTGGGTCTCGCAGGCTGGGGGGTCCTGCGGAGGGGCCGCGCTGGACAGGGGCCTGTGGGGGGGGTGGGTCTCGCAGGCTGGGGGGTCCTGCAGGGGGGCTGCGCTGGACAGGGGTCTGCTGGGGGGGTGGATCTCGCAGGCTAGGGGGTCCTGCGGGGGGGTCTCGCAGGCTGGGGGGTCCTGCGGGGGGCCGCGCTGGACAGGGGTCCTGCGGGGGGGGGTCTTGCAGGCTGGGGGGTCCTGCGGGGGGGGCCGCGCTGGACAGGGGTCTGCGGGGGGGGGGGGGTCTCGCAGGCTGGGGGGTCCTGCGGGGGGCCGCGCTGGACAGGGGCCTGTGGGGGGGGTGGGTCTCGCAGGCTGGGGGGGTCCTGCGGGGGGGCCGCACTGGACAGGGGTCTGCTGGGGGGGTGGATCTCGCAGGCTGGGGGGTCCTGCGGGGGGGTCTCGCAGGCTGGGGGGTCCTGCGGGGGGGCCGCGCTGGACAGGGGTCCTGCGGGGGGGTCTCGCAGGCTGGGGGGTCCTGCGGGGGGGCCGCGCTGGACAGGGGTCTGCTGGGGGGGGTGGATCTCGCAGGCTGGGGGGTCCTGCGGGGGGGCCGCGCTGGACAGGGGTCCTGCGGGGGGGGTCTCGCAGGCTGGGGGGTCCTGCGGGGGGGCCGCGCTGGACAGGGGTCCTGCGGGGGGGGGTCTTGCAGGCTGGGGGGTCCTGCGGGGGGGGCCGCGCTGGACAGGGGGCTGTGGGGGGGGTGGGTCTCGCAGGCTGGGGGGTCCTGCGGGGGGGGCCGCGCTGGACAGGGGGCCCCCGGGGGGGTTCGGGGGAGGGCCGGGCGTCGTCGGTTGCGTCTCCCCCTCCCCCCAGACCCCACTGCTGCACCTCCGGGGTTTCCACGGCAACCGAGAGGCAATGGGAGAATGGTCCCCAGTCACCTTGACCCCAGCAGGGGCGAGGGAGAGAACCCAGGCGTCCGGGCTCCCGCCCACCCCACCAGCCGCAGCCCCCTCCCCGAGCCAGACAGCAGAGAGTTAAGGGCTCTGACCCCCCCCCCACAACCAGGGGAAAATGAGACCAAGAGAATGGGGGGGGAGGGTGCCCCTCACTCCCGACCTGCAGCCCCTGCTAGCCCGGCCCTGCCCCCCAGCTCGGCCCCGACAGGCGCCCCATTGTAGGGGCTCGGGGCCGGGCTGGGGGTCAGCGGAAGTGTGGGGGTGGGGCGGCTCTCAGACTCGACACAAATGGGTTCTTGTCTCCGTGTCCCTGGCCGGATGCCGGGGGGGGGGGGGGAGACGGAAACGGGGCACCCGGGATGGGGGGATCCCAGCTCCATCAACTCCTGGCTCCCAGCCCCCCCTCCCCTCCCAGCACCAGGGAAAGAACCCAGGAGTCCGGGCTCCCAGCCCCCCCACCCCCGCTCTAACCCAGTAACCGGGTCTGACAGGTGACCCTGCCCTGGCCAGTCCGGGCGCAGTGGGGGCCGGTGTCACGCTGGGCCCTGGCCCCTGGGCTCCGGGTGGGGGGCTGTCTCCCCACAGAAACCCCCCACCGGGCTGATGGAGCCAAAACCCCTGGAGGGAAAGGACCAAACCCCACCCATGGCTGCAGCCAGGCCCCTTCTCCCCGGACTCCTGGGTTCCTCCCAGGTCTGTCCCCCACCAGGACTCCTGGGTTCTCTCCCAGCCCTGGGAAGGGAGGGGGGTTGTGTGGCCACATCCCTGTGCAATCCCCTCCCCCCCACGTACCCAGAGCCAGGTCTCCCCCCCCAGCTAATTTGCCTGCAGCCCATGTGGAAATTCCCCTCCCCCAAGCACCTGCCACGACCCCACCCTTCCCGGGGCGGGGGATGGGCTGGGGGGGATTCCAAGGGCCCCTTAACTTTCAGACACCCCCACAAACAGACCCACCGAACCTCGGGGGGGGCAGGGCTGGGCTAGCAGGGGGCCCAGGGAGCCCGGACGCCTGGGTTCTCTCCCCGGCTCGGGGAGGGGGGCAAGTCTCTTCCCCGATAATCAGCAGGACAAACGATGATTGATTCTTGGTTAGTCCCCTAAATACCCCGCGTCTCCCTCCAGACACATGGTGGGGGGCAGCAGAGAGATGGGGGGCAGGGGCTGCGGGTCAGGAGTGAGGGGCGCAGGCAGGAGCTCCCGCCCCCCATCTAGAGTCTTCCCCACATGAATTCCAGCCCCCCCATTACCGGTGCCTTTTGGGGAGCAGCCAGTCTGGCCCCCCCCTTAATTCCTCCCATCCCCTTCCCAAGCTCCGGTCCCCGGGATGCCCCCCCCGACCCACACAAAGGCCGCGCCCAGCCCTGGCTCCCACCCAGTGCAGCGCACAACCCGCGACCCCACACAACCCGCCACCCCACCCCACACATCGCAACCCACAACCCGCCGCCACAGCCCCACACATCGCAACCCACAACCCGCCACAACCTGCCACCCCACACATTGCAACCCACAACCTGCCACAGCCCCACACATCGCAACCCACAACCCGCCAAAGCCCCACACATCGCAACCCACAACCCGCCACAGCCCCACACATCGCAACCCACAACCCGCCACAGCCTGCCACCCCACCCCACATCGCAACCCACAACCTGCCACAGCCCCACACATCGCAACCCACAACCCGCCACAACCTGCCACCCCACACATCGCAACCCACAACCCACCACAGCCCCACACATCGCAACCCACAACCCGCCACAACCTGCCACCCCACCCCACACATCGCAACCCACAACCTGCCACAGCCCCACACAACCCACAGGTCACATTGAACCCGCAACCCGCCACCCCACCCCACACATCGCAACCCACAACCTGCCACCCCACCCCACACATCGCAACCCACAACCTGCCACCCCACCCCACACATCGCAACCCACAACCTGCCACAGCCCCACACAACCCACAGGTCACATCGCAACCCACCACCCGACCCCACACATCGCAACCCACAACCCGCCACAGCCCCACACATCGCAACCCACAACCCGCCACCCCACCCCACCCAACCCACAACCCACCACAGCCCCACACAACCCACAGGTCACATCGCAACCCACAACCTGCCACCCCACCCCACACAACCCACAACCCGCCAACCCACCCCACACAACCCGCAACCCGCCACAGCCCCACACAACCCGCAACCCACAACCTGCCACCCCACCCCACACAATCCACAGGTCACCACACACAACCCGCCACACCCAGCCCACAGGCCAGACACAACACGCCCCCCATCGACACGGAACATACTTCACAAATCACAACGTGCAACACCTGCCACACCCAACGTGCAAGACCCACAACCCCCATCACACCCTCCCGCAGCCCCCCAGCCGGGACCCGCCACGCCCAGCCCCTCCCCCCACAGCCGGCCCCCCAGGGCCCCTCGCCCCCCCACAGAGCAGCCCCCAACCTGACATCCCCCCATCCCCCTTTTCGAAGACAAACCAGCCCCCCCAGCCCTGCGCCCCTCCCCCAGCCCAGCCCCCCCGCAGGTGCCCCCTCCCGGCTCGCAGCAGGCGCCGGCGCCGGCCCCCGCCCCGGGCCGGGGGGGCAGGGGAAGCCGAGCGGACCGAGCCCCCCCAGCCCCTACCTGCACCCGAGCCGCTCCGCTCCCCACTGCGGCTGCAGAGAGTGTGACATAATCCGGAGTCAGACCCCACCCCCCGAGCCCGGCCCCTCCCCGGGCGGGGAGCGGGGCTGGGAGCCAAGACTCCTGGGTTCTCGCCCCAGCTCTGGGAGGGGGATCCCCTCAGTGTGACCCCACCCCCGTCTCGGCTGGGTAAATTCCATGGGGGCGCAGAGAAGTTGGACTGGGAAAGGGGTGACGCCCTGCTACCAGAGCTAGGGGGTAGGGGGCTGCGGGTCGGGAGTGAGGGGCACCAGGGAGACTGGGGGGGGGGGGGGGGCAGGGGGCTGCGGGTCGGGAGTGAGGGGCACCAGGGAGACTGGGGGGGGCAGGGGGCTGCGGGTCGGGAGTGAGGAGCACCAGGGAGACTGGGGGGGGCAGGAGGCTGCGGGTCGGGAGTGAGGGGCACGGGAGGGGGGCAGGGAAGTGAGGGGCCCGGGGGGGGGCTGCAGGTTGGGAGTGAGGGGCACTGGGGAGGCTGGGGGCGGGCTGTGGGTCGGGAGTGAGGGGCGCTGGGGAGGTGGGGGGCTGCAGGTTGGGAGTGAGGGGCACCAGGGAGACTGGGGGCTGCGGGTCGGGAGTGAGGGGCGCTGGGGAGGTGGGGGGCTGTGGGTCGGGACTGAGGGGGGCTGTGGGGGCAGCGGGCTGTGGGTCGGGACTGAGGGGCACTAGGGAGACTGGGGGCTGTGGGTCGGGAATGAGGGGGGCTGGGGGGGCAGAGGCCTGCGGGTCGGGAGTGAGGGGCACCGGCAGAGCTGGCGGGGGGGCTGGATTTCCTGGTACTTGCTGCTGGGGAGGGGCAGTTTCTGGGAACACAGAGGGGACTGTCCAACTCCCAGGGGATGCTGGGAAATTAGATCCCCCGCCCCACCCACCAACTCCCCTCCTCGAGCTGGGGAGAGAACCCAGGAGTCCGGGCGGCTGGGGGTGCAGGGAGGGGGTTTGGGGGCATCGCCCTGGATTCTTGTCGCCAGAGAGTCGGGACTGGGGGAGCCCCGCTGCCCCCCAGGGGTGACAGGCTGGGGCTTGGGAACTACCCATGGGATGCTCTGGGGCAGGGAGGGGGAGTCGGGTCTGGGGCGGGGACACCCAGCAATACCCGCCCCAGTGCAAAGGGGGGGGCTGGGCTATGGACTCCCAAGGGGGGCTTGGGTGAGACCCTGATGATCATCAGGACAGACAGTGAGACAGCCCCCCCCCGCCGGTGCCCCTGACTCCTGACCCACAGCCCCTGCTAGATCAGCCCTGGCCCCCCCCAGCCCTGCTGGTGCCCCTCACTCCCGACCCGCAGCCCCTGCTAGCCTGGCCTGGCCCCCCCCAACCCCGCCTGTGCCCCTCACTCCCAACCCGCAGCCCCTGCCTGCCCAGCCCTGCCCCCCCAGCCCTGCCGGTGCCCCTCACTCCCGACCTGTTGGCAGGGGGTGCTCTCCCTGGCAGTCAGGGTCAGGCCCTGGGGCACGTGCTGGGGGGCTCAGTGGAGTTCTCCAGGGGGGCTCTGTGCTGGATGCAGCCAATCTCAGAGAACCCCTCCCTGAGGTTTGTCCCGCCCTTCCCCCACAGCTGACAGAGCAGGCCAGGGCCCGCCTCTTCAGTCGGACTCCTGGGTTCTTGCCCTGGCTCTGGGGGGAGGGGGTCTAGTAGGGCCGAGTCAGGGGGTGGCCAGTGAATGCAGCGTCCCCCGCTGCCTGCTCCCAGCCTTGTTCCTGGCCCCACCAGCCAGAGGGATGCTAGAGGTGCGGGGGGCAGGGGCTGGGCCGTGGTGTGAGAGCCCCCCCGCCCCCCATCTCACACCCTGCAGAGAAGGGGGCAGCTGGGCTGGTGGAATGGGGATTTTTCATATGATATTGGATGATTTCTGTGCATGCCTCAGTTTCCCCCATCTGGTTAACTGGAGGGGAGGGGGGTGTTTGCTTTGCAGAGACCCAGGTGTGGCTGAGGTCTGGCCCGTGTGTGAAGTGGGAGCAGCTGGAAGGCGAAGCTGGGGTCAGGGTCTTTGGGAAACCCTCCTGCATTCACACTGCCAGTGGAGTCACTCTGGATCAAGGAAGTTGGGGGGCAGGGTTCCCCCATGGATCCAGTTCAGGGGGGCTGCAGGCTCCAAGGTGGGTCTGGGAGGGTAGGGAAGCCAGTGGCTGCCCCCAGGGACAATGTGACCCCCAGGGGCTGTTCCTGAGCAGGGCAATAGCCCTGGCTCTGCGATCTGTGACAGCCGGGGGGGCCACGACCCCCCATAAGAGCGGCCAGGCTGGGTCAGCCCAAAGGCCCATCTAGGCCGGTGTCCCGTCGGCCGACAGCGGCCAATGCCAGGCGCCCAGAGGGAGTGAGCCGAATAGGGAGTCAGCAAGTGACCATCCCCTGCGCCCAGTGCCAGCTCCTGGCACACAGAGGCTCGGGGGACCTGGGTAATAGCCATGGCTGGGCCCATGCGCCGGGAAGTGATCGAGTGCTTTTCTGTACCCTGCTATAGTCTTGGCCTTCACAACATCCTCTGGCAAGGAGTTCCACAGGTCGACTGTGTGCTGTGTGAGGAAATACGTCCTTTGTTCGTGTTAAACCTGCGGCCGGCTCATGTCCTTTGGTGACCCTAGTTTGTGTTATTAGCAGTGGACAACACGTCCTTATTCACCACCTCCAGGGGCCATTTGTAGATCCCCATCGTATCCCCCCCGAGCTGCCTCATTTCCAAACGGACAAGTCCCCGGCCGGCAGCCGCTCCAGACCCTGCATCAGTTCTGCTGCCCTGCTCGGAACCGTCTCCACTTCCAACCGATCTTTTCGGAGCCGGGGCGACCCCGTCGGCCTGCAGCCTTCGAGGCAACGTGGCTTCTCCTCTCCCACGGCGGCCCAGCCGCTCTCGGAGGGGCTGTTTGCGGAACGCGCCGCAGCGGCCCCACGATCTCTCGGCAGCGGGAACAGCGAATCCAGACCCATCGGCGTGCAGGGCTCGCTGGGAGGACGGTTCCCCGTGCGTTACTTTGCAGTTACCGCGTTGAATTTCATCTGCCACTTTGCTGCCGTCACCCAGCTTCGAGGGTCCCTCGGCAGCTCTGCGCAGGCTGCCTGGGAGGTAACTGTCTGGAGGAGTTCTGTACGGTGACAGCGTGGGAATGGTCTTCGTGCTTTTTCTAAATACTGGGTGGGTGCCTCAGTTTCCCCTATTCATTTCTCAAGTATCCAGGTGGGGGATCAGGGGGGTGATGGTCGCAGAGCCCTGGGGGGCAGCATGATGGGGTCTGCACAGAGAAGGGCCGACACCCCGTCCCCTGCAAGGTGCCGACTGAAGGGGCTGGGGAACAAAGAGACCAGGTGGCTGGCTCCTGGCCCGGGAAAGGGACAAAGGCCGGAGGAGGGAGGGAGAGTTTCAGTTTGGGGCTGGCTGGGGAAACGGCGGGGGGGCCAGAACTGGGGTCTGGCCTCCCTGCCCCCCAGGGTGGACTCGGCTGAGGGGTCCTGGTCTCTGCACTTACAAGCTCTGTGCTAGACCCTGTTCCTGTCGTCTAATAAACCTGTTTCCCCAGCAGGCTGAGAGTCCCGTCTGACTGCGGAGTTGGGGGGCAGGGCCCTCTGGCCCCCCCAGGACCCCACCTGGGGGGACGCGCTGCGGGAAGTGCCTGGTGGGGCAGGGGAGGCTGGAGGCTCCGGGGCCGGACCCAGGACGGTGGAAGCTGGGGCAGCGTCTTGCCCCGGGGACAGTCAGCGCCGAGAGGGGAGGGTCCCCAGAGTCCTGCCCGGCTTTGGGGGGAGCAGGTCCGAGCATGGCCCGGGGACCCCGCGACATCTCCTCTGCAAATTTTGCCACCTCACCGGTTACCCCCTTTCCCAGGGCATTTATGCACGTCCACAGCACTGGGCCCAGGGCAGACCCCTGGGGGACCCACGATTTACCGCTCTCCAGGCGAAAGGCTGAGCTGCCCGTTGTCTCCTGTCCAGTTACCGTCCCTCTTACCCCACCCTTGGCTGCCCCCGCGGCCCCTCGTCCATGCGCTTGTCGGCCCCTCAGCGGAGTCCAGCCGATGGGGGAGGCCCAATTTCCTGTTACGAAAACCCGGGGGGCTCCTCCCCAACAAACTCCGCTCATCCCGCTGGCTGACAGTTCTGGGCTTTGCGAGTTTCCCCCAGTTGCCCGGTCCTGGAGTCAGGCCACCGGCCTGGGATTGCCGGGGTCACCTCGGGAGCCCTTTGGAGCGATTGTGGGGTCACATTCGCTCCCCTCCCGTCAGCGGGACAGAAGCGGATTTAAAGGGCAGGTTACAAACCCCGGTTGTTAGTTCTGCAACTTCACCTTTGAGTCCTTCCCAACTCTTGGGTGGATCCCCCCCGGTCCCGGGGACTTACCGCCGTTTAGTTTATCCATTTGTTCTCGTGACACCTCAGTCTGGGGCAGTTCCTCAGACCTGTCGCCGAACGAGACCGGCTCAGGTCTGGGAATCTCCCGCCCGTCAGCCGTGAAGACCCATGCAAAGAATTCACTGAGTTTCTCCGCAAAGGCCTTGTCGTCCTTGACTGCTCCCTCAGCACAGCCAGCGCCCAGGGGCCCCACGGGTTGGTTAGCAGCTTCCTGCTTCGGCGGGACGGAGCCTGTTTTGCTGGGAGTGTCCGGGTCCCCGGCTCGCTGCTCTCACGTTCCTTCGGCCTCCCCACGGTATTTTCACGCTTCACTCGCCAGAGGTCGGGCTCCTCCCGCCTCCCCGCGAGGATTTCTCGGGTTCAAGGACGCCCTCTGGCCTCGCATGGCTCCTTTCGCTTTGCTGGTTCACCTCGCTGGCGTTTCGCGTTTCTCGCTGGACCCTCTCGTGCCCGTTTCGCCCGCCTCCCCAGGGCCGTGTCGCCCCTCGGCTGGGGTGTTAATTTCCTTACAGGATGGTCACGGTCACCGGGCGTCCAGCTACATTCGCCCCCGCGCTAACCCGAGAGCGGCCCCCCCCGTGCCGTGTGCCCCGTGGTGCTGGGACACGGTTAACGGTGGAGGTGCTGAAAGCCACCCCCACCCAGAGCTGGGGCCGTGTCTCTGGGAGGGGGCCGGCTGTGGAGCCCCGCGCCGCAGTACCCCCAGTTCCCGCGCCCCAGAAGCAGAGCGAGCCGAGCGGGTTGGGACAGTGTTTATTGGGGGCCAGCAGGGGACTCAGCGGGGCAGCAGGCGGCCCCACGGGGGGACCCCGGCTCCCCCTCAGGCCTGGATGGTCCCCTTGGCGCTCAGGGCCAGGTAGTAGACGAGGAGCCCGATGGCGGCAGCCAGCACCTCCGTGGAGACCCAGGGTCCACTCCAGGCGCCCTGCAGGAGACGGGGGGGTCAGCCGCCTCCTGAGCCCACCCCACGGCTGCCCCCCAGCCACACCCAGCGCAGGTGACACAGCCCAGCCCCTCATCCCCGGGGGGATCCACCCCTGCACCTAAAGGACCCAGCCCTGCCCCCAGGGGGATCCAGGCACCCCACCTGTGCGGGACGCAGCCCAGACCCCCATCCCCTGGTTGAGCCTGCCCCCCCCATGCCCTGGGTGAGCCCGCCCCCGTACTCCGGGGGATACAGCCCCGTCCCCCCCTCCCGAGTGAGCCTCGCCCCCCCACCATGGGGGATACAGCCACAGCCCTACCCCTGACCCCAGGGGACACTGCCCCGCCCCCCATCACAGGGACAGCCCCCTCTCACCCGGTGATCCACGCTGACTGTGAACAGGGCTCGGATCGCCGATATGTCCTCGTTGTTGCGCTGGGCCTGGGGGGGAGGAGGAAATGGGGTGTCAGTCAGGGGGGCCCCTGCAGATGACCCCCCCAGGCAGCAGAACTTGACCACAGCCGCTGGGGCAGGGCTAACGGCCCCCAAACCCTCTCCCATTCCTGCCCCCCATCTCCCCCCGTCCCGCAGACCCCCTGGAGCCAGGCCCCTCACCTTGCGCAGGGCGCTGTACGACTCCTCGTCGAAGAACTTCACTTCATAGGTGCCCGACCGGGCATTCCTGTGCTCCATGCTCCATGAGACCTGGGGGGGAAACCTGTCAGTGCACCCCCAGACCCACACTCACTGAACTCCCAGAGCCAGGGAGAGAACCCAGGAGTCCTGGCTCCCAGCCCCCCAGCCTGCCCCCCTGCTGGGCCCTGACGTTACCTGGTAGCGCCCCACGTCCTGCCCCCGGGTGACGGGGAACTGTTTGCCATTGACGTCAGCGTACAGGGCGACATTCTGCGGAGGAGAGACAGAGCCTAGCACCGTGGAGTCCAGGGGTGGGAGCTGGCCCGGGCCACAGCACCACCTCCCCCCTTCCCCGCTCTGCCCCCCCCACGCTCCAGCCCCCCACGGCCCCCCCCCAGTGAAGATGCTGAATGGCCTTCACCAGACCCTGTGAGGTCAGCTCCCAAGGGACCAGCCCCCACCCCCAACCAGCCTCCCCCTCCAGCTAGCCCTGGGCCAAGAGCCTCCCAACCCCCCAATCTCCCTACCCCGGCCAGGAGCGAACCCAGGTATCTGGGCTCCCAGCCCCACCCCAGAGCCCTGGCCCAGCGAGAACCCAGGCGTCCGGGCTCACCCCGTACCTGCGCCCCGTTGCGGCAGGTGAGCGCGATCTCCACCACGAAGACGCTCTCGGAGGAGATGACGGCGTCGGCCGTGGTGTAATAGGATGGGACAATGGTGGGCTCCGGGCACGTCTCACCTGTGGGTGGGGGGAGTGGTGAGAGTCGGCCCCGCCCCTCAGACTGTGGCCCCACCCCCTCAGACCCTGGCCCCGCCTCCAGACTGCCTAGATCCCCACCCCTCTCTGGCCCTACCCCACTGCCCCGCCCCCCCAGAACCTAGCCCCGCCTCCTCAAACCTCCTAGATGCCCACCCCTCTCTGGCCCCGCCCCATAGCCAGAGTCTGGTCCCCTCAGACCCTGGCCCCGCCCCCACAGCGCAGCCCTGCTCCCTCAGACCCTAGCCCCGCCCCCAGAGCTTCTAGATACCCGCCCCTCTCTGGACCTACCCCACAGCCCCACCCCCCCAGCCCCCAGTCCAGCCCCCCAGATCACTGCCCCTCTGGCCCCGCCCCCTCAGACCCTAGCCCTGCCCCTAGATCTCCTAGATCCCCGCCCCTCTCTAGCCCTACCCCACAGCCCAGCCCCCGCAGACCCCAGTCCAGGCCCCCAGATCCCCGCCCCCCTCTGGCCCCGCTCCATAGCCCGAGACCAGCCCCCTGAGACCTGGCCCCGCCTCCTCAGACCTCCTAGATCCCTGCCCCCTCTGGACCTACCCCACAGCCCTGCCCCCCCAGACCCCAGTCCAGCCCCCCAGATCCCCACCCCTCTCTGGCCCCGCTCCATAGCCCGAGTCCAGCCCCCTGAGACCTGGCCCCGCCTCCTCAGACCTCCTAGATCCCTGCCCCCTCTGGACCTACCCCACAGCCCTGCCCCCCCAGCCCCCAGTCCAGCCCCCCAGATCCCCGCCCCTCTGGCCCCGCCCCCTCAGACCCTAGCCCTGCCCCTAGATCTCCTAGATCCCCGCCCCTCTCTAGCCCTACCCCACAGCCCAGCCCCCCCAGACCCCAGTCCAGCCCCGCAGATCCCTGCCCCTCCCTGTCCCTGTCCCATAGCCGGAGTCCAGCCCCCTGAGACCTGGCCCCGCCCCCCACAGACCAGCCCCGCCCCCCCGACCTCCTAGAGCCCCGCCCCCCGACCTCCTAGAGCCCCGCCCCTCTCTGGCCCCGCCCCATAGCCCGAGTCCGGCCCCCTCAGACCCAGAGCATACCCCACAGCCCAGCCCCCCCCAGACCCTGGCCCAGCCTCCTCAGATCTGCTAGAGCCCCGCCCCTCTCTGGCCCCGCCCCCAGAGCCCCGCCCCTCTCTGGCCCCGCCCCCAGACCGCCTAGAGCTCCGCCCCCCCGCGCTCGGGGCCCCGCGGGGGTCTCAGGGCCGGGTCCCGAGTGGGCCCGGCAGGGGGCGGGGCCCGGTACCTGTGGCCCCGCCCAGCGCCGCAGCCGCCGCCAGGAGCACCGCGATCCCCGCCAGCGCCATCGCCGCCCGTGGCCGAAGACTTGGGACCGCCGCCGCGGAGCGTGTCGGGAAGGCGCCTGCCGCCGCCAGCCAATCAGCAGCACCCCCGACCGGCCACGTGACCCAGCGTGGACGTGGCTTTCGCCCTCCCGCGGAAAGGAAATGGCCGCCGGGATTTATCTGGCGCGGGGCGGAGCGACAAGCGGCGCGGGGGACCACGGCTCTGCGCCGAGCAAGCGCCCGCGAGATTTCCCCTGGAATTCGAGGAATAAAATGGCCGCCGTGACTTATTTTGGCCACCCGCGAGTGAGAAAAGGCGCGGCCTCATCAGCGCGCACGCGCGCTACGTCTCCTCGCGCATCCTCCCTAGCAATCACAGAGACATCCAGGGACAAAATGGCCGCCGAGACTTATTGGCCCCCAAGCAGCGAGAAACAAGCCACAGGGCCGTCAATGCGCATGCGTCTCTCAGGACGTCTCTGGAGAGCCCCCAACCTGATGCTACAAAATGGCCGCCGGGATGTATATGGCGCTGACGATTCGCAGAAAATAGGCGTGGCATTGAGTTTTCCCGAGAGAGATCTCGCGAGATTTCCGAGCCGGAGCTCTCGCGGGACTTAGCTGACGAGGTCTCGCAGGAGCGGGCGCGCGCTGGTCTTGTGTGTCGCGCGCGGCTTTGCAATGGCGGCGGCTCTGGTGGCGACGAGGCAGCTGTGGAGAGCCGCCCTGCTGGGCCCCCGCCCGGTGAGGAGGGCTGCACGGCGGGGGGGGATAAGGCGGGAGGACCAGCCGGCGCGCGGCCCGGCTCCACCCGCGGGGGCGGCTCCTGATTGGACGAAGGGGAGTGGAATGGGCGGGGCAGGATGGCGCAGCGGCCTCTTCATTGGACAGGACCCCCGTAGAGGCCGGGACCAATCAGGAGTCGACGCTGCAGTTGGAGAGGGGCGGTCCGACCAGCTTTGAGTTGATTGGGGGAGGAAGGAAATGGGCGGGGCGAGCGTCAGAGGCTTAGTTCTGATTGGAACAGGCCTAGGAGATGGGTGGGGCTTGGCCGACCTTAGCGGAGCTAATTAGTTGGAACGCCTGAAGGGGGCGGCAAAGAGGCGCTTCCAAAGACTTAGGGCGGGGCCAAGCCTGATAGTCTCTTTCGATTGGTCGTTTCGTCACCGTGGGCCGTTGCTGATTGGGCCGGCTTCCCCGATTGGGCGGGCCACAGCGAAGCGGCCGATTCTGATTGGCTGCGGCTATCCTCAGCCTCGGGGTGGAGGGGGGATGGAAGGGGTGACCTTGCCCAGCCCCGTAGAGGGCGCTAGAGAGACTCCAGCCCCTGGGTCCAGTTCCCAGCATCCCCTGGGGCAAGCAAGAGTGAACCCCCCCTCCCACCGAGCCAGGGAGAGAACCCAGGCGCCCGGGCTCCCGGCCCCCCCCCCCCCCGAGCCGGCGAGAGAACCCAGGCGTCCTGGTCCCCCCTCGCTCTAACCTGCCCCCCGTTGTTCTCCCCCAGGTGCCGGGTGCCGAGTGCAGGACCCTGACGTCAGTGAGTGCCCCCCCCCCGCCCCGGCTCTGGCCACGGGCCGGGGGGGAGGGGCGGCTGCAGGGCTGGAAAATCCCCCGTGCGGGGACCCGACCCCCCCATCGCACGCGAGCCAGCAGAATCCCCCCTATGCGGAGGGACAGCGGCCGGCCGGCCTGGGGAACTCCCTGCCACAGGACCCCGCAGCGCCGACAGCCAGGAGAGGGTGGACAGGATGGGTGGGGGGCTGGCTGGGAATGGGGTGGCTAGAAGATGGGGGGCTGGCTGGGGGATGGGTCAAGGATTGGGGGGAGCAGGGAGAACAAAGGCTCAGGGTACCATGGCCTATGGGCGTAGCTTCAGAACCTCTACCCCGAAGGAAGGGGGGGTCCTTCAGGTAGGCCTCCCGCCCCCCCAGACCTGTCGTCCTTCTCACTGAGCTGAACTAACCCCTTTCTCTCTTCTGCCCCCCTCCGTGCATCCTGCGACCCACAGCACACCCCCATCGTGAGTACTGCTCCCAGACTGCGGGGGCCAAAATGGACCCAGAGGGAGGGAAGGCAGGGGACTGGGAGCCCGGACTCCTGAATTCTCTCCTCAGCTCTGGGAGGAGAGTGGGGGTGGGAGCCAGGACTCCTGGGTTCTCTCCTAGCTCTAGGGGGGATTGGTGTCTGGTGGTTTGGGCAGGGGGGCCTGGGACCCCGGACTGCTGGGTTCTCTCCGAGCTCTGGGGGGCATTGGTGTCTGGAGGTTTGGGCAGGGGGGCTTGGGACCCCGGACTCCTGGGTACTCTCTCACTGCCTCTCTTCCCACAGCCTCCTCCCGCGAAGTACGGGGGGCGTCACACCGTGACCATGATCCCGGGAGACGGCATCGGACCGGAGCTGATGTTGCACGTGAAGGAGGTGTTCAGGTATGGGGGCAGGGGATCGGGGCAACTGCCCCCTGCTGGAGACACTTGGGCCTCGGTGCCGCCCTGTGCTGACCCAGAGAGCGTGGGAACCCAGGAGTCCTGGCTCCCAGCCCCCACTCCCCTCCCAGAGAACCCAGGCATCCTGTCTCTCTCCCCTCCCCCAGGCAGGCCTGTGTCCCGGTGGACTTCGAGGAGGTCCGGGTGAGCTCGGACGCGGTGGAGGACGACATTCAGAATGCGATCATGGCCATCCGGCGAAATCGCGTCGCCCTGAAGGGTCAGTCCCAGTGCCGGGCAGAGTCCCCCATAATTGGCTCCAGCCTCTTCCCCCGCTCCCCTAGGGGTCCCCGGGCCATGCTCTGGACCTGCTCCCTACGAAGCCAGGCAGGACTCTTCCCACAGCCAGTCCGCCCAGGCAGGGTCCTGGGGGGTGTGGGGGCAGAGGGTCCTGCCCCCCAACTCCGCAGTCAGACGGGACTCTCAGCCAGCTGAGGAAACAGAAGGTTTATTAGACGACAGAAACAGGGTCTAACACAGAGCTTGTAGGTGCAGAGACCAGGACCCCACAGCCGGGTTCGTCTTGGGGGGCAGGGAGGCCAGAGCCCCATCAGGGCCTCCCCCCATTTCCCCAGCCAGCCCCAAACTGAAACTCTCCCTCCCTCCTCCAGCCTTTGTCCCTTTCCCAGGCCAGGAGCTACCTGGTCTCTTTGTTCCCCAAAGTCGGCACCTTGCAGGGGACGGGGTGTCGGCCATTCTCTGAGAAGACCCCATCACGCTGCCCCCCAGGGCTCTGCGACCTGGATACTTGAGAAATGCCGAGGGAAACTGAGACACCCACCCAGTATTCAGAGAAAACATTAAGAACATTCCCACTTTGTCACAGCTCCTACCCCCCGCCCAAGGGGTCCCTGGGTGACCAGCCCCCTGCCCCACACTGCGGGGCTGCGTCCCTGCCCGGGTCCCCGTCTGGTCTGGGTTCCTGCATTTGGGGATTAACCAGTTTCTGGTCGACAGGAAACATTGAGACCAACCACAACCTGCCGCCGTCCTACAAATCCCGAAACAACGTCCTGCGGTGAGCGGGGGCTATGTGCCTGGGGGGGGGACGGGGCTGGGCTGGGGGCTGCGGGTCAGGAGTGAGGGGCGCCGGGAGCCCTGGGGGGCTGTGGGTCGGGAGCGAGGGGCGCCGGGGGGGCTGGGGGTCAGGAGTGAGGGGTGCTGGTTGTCCTGGGGGGGCTCTGACCCCCTCCCGCCCCCAGCACCAGCCTGGATCTCTACGCCAATGTGATCCACTGCCAGAGCCTCCCGCGGGTGCTGACGCGGCACCGGGACATCGACATCCTCATCGTCCGCGAGAACACAGAGGGCGAGTACAGCAGCCTGGAGCACGAGGTGCTGCCCTGGGGCCCCGCCCACGCCCAGGGAGCCCCACCCAGCCTCTGGGAGCCCCGCCCACTCCCAGGGAGCCCCGCCCTCTGGGGTCGCTGCCCATCCCTGCGGAACCCAGCCTCTGTGGTCCCCACCCCTGGGAGCCCCCTCCACCCCCCGGGATCTGTGCCCACCTGGGTGCCTTGGCTCCACCTTGGGTCCCACCCAACCATCCCAGGAGTCCATCCCCTTTTGGGAGGGGAGGGCCAAGGCCCCCCGCCCGGGACAAGGGGAACCCTGGCGTCCTGACCCCCTCCCCCCGCAGAGCGTCTCCGGCGTGGTGGAGAGCCTGAAGATCATCACCAGGGCGCGGTCGCTGCGCATCGCCGACTACGCCTTCCGGCTGGCCCGCGAGACGGGGCGCGCCAAGGTCACCGCCGTGCACAAGGCCAACATCATGTGGGTGCCGGGCCCCGGGGGGGCGGGCAGAGCGGGCTGCTGGGGGGGGCCCGCAGGGGGTCACTCACCCCCTGCCCCCCCCCGCAGGAAGCTGGGCGACGGGCTCTTCCTGCAGTGCTGCCGGGAGGTGGCGGGCGGCTACCCGGAGATCTCCTTCGACAGCATGATCGTGGACAACACCACCATGCAGGTGAGAACCCCGGCGTCCGGGGCCCGCCCCCAGCCCAGGAGAGAACCCAGGCATCCTGACCCCCCTGCTCTCCCCCCAGCTGGTGTCCCGCCCCCAGCAGTTTGACGTCATGGTGATGCCCAATCTCTACGGGAACATCGTGAACAACGTGTGTGCGGGGCTGGTCGGGGGCCCGGGGCTCGTGCCCGGTGCCAACTATGGGAGAGACTTCGCCGTCTTCGAGACCGTGAGCGGGGGGGCTGTGGGGCGGGAATGAGGGGTGCAGGGGGGCTGCGGGGAGCCAGGGGCTGTGGGGCGGGAATGAGGGGAGCAGGCCGGGTGCAGGGCTGGAGTGAGGGATGCTGTGGGGGCAGACACTGGCAGGGGTGCGCGGTTCAAGGGGGGCCGGGGGGGCAGGATCAGGATCTCACCGCCCCCCCCCCCAGGCCACACGGAACACGGGGAAGAGCATCGCCCACAAGAACATCGCCAACCCCACGGCCACCCTGCTGGCCGCCTGCATGATGCTGGATCATCTCCGGTGAGCACCCCCCCCCATCCCCTGCACCCCCTGACCCCCAGCCCCATCTATCCTCCTCCCTCCCCTGGGGGCAGTGCCTGCTGGGGGGCGGGGCCTGTGCTGCTCTGACTCCGCCCCTCTTTGCTCCTCGCCTCGCAGGCTGCACGACTTCGCCACCACCATCCGCCAGGCAGTGCTGGCCTCCCTGGACGACCAGGCGGTAAGCCCTGCCCCTTCCTCTGGCCGGCAAGGGAGGAAGTCCTGCCCTCTAGGGGGGAGCAGGGGCGGGACTTCCTGCACCTCCTTCCGACCTCCCCTAGTATTGGCCGCGGCAGGCGGCCAGGTGGGGAAGTCCCGCCTCTTCCCTCAGCACTAGCCAATCGCAAGCTACTGGGACAGGAAGTCCCGCCTCTTCTGGGGGAAGGCTGTTCTGTGAGGGGTAATTGCCCCAGTGGGACAAGTGGGTCGTGGCTCTGCCCCCTGGAGAGGCGGCCCAACGGGAACAGGGGGCAGAGCAGGGTGGAGGGGGTGGGATCCAGTTCACGGCCACGGCCCTGCTCTAACCCGCCCCTCCCCGCAGACCCACACGCCGGACATCGGGGGCCAGGGCACCACGTCGGGGGCTGTCCAGTCCATCCTGCACCACGTCCGCACGGCGACCGGCTGGAGCCAGAGCAGCTAGGCCACGGGGAGCCGGACGCCTGGGTCCCTCCCCGCCTGGAGCGGGCGGTGAGGCGGGGAAAGCTGGGGGCACGCGTGTCGGGGGCGGGGCGGATGCCTGGGTTCTCTCTCTGACCCCCCTCTCTCCCGCAGGGGAGGACCCCACTCTCAGGCAAGCTGAAGGGGCCGCGCAGGCCAGTGCCCCCCAGCTGGGCAATCCATGGGGCGCTGCCCCCCGGGGCGGGCCCGTAGCCCCCCGTCCATGTCGCTGCTGCTGCTGTGTGTGTCTGTCGCCGTGGGGCCAGGGCCCCCCACGGGGAATAAATGTCCGTGCAATGTCGGCTGGCTCCGCCTCCTGCCTAGACACCTGGGTTCCCACCCCCCATGGCGGGGGCGGGCGGGGGCGCACTGAGACCCCGGACGCCTGGGTCCCTCCTGCCCCCCAAACAGGATCACGCTGACAGGAGAGTTTTGTCAAACCATTTAATCAAACGTCACACGCTGGGGGGTGGGTTCCCCCCACGGTGCCCCCAGCTGGGCTCAGCCCCCCTCCCCCACACAGGGGGGCCCAGAGCTGCCCTAGCCCCATGGGGCCAGTGTTCCCCAAGCTCCCAGCCCCACATGGGCCGTGACCCCAAACACCAACAACTGGCCCCCCTCTGCCGGGACAGGCCAGCCTGGCCGCCAGGGTCCTTGACGCGCAGGGGAGCGGCCGGACGCCGGGGTCCCCAGGGGCGCGGCCAGGGGCGCTGCAGGCACTGGGCGGCCGGACGCCGGGGTCCCCAGGGGGCGCGGCCAGGGCGCTGCAGGCACTCGGGCGGCCGGGCGCTCGGGCCCCAGGGCGCGGCCGGACGCCGGGGTCCCCAGGGGCGCGGCCGGACGCCGGGGTCCCCAGGGGCGCGGCCAGGGGCGCTGCAGGCACTGGGCGGCCGGACGCCGGGGTCCCCAGGGGCGCGGCCGGACGCCGGGGTCCCCAGGGGCTCGGCCAGGGGCGCTGCAGGCACTGGGCGGCCGGACGCCGGGGTCCCCAGGGGCTCCCAGGGCGCTGCAGGCACTGGGCGGCCGGACGCCGGGGTCCGCAGGGGCGCGGCCGGACGCCGGGGTCCCTAGGGGCTCGGCCAGGGGCCCTGCAGGCACTGGGCGGCCGTGGGGCGCCGCTCGGGCAGGAAGTCCAGCATGGGCAGCAGGAAGCGGGTGAACGCGGCCGCCTGCTCCCGGGGCCACTCGTATTTCTCCAGCAGCACCGCGCCCAGCGCCCAGGGCCTCAGGCTGGGGATGTGCCGCAGGTCGCCTGGGGGGCGGGGGGGCGTCAGTGCTGGGGTACACGGCCCCCCCCGGCCTCCCCGAGCCCTGACGCCCCTGAGCCCCCCCAGCCCTGGCCTCCCCCGATCCCCAGCCCCACCTGAGCCCCCCGGCCCTGGGATGGAGCAGGGAGGGGGCAGATTGACCTGGGGGTGTTGCTGGGACTGTCTGCACTGGGGGGGGGGGGAGAATCGGGGTGACCTGGGCCCAAGTGTCACCTTCTGCCCCGGACACGGGACACAGGCTGGAGGAGGAGCCAGGGGGAGGCTGGGGGCGGGGCTGGAGGGGGTTTTGTCTGTTGGGGGCTGGCTGGGGAGATGGGGGGAGAGGGACCCGATGGAGGGGTCCTGCTTCTTAGACCCACAAGCTCTGTTGGGGCCTGTGTTCCTGGCTGGCTGAGCATCCCGGGGGATCGCAGGAAGTGGGGGTGCAGGGCCCTGACTCCCCCACTCTCCGTGACAAACCCAGACCCCTGGACCTCCGACCCCCCCGCCCAGCGGGGCCCCCTGACCCTCCAGCCCCCCCAGCTAATGCCCTGGCCCATCCCCCCTCCCAGCCTCCCCCACCGCCCCCTAGCCCCGCCCCTCACCTCGGCGGGTGAAGTATTCCCGCGAGTAGCGCCCCGACAGCGCAAAGTGGGGAGGGATCTCACCAAGCAGCTCCACCATGTGGGCGATGTGATCTGGGGGGGTAAACGGGCGGGGGGAGTCAGTGCGGTCCCATCGCCCCTGCCCCCCACATCACATCCCCACGCCCATCTCCCCCCCAGGGCAGAGCCCCCAGTCCTCTTCCCCCCCCAGTCACAGCTCCCTCCCCCTGCTGTCCCCCCCGGGCAGACCCCAGGCCCATCTACCCCGGTGTCTGGGCGCGACCAACCTTCGTCCCTGCTGTAATCGTCCCCCGAGTGGGGCTCGAAGAGGTAGTCGCCGGTCGCCAGCTCGAAGGCCTGTGGGGAGCAGAGGGGGGTCAGGGCCGGCCGGGGGGCTGGGGGGGGCCCGGCCGGGGGGGGCCGTACCATGCAGGCCGTGCTCCAGATGTCGGCCGGGGTGCTGTAGCTGGCGCCGATCAGAACCTCTGGGGCCCGGTACTGCCGGGTCTGAATGTCCTCGGTGAAATGCTTGTGCTGAAACGGGGGGGGGGTGAGAACAGGGCAGGGAGAGTGACCCCCAAAACCCAGCCTCCCCCGACTCCAGCCCCTCAACCGCTCCTGCCCCACAGAACCCAGCCGCCCGCCCCATAGCGCGAGCGCCCCCCAGCGCCCCCTCACCACCCAGCAGGCGTTGCCCAGATCTGCGATCTTCACTCGGATCCGGTCGGCGTTTTGGGGGTCCAGGGGGTTCACCAGGAACTCGGAGGCGCTGAATGGAGCTGGGGGGGGCGGAGGGAGAGTGAGGCCTCGTGTCCCTGGTTCAGACCCCCCCCGCCCCATGGTGCCCCCCGCCCCATCCCTGAGTGCCGGGGAGAGCCCCCCACTCACCGCTGGGCGCCAGCAGCCCCCCGCGTCCCCGCTGGCCCGAGCTGCCGGACTGGCCCGAGCCGGAGGCCGTGGAGAAGAGGGAGCTGGAGAAGCCGGACGTGGCCGAGTCGGGGCTGGGGGGCCGGCGGCGGGGGGGGGCCCCCACGTGGCCGTTCCAAGCGTCGTAGGGCGGCAGGGCCTGGAAGCCGGAGGACGAGGTCTGGCTCTGGGGGCTGCTGGCCAGGCTGCCCTGCCCGGGGAGGGGCCACTCTGCGGGGGGGAGAGCGGGGGTGGTGTGACCCCCCAGAAGAAGGGGGGGCCATTCCCCACCACCCAGCAACCGCCCAAATCCCCCTGCCCCCCAGCCCGCCCCACGAGCCCCCGACTTGCAGCTCCCCCACTAACCCCCATATTCCCCCCTGCCCAGGGGACCCCCCACATCCCTGGTGATGCCCCAGTGCCCCTCCGCCCCACCCAGCAACCCCCCAAATCTCCCTGCCCCCCAACCCCGCACAAGCCCCTGACTTCCCCCTCTCCCACTAACCCCCACTTCCGTGCCCCCAGGGCCCCCCCCCCACAGCCCTGCTGACGCTCACCCTCCTCTGTGTCGGAGTCGGTCCCAGGCAGGGGGGGGCCCTGGGGGGGGGCGCCCCCGTCTCCAGCTCCTCCAGCTGCTGCAGGTCCCGCAGCCGCTCGGCCAGCAGCCGGCCCTGGCGTCTCTGCTTCCGCTTGAGCTTCTTGCGCCGGTTCCTGGAGAGCTGCCGGGAGCCCCGGTCAGTGCCCGCGGGGCGGGGGGAGCCGGGACAGGCCGCGGGGGGGAGCGAGGCCCCGAGCGGGCGAAGGGCCGTGCCCGGCCGGCGTGGACGGCACCGAGCGTGCAAAGGGCCGTGCCCGGCCAGCATGGACGGCTCTGAGTGTGCGAAGGGCCGTGCCGGGAAGGCACCGAACGTGCGAAGGGCCGTGCCTGGCTGGCATGGATGGCTCTGAGCGTGCGAAGGGCTGTGCTGGGAGGGCGTGGAAGGAACCGAGCGTGCAAAGGGCCGTGCCGGGAAGGAACCAGGAGGACAGAGATGCCTACCCAATGGGGGAGGGAGTGCGAGCAGGTGCCCGGGTAGGCGTGCGAGGCAGTGGGCGTGCGAGGGCATCCAGCCCCCCATGCAGAACTTACCTCCATCCCCTGGGGGGGCCGAGCTCACTGGGGGGGGAACGAGGTCGAGATTCTCAGAACACAAAAGGCATCGCATGTGCAAAGCATCAACAGACAGACACGGAGAGAACCCAGGCGTCCGGGCCCCCGGCCCCCTGAGCAGTGATAGAACCCAGGCATCCAGGCCCCTGGCCCCCCCCCAAGCAGGGAGAGAACCCAGGCGTCCGGGCCCCCACCCCCGCCGAGCGGTGAGAGAACCCAGGCGTCCGGGCCCCCAGCCCCCACCCCACCCCACCCTCTCCAAGTGGTGAGAACCCAGCCCCCCGGGCCCCCACCCCCTCCAAGCGGTGAGAGAGCCCAGGCGTCCGGGCCCCCAGCCCCCCCGAGCGGTGAGCGGACCCAGCCCCCCGGGCCCTGGCCCCTCCCCCCGTGCTGGGGGGGCCCTACCGGCGGAGGCGGGGGGGGGCGGCCCCTCCAGCTGCTGCCAGCGGGTGGCCTCGGCCGCCAGGCGCCGCACGTCCCCCTCGCTCACCCAGAGCAGCACGTTCTCCGGCTTGACGTCCGTGTGGATGATCTTGCACTTGGTGTGGAGGTAATCCAGGCCCTGCAGCACCTGGGGGCGCACACGGGGCGGTGGGGACCGGGGCAGCCCGAGCCCCCCCAAACCGGCACCTGGGGGCGCACACGGGGCGGCGGGGACCGGGGCAGCCCGAGCCCCCCCGAAACCGGCACCTGGGGGCGCACACGGGGCGGCGGGGACCGGGGCAGCCCGAGCCCCCCCAAACCGGCACCTGGGGGCGCACACGGGGCGGCGGGGACCGGGGCAGCCCGAGCCCCCCCGAAACCGGCACCTGGGGGCGCACACGGGGCAGCGGGGACCGGGGCAGCCCGAGCCCCCCCAAACCGGCACCTGGGGGCGCACAAGGGGCGGCGGGGACCGGGGCAGCCCGAGCCCCCCCAAACCGGCACCTGGGGGCACACATGGGGCGGTAGGGAGGGGGCCAGCCTGCCCCGCCCCCCCAGGACCTCCCAAAAGCAGCCCGCCCCCCAATTTTGGGATAATGGGGGCATGGACAGACCGGGGAAGAGGCTGCCCAAACACAGAGCTCCCCCGTTCCCTGCACTGGGGTGTGTGTGTCAGATACGGGGCTGTATGGACCTGCGTGAACTGGGCAGAGCCTGACCCCTTGACCCACCCCAAAGGTCCAGTGGCTTCAAGTGGGGTGGGGGGGCCGGGAGCCCGGATGCCTGGGTTCTCCTGGCTCTGGGAGGGGAGTGGGGGCTGGTGGGTTAGAGCAGGGGGCGGCCGGGAGCCCGGATGCCTGGGTTCTCCCGGCTCTGGGGGGCTCTCGGCCCCCTGTACCTGGCGCAGGATGCTCTTCACGCAGGGCAGGGGCAGGCCCTGGTAGTTGGATTTAATGATCCACTTCAAGAGCTGGTGGCCCAGCACCTCCATCACCATGCAGACATCTGGGCTCGGGAGTCAAGGAAATGGGGGGCCAGGAGCCCGGACGCCTGGGTTCTCTCCTGGCTCTGGGAGGGGAGTGGGAGCTGGTGGGTTAGAGCAGGGGGTGGCCGGAAGCCCGGACGCCTGGGTTCTCTCCTGGCTCTGGGAGGGGTGAAGGGGCTGGTGACTAGAACAGGGGGCTGGGAGCCGGACGCCTGGGTTCCCCATGGAAGGATACGGACACCGTTGATGCCCGAGATCTTGAAGTCGTCGAGGAGCTGGACGATGTTCTCTCTCTTGGGGTCGCTGGGGTCAGAGTCCCGCACCTGGGGGAGGGAAGTGGTGCCCTGGGGTCACTGCGCTGAGGCAGGACATGGGGAGCCAGGCGTCCAGCCCCGCCTTGAGTCACGGCCACATTGTCGTCTTCCCCCCCGTCCCCATCGCCCTGGGATGGGAGCTGGAGGGGGGGGGGGGGGCACAGGAGGTGTTTGACGAAGTGGGAATGGCCTTCAGGTCTTCTCTGAATACTGGGTGGGTGCCTCAGTTTCCCCTAGGCCTTTCTTAAGGATCCAGGTGGGGGGATCAGGGGGGTGACGGTCACAGAGCTCTAGGGGGCCGGGGTGATGGGGTCTGCACGGAGAATGGCCGACACCCCGTCTCCTGGGCCCGGGCTGGAGAACAAAGAGATCTGGTGGCCTCCTGGCCCGGGAGACAGGGGCCGGGGGGGGGGGGGGGGGGGGGGGGGTCTCTGTTTGGGGCTGGCTGGGGAGATGGGGGGAGGCCCACCCCCAAGAGGGACCTGATTGAGGGGTCCTGCTTCCTGGACCCACAAGCTCTGTTGTGGCCTGTGTTCCTGGCTGGCTGAGCGTCCCGGGGGATCGCAGGAAGTGGGGGTGCAGGGCCCTGACTCCCCCACACTCCATGACAGGGGGTGAGCTAGGAGTCAGAGGGGGGAACGGAGGGAGGGAGGGAGGGAGGTGGGGGGGGGCAAGAGGGAGCCTGGGAAGAACCTGGGGGGGGCAGGAGAGAGGCAGCAGGATGGGGGGGGGCATGAGGGGAGCCGTGGCTCCGGGTCTCGCTGGCAGCCGGGATCCAGCAGGACGCCCCCGGGCTGGCCAGGCTCCTCGTCAACGATCTGGCGGGTGGGGTGGGCTGCACCCCCAGCCCCTCGGCAGAGGACCCCGGGCTGGGGGAGGCGGATCCGCGGCGGGGCAGGGCCCAAAGAGACCCGAGGGGGTGAAGCGGGAGCAGGGCAGGGTCCTGCGCCGAGGCCGGGGGGCTGCCCGGCGCCGCGACAGGCCGGGGCCGAGTGGCCCCGGGGCTCACGGGGGCCGAGGGGCCGGGCAGGAGTCGGCAGCGGGCCCCGGCTGCGTTGTGGGCTGCGGTAGCCGGGGCCTCGCCAGGGCCGAGGGGCGGGACCGTTCCCCGCTCTGCGGCCGGGGGGCCACATCTGAAGCCCTGCGCCCCGGTCTGGGCCCCCCAGGAGAGAGGCCAGCGGAGGGCAAGGGAAACGGCCGGGGCTGGGGCAGGGGCCTGCCGGGGGGGGCCGAGGGGGTCAGGGCGATTTCGTCTGCAGACAAGAAGAGCGAGGGGGGACTTGAGAGCAGCCAGTGCAGGGGGGTCTGTGACGAAGTGGGACAGTTCTTAATGTTTCCTCTGAACAGTGTGGGGGTGCCTCAGTTTCCCCTAGGCAGTTCTTAAGTCTCTAGGGGGTGGGTAAGGGGGTATGATCGTTGCAGAGCCCTAGAGGGCAGGTGTGTGCAGGGGTCTGGACACAGAGACTGGCCGACACCCTGTCTCCTGACCACTGATGGCCTGGGCCCTTCCCCCCCCGCCAGGTGAGAGCTAAAGGGCTGGAGAACAAAGGGATCCGGTGACCTCCTGGCCCGGGAAAGGGACAAAGCCCAGAGCAGGGGGGGGCTGGAGGGAGTTTCAGTTTGGGGCTGGCTGGGACATGGAGTGAAGGGCAGACGGGGTTGTCTGGCTCACTGCCCCCCAAAATGGACCCGGCTGAGGGGTCCTGTTCTCTGCACCTACAAGCTCTGTGTTAGACCCTGTTCCTGTCGTCTAATAAACCTTCTGTTTCCCCGGCTGGCTGAGAGTCCCGTCTGACTGCCGAGTTGGGGGGCAGGACCCTCTGGCCCCCCCAGGACCCCGCCTGGGCGGACTGGCTGTGGGAAGCGCCCGGAGGGGCAGAGGAGGCTGGAGGCTCCGGGGTCAGACCCAGGAAGGTGGAGCCGGGGGAGCTGTGTGTCCTGCAGACAGGCTGCTCCCCGAGAGGAGACTCCCCCAGAGTCCTGCCCGGCTTCGTGGGGAGCAGGTCAGAGCATCGCCCGGGGACCCCGTGACAGGGTCCCCAAGGGGACGGCACTCGGCGGGTCTCAGGGGGCAGAGGACAGACCAAGGAGCTGTGGTCTCAAGTGGCAGTGGGGGGTCCAGGTGGGATATTAGGAAACACGATTTCCCCGGGAGGGAGGGAGCTAGCGGGGGGAGGCCGGTGAGGGGGTTCCCCGGGAGGGTGGGGGGATCTCCATCCTTGCAGGGTTCAAGGGCCGGCCAGGGTGATTTAGGGGGGCTGGACTCGGACCCCCTGGGCGATCTTCTGTGAGTCTCGGGTGGTGGGGGGAGCAGGGCCGGCCGGGGCCCTGGAGGGGGAGATGTGGGGGGGGCCAGGGGGGCACTCACACATTTGAGAAGTTTGATCTCGTCCATGGCTGTCTCCGTGTAATGCCTCGCGCTTTTCACCACCTTCAGCGCCACGAACCTCTTCCGCCTGCAGGGAGGGGAGGTAAGTGCCCCACAGACCCCCCCGATCCCTAGGGCCGGGAGAGAACCCAGGAGTCCTGGCTCCCAGCCCCCCCTGCTCTAACCACCAGCCCCCACTCCCCTCCCAGAGCTGGGAGAGAACCCAGGAGTCCGGGCTCCCAGCCCCATCCCGCTCTGACCCACCAACCCCCACTCCCCTCCCAGAGCCAGACAGAAAACCCAGGAGTCCTGGCTCCCAGCCCCCCCTGCTCTGACCCACCAACCCCCACTCCCCTCCCAGAGCCGGGCAGAGAACCCAGGAGTCCGGGCTCCTCCCTCCAGCCCCCACTCACTGGATGTCCCAGCAGAGCCAGACGGTGGAGAAATGGCCCCAGCCGAGTTTTCGGACCACGTGGTGGCGCCCGTTGAACAGGTCCCCGATCGCCACCGGGTAATACCCGCCTGGGGGAATAGGGGGGTCAGCTGCTGCCAGCTGGGGGGGCCAGGGCCCTACAAAGCCCAGTGTCTCCCCCCTTTGCTGCAGACAGAACCCCCCCTGCCCTCGACACATGGTATGGACCCGAGGTACATCCCTTCTAGTGCCCCCCCACCCCTCCATGTGGTACATCCCTCCCCGTGGCACTCCCCCCGTGGCACTCTCGCACCCCTCCCCATGGTATGGCCCTCCCGTGACATCGCCTGCCCCTGTGGTACATCCCTCCCTATGGCACCCCCCCGCCCTCCCCGTGGTTCATCCCGCCCCTGGCGTCCCCTCCGCACCTTCCCATTTATCCCCATGGTCCCTGCCATCCCTACCCCCCCACTCAGTGGTACGGCCCAGACCCCCCCCACCTTTGCAATAGTCCCTGGGGTCCTCCTGCTCCTCCTCGTCAGAGCCCAGGCCTGGCAGTGGCGCCGGGGCGGTGGGGGGCTGCGTGGGGCTGGGGGGCTGGGGCGCCCTGGGGAGAGAAACGGGGGGTTAGTGACCCCCGGAGCTGGGACGTGGCCCCCCCGGGGTGCAGCGCATCCCCCCCATACCTGGGTCCGTCTGGCGGCTCCCCCATGGCGCCGGCCCCAGATGCAGCCACCTCTGGGGGGTCTAGGCCAGAGGAGGGGAGATTCGGGGGTCCCAGGGATGTGAGGGGGGGACTTGGACACAATCCCCTCCCCGGAGGCCCCAGCTGGGCTGGTCCGTGCGGGGGGGGGGGTGCAGTGCATGCTGGGATATGTGCCCCCGTCCCAGCCATGACCTCACCCCCTGGCTGGCATCGCGGGGTTAAAAATAGCCCCCGGCCAGCTGGGGCCGCCCAGGGGAAGGAATCCGAGCCTGGCACCGAGCCCCCCAACGAGCTCCCCCCCAGGGCCAGGGGGCCTGAGGAACCAGCCCCCCCAGACCCAGGTGCCCCCCGAGCCCGAGGGGATGACTGGGAGCCCACAGACTAGGGCAGCTGCCTTGGCAGGGAGGGATACGGTCCAGGCTATGAACCCCCCCCCTGGTGCCCCTCGCTCCCGACCCACAGACCCCCCCGGTGCCCCTCGCTCACTCCCGACCCGCAGCCCCCCCCGGTGCCCCTCGCTCACTCCCGACCCGCAGCCCCCCCCCGTGCCCCTCGCTCACTCCCGACCCGCAGCCCCCCCCCGTGCCCCTCGCTCACTCCCGACCCGCAGCCCCCCCGTGCCCCTCGCTCACTCCCGACCCGCACCCCCCCCGGTCCCCTCGTTCCCGACCCGCAGCCCCCCCAGGTGCCCCTCGCTCACTCCCGACCCGCAGCCCCCCGGTGCCCCTCGCCCTCCCACCCGCAGCCCCCCCGGTGCCCCTCGCTCCCGACCCGCAGCCCCCCCGGTGCCCCTCGCTCACTCCCGACCCGCAGCCCCCCCCGTGCCCCTCGCTCACTCCCGACCCGCAGCCCCCCCCCGTGCCCCTCGCTCACTCCCGACCCGCAGCCCCCCCCGTGCCCCTCGCTCACTCCCGACCCGCAGCCCCCCCCGTGCCCCTCGTTCCCGACCCGCAGCCCCCCCTGGTGCCCCTCGCTCCCGACCCACAGACCCCCCCGGTGCCCCTCGCTCACTCCCCGACCCGCAGCCCCCCCCGGTGCCCCTCGCTCACTCCCGACCCGCAGCCCCCCCCCGTGCCCCTCGCTCACTCCCGACCCGCAGCCCCCCCGTGCCCCTCGCTCACTCCCCGACCCGCAGCCCCCCCCCCGTGCCCCTCGCTCACTCCCGACCCGCAGCCCCCCCCCGTGCCCCTCGCTCACTCCCGACCCGCAGCCCCCCCCGTGCCCCTCGCTCACTCCCCGACCCGCAGCCCCCCCCGTGCCCCTCGCTCACTCCCGACCCGCAGCCCCCCCCCGTGCCCCTCGCTCACTCCCGACCCGCAGCCCCCCCCGTGCCCCTCGCTCACTCCCGACCCGCAGCCCCCCCCCGTGCCCCTCGCTCACTCCCGACCCGCAGCCCCCCCCGGTGCCCCTCGCTCACTCCCGACCCGCAGCCCCCCCCGGTGCCCCTCGCTCACTCCCGACCCGCAGCCCCCCCCGTGCCCCTCGCTCACTCCCGACCCGCAGCCCCCCCGTGCCCCTCGCTCACTCCCGACCCGCAGCCCCCCCGGTGCCCCTCGCTCACTCCCGACCCGCAGCCCCCCCCGTGCCCCTCGCTCACTCCCGACCCGCAGCCCCCCCGTGTCCCTCGCTCACTCCCGACCCGCAGCCCCCCCCTGGTGCCCCTCGCTCCCGACCCACAGCCCCCCCCCGTGCCCCTCGCTCACTCCCGACCCGCAGCCCCCCCGGTGCCCCTCGCTCACTCCCGACCCGCAGCCCCCCCCCGTGCCCCTCGCTCACTCCCGACCCGCAGCCCCCCCGTGCCCCTCGCTCACTCCCGACCCGCAGCCCCCCCGGTGCCCCTCGTTCCCGATCCACAGCCCCCCCCCCGGTACCCCCTCACTCACTCCCGACCCGCAGCCCCCCCCGGTGCCCCTCGTTCCCGATCCACAGCCCCCCCCGGTGCCCCTCACTCACTCCCGACCCGCAGCCCCCCCGGTGCCCCTCACTCCCGACCTGCAGCCCCCCGTGCCCCTCGCTCACTCCCGACCCGCAGCCCCCCCCGTGCCCCTCGCTCACTCCCGACCCGCAGCCCCCCCGGTGCCCCTCGCTCACTCCCGACCCGCAGCCCCCCCCCGGTGCCCCTCGTTCCCGATCCACAGCCCCCCCCGGTGCCCCTCGCTCACTCCCGACCCGCAGCCCCCCCGGTGCCCCTCGTTCCCGATCCACAGCCCCCCCCCGGTGCCCCTCACTCACTCCCGACCCGCAGCCCCCCCGGTGCCCCTCACTCCCGACCTGCAGCCCCCCCAGGTGCCCCTCGCTCACTCCCGACCCGCAGCCCCCCCCGGTGCCCCTCGCTCACTCCCGACCCGCAGCCCCCCCGGTGCCCCTCGCTCCCGACCCACAGCCCCCCCCCGTGCCCCTCGCTCACTCCCCGACCCGCAGCCCCCCCCCGTGCCCCTCGCTCACTCCCGACCCGCAGCCCCCCCCGTGCCCCTCGCTCACTCCCGACCCGCAGCCCCCCCCGGTGCCCCTCGCTCACTCCCCGACCCGCAGCCCCCCCCGTGCCCCTCGCTCACTCCCGACCCGCAGCCCCCCGGTGCCCCTCGTTCCCAAGCCGCAGCCCCCCCCGGTGCCCCTCGCTCCCGAGCCGCAGCCCCCCCCCGGTGCCCCTCGCTCACTCCCGACCCGCAGCCCCCCCCCGGTGCCCCTCGCTCCCGAGCCGCAGCCCCTCTCACCTGGGGGCCGGGGTTCTTGGTCCCTTTTCTTTCCTGTGTTTCTTTTTGGGTTTCTTGCCCTGGGAGCTGCCTGGACCTGGGGGGAGGGAGGATTAATGACAGGGGTCCTGGCAGCAACCCCCCAGCCATTGCACCATGCCCCCCCTGCTGCCCTCCCCCCCCTTGAACCCCTCCCCCGGCACCCCCCAGTCCCTCTCACCCTTCTTGCTGCTCATTTCTGACCCTGGAGCCCGCGGCGCATGTGCAGCCCCCCCCCCCCAACAGCTGCTGCTCCACGTGGGGGAATCCCGGGAGGGGGATGGGAGCTCTGGTGGGGGAGGGGAGGGGACCCCAGCAGTGGGGTGTCGCCCCAAACTCTCTGGCAGCACCTGTGCTGAGGCCTCCCAATTTAAGGGGGGTTTCCAGCCCCCCTTTTCCCTCCCAAGCCCAATGAGCCCCTGTCATGGGGTCCCCGGGCCGTGCTCTGACCTGCTCCCCCCGAAGCCGGGCAGGACTCTGGGGACCCTCCTCTCTCGGCGCCGACTGTCCCCAGGGCAAGACGCTGCCCCAGCTTCCACCGTCCCGGGTCCGGCCCCGGAGCCTCCCCTGCCCCACCGGGCACTTCCCGCAGCCCGTCCCCCGGGGCGGGGTCCCTGGGGGGCCAGAGGGTCCTGCCCCCCAACTCCGCAGTCAGACGGGACTCTCAGCCAGCCGGGGAAACAGAAGGTTTATTAGACGACAGGAACAGGGTCTAACACAGAGCTTGTAGGTGCAGAGAACAGGACCCCTCAGCTGGGTCCATTTTGGGGGGCAGTGAGCCAGACAACCCCGTCTGCCCTTCACTCCATGTCCCAGCCAGCCCCAAACTGAAACTCCCTCCAGCCCCCCCCTGCTCTGGGCTTTGTCCCTTTCCCGGGCCAGGAGGCCACCGGATCCCTTTGTTCTCCAACCCTTCAGCTCTCACCTGGCAGGGGGAAGGGCCCAGGCCACCAGTGGCCAGGAGACAGAGTGTCGCCATTTATGGACCCTGGCCCTTTGCTCTGCAACAATCACACCCCCGCCTTATCCCACCCCTAGAGACTTACGAAATGCCTAGGGGAAACTGAGGCACCTCTACAGTATTCAGAGGAAACATTAAGAACAGTCCCACTTCGTCACAGGGTGGGAAGAGGGCAGGGGGTCTTTGCCCTCTAAGGGGCGCTAGCTCCAATCTGGCCCCATGGGAGGTACTGGCCGGCTGGGGAGGGGGAGGGGGGCCATGGGTCCTGTCCCCCGTGGGGGGGTGTTGGCCGGCTGGGGGGGGGGACACGGGGCCTGTCCCCCGGAGGGGGGGTGTTGGCCGGCTGGGGGGGGGGACACGGGGCCTGTCCCCCGGAGGGGGGGTGTTGGCCGGCTGAGGGGGGGGGGGACACACGGGGCCTGTCCCCCAGAGGGGGGGTGTTGGCCGGCTGGGGGGGGGGACACGGGGCCTGTCCCCCGTGGGGGGGTGTTGGCCGGCTCGGGGTGTTAATTCGCCTGCTAATTAAAGGGCCGGAGACCAAATTTCTGAAGTGTTTTTATTGCTGAAAATAAATTACATCCAAAGGCCGAGCTCCGGGCCTGTACAAGGGGGTACGAAATAGGGGGGCTCTCGGGGGTCGTTAGCACCGCTCTGTACAAAGCGGGGGTGGCTACAGACACCCCAGATTAGTGCACTACTTGCCTGGAGGACCCCAGGCCTGAGGAAAGGGGGGCTCCGGACCCCCTAAATCTCAGTGGGGGGTTGGGGGCAGCTCATGGCCACCCCCTTCGAGAGGGTGAAGGCAGCTAGGGCAGACATACACCTCTACCGACAGGAACTGGGGGGACCCCGAAGGGCTTGTGGGGGTGGGGATTTGGGGGTGCAGGGAACCTTGCAGCTTTGCATAAGGCACTGGGGGGATCCCTGGATGGGGGGAGGCTGTGGGGGGGCGCAGGGGGATCCCTGAGATCTGGGCCGACGTGGGGCAGGAAGTGGGGAGTCAGGCGTGGGGCCGGGTCACAAGTCGGTGACTTGGTTCTCCACCAGGGCGGCGATCTGCTGCAGCCGACAGGCCAGCTGCATCTTCTGCCCCACAGGGTCCTCCTCTAGGGCGCTGCTGATCTGCAACACACAGCAGGGGGTTACAGCTGCCCCACGGCGCCCCCCCCAGCCCCACAGCCCGCCCCCTACCTGGTCGTAGTACTTCTTGATGTAGCCGTACAGCTCCTGCAGCGCGGCCGAGCAGTCCAGGTCCGAGGAGTACTTCTGCAACGGGGAGAGACGGGAATGGCGGGGGCTGCGGGTGGGGAGTGGAGGGTACGGGGGGCTGGGGGTCGGGAGGGACGGGCGCCGGGGGGGGCTGCGGGTGGGGAGTGGAGGGTACGGGGGGCTGGGGGTCGGGAGCGAGGGGCACCGGGGGGACCGTGGGTCGGGAGTGGGGGATACAGGGGGGCTGGGGGTCAGGAGGGAGGGGCGCCGGGGGGGGGCTGCGGGTGGGCAGTGGAGGGTACGGGGGGCTGGGGGTCGGGAGCGAGGGGCACCGGGGGGACTGTGGGTCGGGAGTGGAGGATACAGGGGGGCTGTGGGTCGGGAGGGACGGGCGCCGGAGGGGGCTGTGGGTAGGCAGCGAGGGGCACCGGGGGAACCGTGGGTCGGGAGTGGGGGATACAGGGGGGCTGGGGGTCGGGAGGGACGGGCGCCGGGGGGGCTGCGGGTGGGGAGTGGAGGGTACGGGGGCTGGGGGTCGGGAGCGAGGGGCACCGGGGGACCGTGGGTCGGGAGTGGGGGATACAGGGGGGCTGGGGGTCAGGAGGGAGGGGCGCCGGGGGGCTGCGGGTGGGCAGTGGAGGGTACGGGGGCTGGGGGTCGGGAGCGGGGGCACCGGGGGGACCGTGGGTCGGGAGTGGAGGATACAGGGGGCTGTGGGTCGGGAGGGACGGGCGCCGGAGGGGGCTGTGGGTAGGCAGCGAGGGGCACCGGGGGAACCGTGGGTCGGGAGTGGGGGATACAGGGGGGCTGGGGGTCGGGAGGGACGGGCGCCGGGGGGGGGCTGCGGGTCGGCAGTGGAGGGTATGGGAGGGGGGGGGTCAGGAGGGAGGGGCACCGGGGGGGCTGCGGGTTGGGAGTGGGGGATACGGGGAGACTGGGGGTCCGGAGCGAGGGGCGCCGGGGGGGCTGGGGGCTCGGAGCGAGGGGCCCTGGGGGGCCGTGGGTCGGGGGCCCTACCCTGGACAGCTCCGTCAGGGCCGAGTTCATCTCCTGGTAGGAGGCCGGCGGCGCCTGGCGAATGTCGGCGTAGTACCTGGGGGGGAGAGAGGCCGATGAGCTGGGGGGCTCAGGCGCCCCGAAGAGCAGGGCCGGGCCGCGAGCGAACCCAGGCGTCCTGGCCCCCAGCCCCCACTCACTTCTCCACCAGCTCCTTGTAGCGCGGGATCTCCCGGGAGTAAAGCAGTTTGTTCACGGGCGAGTCCTGGGGGCAGAGAGGCCGTGAGACAGCGGGGGGGTACATGGTCCCACAGAGCAAGGGGGCCAGTGCCCCAGGATACTGGGGTCCCTGTGGGGGGAGCTGCCCTGGAGACTGGAGTCCTGAGGGGAGAGGTAACCCGGACACCGGGGTCCCGGGGGTGGGGGGGCAGGAGGTGATAGGACGCCGGGGTCCCTAGGAGGAGGCAGGGGCTGCCCTGGACACCGGGGTCCCTGGGAGGGGAGGGAAGGGGAAGGGGGGCTGCCCCGGAGGCCGGGGTCCCGGGGGTGGGGGGGCAGGAGGTGATAGGACGCCGGGGTCCCTGGGAGGAGGCAGGGGCTGCCCTGGACACCGGGGTCCCTGGGAGGGGAGGGAAGGGGAAGGGGAGGGGGGCTGCCCCGGACGCCGGGGTCCCGGGGGTGGGGGGGCAGGAGGTGATAGGACGCCGGGGTCCCTGGGAGGAGACAGGGGCTGCCCCGGACGCAGGGGCCCTGGGGAAGGGAGGGGGGCTGCCCGGACGCCGGGGTCCTCACCCGCCCCACGCTGTGCGGCCCGGGGGTGCAGGCGTCGATGAGGGTCTGGCCGATGACGCTCAGGGCGGCGTCCACGTTGTCGGAGACGCGGACGTCGAAGAGCAGCTGGGGGTTGCGCACGATACTCACCCAGAACCGCAGCAGGAGGCTGGGGGCGGGGCGGGGTGAGACGTGGGGAGCCGGCCCCCTGGCCCGGCCCCCCACGGCCCCCCGCCCCCGAGCCCCCCGCCCCCCGCTCCCCCGGCCCCCACCTGTTGGTCTTCCAGATGTGCAGGGTCTCGGGCTCGCTGACCCCGTGGCGGGCGGCCAGCTCGTCCAGCAGGTCGAAGAGGAACTTGACGGCCACGGGCGCGGGGCGGCCGGCGCCCAGCACGGCCTGGAGGACGTCCTCCACCAGCGTCTGCAGCGTCCCCTGCGGGCACGGGCCGAGGGGCTCAGGGGGGCCACGGGGGGTCGGGGGGGTCAGAGGGGGGCTCACCTTCATGGACAGCAGGCGGGTGAGGTAGATCTCGGGGATGGCCGTGGGGGGGTCAGAGGGGGGTCGGGGGGGGTCACAGGGGGGCTCACCTTCATGGACAGCAGGCGGGTGAGGTAGATCTCGGGGATGGCCATGGGGGGTCAGAGGGGGGTCGGGGGGGTCAGAGGGGGGGGGGGGCTCGGGGGCTCACCTTCATGGACAGCAGGCGGGTGAGGTAGATCTCGGGGATGGCCATGGGGGGGTCAGAGGGGGGTCGGTGGGGGTCAGAGGGGGGTCGGGGGGGGCTCACCTTCATGGACAGCAGGCGGGTGAGGTAGATCTCGGGGATGGCCATGGGGGGGGGGGTCAGAGGGGGTCGGGGGGGGTCAGAGGGGGGTCGGGGGGGGCTCACCTTCATGGACAGCAGGCGGGTGAGGTAGATCTCGGGGATGGCCGGGGGGGCCACGGGGGGTCGGGGGGTCAGGGGGGGGGCTCACCTTCATGGACAGCAGGCGGGTGAGTAGACGGGGATGGGGGGGGGGTCAGAGGGGGGGGGGGGCAGAGGGGGCTCACCTTCATGGACAGCAGGCGGGTGAGGTAGATCTCGGGGATGGCCATGGGGGGGTCGGGGGTGGGGGTCAGAGGGGGGTCGGGGGTGGTCAGCAGGCGGGTGAGGTAGATCTCGGGGTGGCGGGCGGGGGGGCTCACCTTCATGGACGTTCATGGCGGGGAGGGGGGGTAGATCGGGTGGCCGGGGGGGGTGGGCGTCGGGGGGGGGGGGGGGCCACCTTCTGGACAGCAGGCGGGTGAGGTAGATCTCGGGGATGGCCGTGGGGGGGTCACGGGGGGTCAGGGGGGGTCAGGAGGGGGGGCTCACCTTCATGGACAGCAGGCGGGTGAGGTAGATCTCGGGGATGGCCGTGGGGGGGTCACGGGGGGGTCGGGGGGGTCAGAGGGGGGGGCTCACCTTCATGGACAGCAGGCGGGTGAGGTAGATCTCGGGGATGGCCGTGGGTCGCTCCCGCAGGCTGCTGCGACGCTGTTGCTGTTTCAGGGCCTCCGGCTCCTCCGTTGGCTTCACCAGGTGCCAGAGCCGCAGCCCCCCGTCCTCGCCCTCCTCCAGCATCGGGGTGTCTGTGGGGGCAGGGTTAGTCTGGATCCCTCTGAGATTTCTCTCCACTTGGGTCAGTCCAAGGCCCCCCAGATCCCCCCCCCCAATTCCCTTCCTTGGTTCAGTCCAAGGCCCCTCAGATCCAACCCCCCTGGCTTCCCTCCTTGGTTCAGTCCAAAGTCCCACCACCCCATATTCCTCCCCCACTTGGTTCAATCTGAAATTCCCTCCACCACCCCCATGTCCCCCTTGGTTCAGTCCAGAGATTACCTCCACCACCCCCATGTCCCCCTTGGTTCACTCCAGAGATTTCCCCCCACCACCCCCATGTCCCCCTTGGTTCAGTCCAAGGTCCTGTCCAGGACTCCAGGTGTGGGTGGCTGGGTGGCACCATCTCCACAGAGGACGGGGGGGGTCACTCACTCTCCCCAGAGAGGAAGCTCTGGTGGGGGCTCTGGGGGACGTCGTTCTGGAGCCGCGGGATCAGCCCGACTGTCGCCCCATCTGGAACCTGGGGGAGAAAAGAGCTGGAGGATGGAACCCAGGCGTCCGGGACCCCAGATCCCCCACCCCAAGACCCCACTGCCCGCCCAGAGCCGGGGGAGGGAACCCAGGCGTCCGGGACCCCAGACCCCACTGCCTGCCCAGAGCCAGGG